TCTCGTTTCTGTTTCGAAACCACTTCGTCTCCCTCGAAGCGGGCTGTGGTAGCATTAAAAACGAGAAACTAAGTGTCCTTCGGAGAGGACTCTCGCCGATATCTAGAGTAAACGTACGGGATCTCTGGAATCGCGGGAGACCGGCGTACGCGCACGCACGACTTTGCGAAAGTTAATATCCAAAGGGTGGTCATTCAGGGTTATATTTGCCGACCGATAGGATCGGGTAGATAGGATTGTGCGTTGGTCCGTGTCTCGTCCTGCACACTTGTATATTCGCGATAACGCCGACCGTTCTCTCTGTCTCTCCTCCGTCCATCCCATCGACCAACCACCACCCTCTCCATCTGTTTGTTCCGTTTATATTTCATGCGACTACTTGGCCCGAGTCGATCTTCAGTCGACTTTTGAATACCTGACCAGGGATCTGTGTCTGCAAATACGCGGTCTATGAAGATTCTCAGAGATAGATACCGCGTAAAACAAAAAGGAACTGGATTGGTTTCCTTTTCCGATTAGATTTCTTCTTTTACCAGCGACCCAAGAAGAGTATGAAAGTGCTCTTAACGTTTAAACGTTGAAATAGTTACTGCTTGCAATCGAAACAGAGCCTTGTTTGTTAATTCCGACGATACATCGTCGAAGGCGTGTTCGAGCTATTTGGCCAGAAGTCCTAATTGTTGAGACATCAGTGTTAACATTTGATCATCGATCCGTGTGTAGTTTAGCAAACGGGAAGCTAGACAGGCACACCTACACACGCGTAAACCTTCGCCGTCCTAACTAGCCCGGGCTAATTAATTAATCATGCGCCTCCTTCCGAGCTCAAGTTGGGCTGCTTATCCGGAAGCCTCGCCGAGCTAAGTTTACCGCCAAGTCGCGTATCTTCGGTATTGTTCGGTATTTGGTCGAGGTGTCGAATGTCTCGTACAGACGCTGTTCCTTCCTTCCTTCCTTCCTTCCTTCTACCCCTTCCTTCTTTACCCCGCCCAATATCCAAACCCCTTTCCGTCTTCGCCTACTAGTTCTCCGTGGCTCGACTTGCCTCTCATTATCTTGATTAATTGACCGATGGCCTCTCGCGCCTTCCTTATTCTTCCTCCTTCCACCCTCCTCCACCACCGCTCTCACCCCTTTTTCTTACGCCCATCTATCGTTCGTCTTTCGACCATACTCTTGTCATTTACCGCCTTTTCTTCGGCCAATTATACCCTCCCGACCTAGGAAGATGGCTATGCTTTCGAAAACATCTTCTTCTCCCCGAGGGAGAAAAATGAAACCATCGTCGAGATTTCGCGCGAAAAAATTGATCGACGGGGTGCGATAACTCGTTACCGACCACCAGCTTCGTTATTTTATTATGAACGTTCTCGCGAGAACGATAGACAAAAGCGCGGGAAAACTTTCAGCTACTCTCCTCCCTTCGAGAATCTTTGCTTTCTAGAGCTGGATAAGGGATGATTCAAGCTGGCGCCACTCGCGGCAACAAAGAGGCACAACCAGGTATCGGGCTAGTCTTAATTTAAAGTTGAAATTAATTTCTCGTGGCCTGGCTAGGCATGCTTGGTAAAGAAGATTCTAGCAGAATCCTACGTTTAAAGGAACATTTTACTGGCATCGATGACCGAATGGGACAGAATTGATTAGCTTCGAAACGGGACTGATTAAAAGGAATCTTCTGATTAGTCGGGGCGAGTCCTCTGAAAAATATTTACAACGGGAATCGCGAAAGGAGGGAAAGAAGAGCGAAGAGGGGAGGGTAAGCAGCGTCGACGGTTAAATTAAGAGAGTCAAAGGAACTCGACATAATTAAATCGCGATAATGATGCAAAGAATATCGCCGAGCGAGCTTCCCTACCCGACAAACCCTTCGAACCGACCGACCGCCCGGTTCGCCTCGACTTTGGTTCGCTGATTATTTTGTCGAGTGCTTTGATATTCAAGAAACAAGCAGCCCCGCGAGCTTCTCGTAATTATCGGCCGTCTTTAAGACGTCTTTTGGGTAGCCAGAAACGCGAACCGAACAGGTCGCGATTTCTTTCAACTACTTCGCTGCTCGTCGCTTGCAAGAATTCCTGCGTTTTCAGAGGGAAGTCGAGTTTCCGCTCGACTTACCGTGTCGTTGATCTTTGACACGGTTTATGTAAATTAACGAATTTAATTTTAAATCGTACACCCTTGCTCGTTACCTTATTTCATTATTTCGTTAAGAAGTATGTAGATATTTTTCAGTTGCAAGAAGAGAAAGGGGAATCAGCAGTAAGAATCGATCAAGCATCGAGGCAACGAAAAACGATTTCCATTCGATTTACCGAAGAAGTTAGGCGCTAAATGTCTGTACATAAGGGACGTAACCGAGCCGAGTGAGAAGGAGGGAGAGAGAGAAATTGGAGGTGAGAGAGCGCAAAACCCCATGCATACAAATGGTATGCTAACAAGATACATTTGTCTATGGTGGTGTGTGACCGAGCGCGTTAGTAGGTGCGTTCTATGTTGTCGACCAAGGTAACGATGGTGGTAGTTGTGGAACCAGCACCCCCCCGCCAAGTGACGTGCCCCTGTACTCAACCCCGGAACCTTTCCTCCCCGTAAGCAGATTTATAGATCGATTATAGACTTCGCTTATGATTGGAAGCATTTGCATGATGTAGGTATATACAGTCGGCAGCCTCTTTTCTTCTATCGCCCTTCTCCCTTCGTTTCACCATCCCGCACCCCCTTTCGCTTAGCTATCTTTCTCTCGCGTTCGTCTGCTCTTCGACCACCATCATGAATCATCCGAGCCAACTGCTCTCTTATGGTTTCACGCGATAAACGTTTGATGCGCGGTGAGCGATGCGTGTAACGCGGTTCTTTGCATATTCCACGCTTTGCCTCACGATATTTGACAACCAATCTCCAACGCTTTTTCTACCCTTCCTCGTTCTACGAATTCCCTTAAGAAGCACAAGATTTCGGCTATATACAGTGATAGAATAATTTAAAGTTTCTCGTTAAAAAGGTGTCGAAGCTCGAAGGGCTAATTGATCGGTGCTGAATCGGTCGGTGGACGAAATCCGACAGACGAGAAAGTAAGAAGGGCTGCCATTCGCGAGGGAGCTCGATGGAAAGACAAAACCTACTCCCATGGCACCCTCCTTCTACCTCGTGATTGATTAACTTCTTTTTTTCCCCCCCTTGAAGACGGCCACGACAACCACCGCGCGAAACGTAATTATAATTTTTATTCATTACCAAGGCGCGGGGATCGTTCCGTTTGATTTCCCATTTAGAACCACTCGCTTGCGGTCTCGAGATACGATTCTTTTCTACCTTCTGCAGGGTAATCAATATTCATTTACATCGCCAAGGGTGCTCTAAGGGATTAACCGTCCACGAGACACGCTAATCATCGATATCGCGTGTGTTTTCCTACCTCCTTGCAAATTAACAATAAATTCAACACCATTTGATAAAACAGGATTCATCTAGAAATTGGCCTACTATTTTCGGTAATTGAAAGACAACATCGTCGGTGATACGATCGAACGGATGTATCTTCGCGTTTCAAACTCTTATCGATGTACATCATCGGCGTTAACGATGTATCCAAGCCCACGTAATCATCGAGGATGATTAAAAATATTAAGAGATACCCCCCCGCTACTCTTCACGGCCTCTGTTCTCGAATCTTTCCATCCGACTGCACCTCGATCGCCATTCATCCACCGAGAACCACCGTCTCTCGCGTTACCTTTTTACCGCCTACTTTTCTTTCTTCTCCCTCCTCTTATCTCGTCTGCCTCTCTGCGCGTCGCCAGATTCATTTATCTTGTAATTACTTCCGATAGCCTTGCTCTCGTCCACCGTTCGCGTACGAGACGATTTTCAAGTATCGTGGAACCGTTTGAAATTTCGAATATATTTTACAGCTCGAACGTCTTAAGTGGTTTACAGGGGGGGAGGATCGTGTTCGAATAAAGAGAAAATGAAAACGAAAAGTAACGAGCGACGAGTGTTTTGGTTCGATTAGGCAGCATCGATTTTTATCGCGGTTTGGGTAGCTTGTCTTCGAAGGGGCCACCAAGCTATGCAAATAGTGTGGCGGAGGGGGTTGAAAAAAAATTACGGCAAAGTGCTAAACGATCGCGAACAGAGCAGTAGAAGGGTGGAAGGGTAAGGGGGAGGGCTTGTATTTTTATACGTTACAAACGTGTATAGGTGAGGGGGTGAGGGTTAAGGGATGAAGTTCGGGAAGAAGAGCGGCACGAGGCCACCTTATGTCGAGTGGGTGACTTCGAATGACAGAGGGTGCGGGATTTTCAGGTCGGTATGCAAATAAGCCACTCCCGGATGTCTCGGGGGTTCGATTCGGTTTAAAGTTATTGCTCGCGTCGAACGAAATCATCGTCCTCGACGAATCGTTGCCAGCGGCGATCGAACCAACCACCTTTCGACTTTTCACGCGTCCTTCCGGTTCGTTTGTTCTTTAGAAATCTACAGCTTTGTTGTTTTAGGTTAAGTGTGTGCGATACGAATCCATTGGAGACAATATAATGATTACATTCTCAACATAATAATAGATGGATAGTATTAAAATTAAAAACTTGGAATATTCCGTGGAATATTCTGTGAGCTATATTAAGATTGAAAACGATCGAAGTGAATAACTGTAAACAAGTTCGCAGCTTGTAACGCCATTTTGTGGAAAATAACCATGGCTGGCATCGAGCAAAACATGGTATAGTTGAATTTCGATTACCCGACATTCTGTTCGAAAAGCCCCGAACCACTAGTTAATCCGAGGTCAAACCACGAAAATGTACATTCTATCAGAAGTGCGTGCAAAAAAACGCGACTAGTTCTTGTAAATCAATGTAATAACCTCCTCCACAGAGCATAAGAGGCGCCAAGCGAAAGGAGGTTCGCCACTATCGATGGGCTATCCCGGAGCTTACGTGGTTTACTGCTACCATTACTTCAAGGATAACGCCGCGGAATAAAAATCTTTATAACCTTACCTTGCTTTCTATCCATTTTATTCGGTGCCCTGGTATCCATCGATGCCTGGTCTATCGCACGTTGCCTCGTCTGCAAACACGTGTTTCCTCTTTGTCCTTCCGATATTGTCGTTCCGGCTCGTCGGAAAGTTCATGGACATTTGTACACAATGATCACTAATCAGTTCACTAAAATGTCTTTTCTTCGATGTACGTCACTTTCAACGGAACGTCGAGTACTAATTTAACGATATCCGAACATTTTTGCAAACAAAATCTTGAAAATTCCACGCACACGACCGATCGCCTGCGAAACGAAAGTAAAACTGCGAATTCAAGATGGCGGACGCCCGCGAAATTCGGTTAACCAATCAAATTCAAATTAACTATTGTCATTGCATTAAGCATTACAATTGTCGAATTCATGATTAATTATGTAAAAACGACTATAAACACTGTCTTAATTTTATAAAGAAAGAGATATTGTTCTTTTTGTATTAACGAAATGGTTTCGACTGTCTAATTCGTAATTAAAATATTACAAATAATTCGCGAATCGCGCGTTGAAAATTCATACCGCCGTGGTTGCTTCCAGTAGCGCCATCTGGTGATAATCGGGATAAAACAGGTCCCTAGACTTTCCTCGGTGGATAGCGAAACTGGTGAACAGCGCGGGACATGCACGCGAAATTACTAAAACTTTAGGAGACAGTAAATTAAACGAAATTCACGCTGTACCGTCGACATCGCGTCGACAAGGTTGTTCACGAAAAACCGATCGACGTCGTTTCCTGTCGCATACAAACTATACACCGTAACCTATCTCGTATCGTATCAAGATTAACGCACCAAAACACTAGCTATGAATTATTTGTAATTACAATGAATCAAAAAGGTATTGCCACATCCGATTAAGGATACAATTGTTATTGCAAAATAAATTATCTGATACGTTAATCCTTCAAGTCCAAAAATTGAAATAACTCGAATACCGTAGACGCGTTGATATATTTTGAATATCGTGTCGTTTAAAAAATTTGTCACGCTATAGAGCTGTGATAGATGCATGAGATAGGGAAATTGTAGCGTTAAGTAACCAGCCGGGAGAAAAGTCTTCCTCTCTCGGAATCGATTGCGAGAGGAACCGGTCGTCTGGCCACGTTCCTTCTTCTATGGAGTGGTTCTTTCACGCGTACACACTTTCTTTTGAAAGAATAAAACGAGGTAGAGCGAGTTCGCGCCCGTGTCGACTTTGTTTAACCCCACGGAAAGCGGTAGAACCACGGCCACCGAGGGCTGGCCAGGCTCAACGAAGACGAAAAAAATGGAGCGGAGGAGGAAAATGACGATGAAGCCGGCAGATGATGAAGAGGAAGAGTTCGCGAGAAGAGAAGCAGAGGTGTGCGAGGCAAGAAATAGCGCGAGTATGTGTCTGTACGTGTGTGGAGACAGTGAGAGACAGGAGGTGAGGCGAGGAGGGTGGTGTCGGTCGGTGGTGCAAAGGCAGACGCCTTCCCCGGTTTCATTAACCCCACGCATTCATAATCTCGAGTGTGTTGGACGTGCGAATATAGATTGAGATGGGAATGAGACCGTTTTGTCTGGCGAATACTCGAGGCGCGAGGCGCCACGAGTGTAACGCTCAAAGGGATGAATTTGAAAGAGGAGAAGCCGTTTGCACCGCGCTCTGTTTGGCGGGTAAATAGGCAGTCGATTGGTCCCTCGAAGAAGACGGCGACGAACTCTTTCCGCGTCTCGAGTGGCCAGACCTCGAGCGGTCCGAGATTGTACTCGACGCTTATCCGACGATCTAAGCGAATTTTCCAGATCGGATATGCGCCTAATCGACTGGAGGACGAATCTCTTCGAGTGCCCTCGAACTCCAGATGCCAGGATAACGCGGCTATTCTTTGCCACTCCTCCATCGACTCCCCCCCGAACCGATTAAAAAGAAAACAGCGACTTTGCCTGATTCCTCGAAGAAATCGAGGGAACCCGAGGAGAAAGGAAATTTCGAAATTTTCAGCAACTGGAGCATAAAATGCATTCCACCAGGGGGTGGAAGAGACGCTTGGCCGAGGTAACAGGTACAAAGACTTCGGGAACAATTGAACAGAGAAGAGGAAGGAAGGTTACTCATTGGTAGAGGATCGAACTAGCTACACAGAAAGCAGAAAAGCTGGATGGAAAGGGAAAAAGAAACTTACGATGATTTCTCTTTTCCACCATTTGCCATCGATGGCTCGAGGTTGCCGGCTGGCTTTGCCTCGCGATACAAGAGGCGGACACCGAAAGGTGGCGGGTGGTAGGAAACGAAGAAGGGGAGAACGAGACGGCTGGTTGACAGAGGAACGTAGGGGTTGGGGGGTTGGCAGCGTTCGCTGTCACGAGAGAAGAGAAGAAGAAGTTGACTAACGATCAGAACGGAACGTAGCGGCATGCAACGAAACGGAACCGAAAGAGACGCGTGAATGGAAACGGAAAGATCGAGCGAGAAGGGTGGAGAAAGGAATCGTCGATGAAACGGGGAAAGAGTAGAAGGAGAAGGGGGCAAACAACGAGTCGAAGAAGAGAAGAGACGACGACGGTTAGAAAGGGAATGAGCGGAAAGGGGTGGCGGGGGTGGATGTCGGCAGGTGGGCAAGAGGGTGAGTCGAAGAGACGGTAGAGGAAGAACGTTGTGGGAGAGGGTAGAGGGTGAGCGAGCGAGCGAATGCACGAGTAAGAGAGGGACTGACTTGGGGTGTGCTGTATGTAGCCGGGTCGATTCAGCCCCGGGCACTCGACTCCAAGCTACCTCTATCTGCTGTATTCCCTCTATTCTCTCTCTCCCCGCAACCATCGCCACGGTGTTACCTACCGATCCTACCTCCCTTGCTCTTCCACCTCTTCCAGCCGTCCACCCTCCTGTGGTGTGCTTCTGCACACTAGGTCCCGATACAACTTCCCCAACGACTATTACTCGCGTGTTCCTGCTATCGGTGCTACCAGTTCTGCACAAGTGGCCAGAAGAACTCGTCGAGTTTCGGGGATACCGGTGCAGCCAGTTAAGAATTCACTTTTCCAAACCTGCCGCTCTTTCAACCGGAGAATCCAAGCATTAATGCTACCGTCCATTGACCGTACCCCAATCCAATTACTCGACCTTGAATTTCTCAATTCAGCATGCATATTGAAAGAATTTCTCCCTGAACGGAGCGATTCTATTCGAACGAGGGGGCGACCAAGCTAGGAATCTCGTCGACTGTATAACGTCGAGGCTGGTAAATCGAGCCGATGACGGGCGGAGATTAAACGGGACGAATAATCGGTGTCTTTGAAAAACGCTTTAATAAACAGAGCCGAAAGAGGCCTTGGTACCACCAAGGCCAACCCCGTCGAGTTGGTTCGGATCCATCGACATCGTGGAATCTATAACTAAACATCAGGATGAATCTTCGTGAGCCGTTCGAAGTATAGGAGATTTCGCAACGGAAATGGCAAGCAATGGCAGTTCAGGCGGGACCAAAGTGGAGGAGATCGCTAGAGTAGGAACCGCGAGAAAACGTCCGGACTAGGGGCGGTTCTCCAAACGGTTCCGGCGAGGGGTGGCCGAGGTGGTGGGTTATTTGTACGCAGACGTAAGCTACCTGGCCTCTCGCGCATTGGTTTCTACGTCTGTGCCGTTTGTCTGTACGTCTGATGACGTCAGTTACGAGGCTCCACCCAAGGTGGTGGTGGATCGTTCAGGGTACCCGTTTGCCTACCTCTGCTTCCGCAGGATGGTAGCACGAAGAGGGGGTGGTTAGCGGTGTGTCTCGGTAGTGGTGGCGATGCTGGCGATGGTGGTGGCGGAGAGAACGGTGTAGAAGCTAGATTCTGGAAAGGCGCTTGCGCGAAACCACTGGATCGTTTATTTGTATCTGTCATTGCCAGCTAAGGGGAAGAGGAGGGAGAGAACCACTCTCAAGATCCCCTTCCTTTTATTCCTCTTATTCCGCTTCTCCGTCTTTCCCGTCTACGCCACCAACCCCCTGGTTCGCCGCGACGCCATCGTACCACCGAGTGGTCTCGGCTACCGGCAAACTAATTTATTTCTACCTATTACCGAACGTTCACGTTTTTCCTACATAGGATGCCCCTGCCTCCAACAACCACCAGCTTGAATACATTATTGCGTATGTTCTCGACGAAAACGAAAACGAACGCGATCTTGAATTTTGCATACTTTCCCAACCAGATACTACCATCCTTCCTGTTCTCCAGGACAATAACGTTCTTTATTTTTTCACGACCAGAGATTGCGATGGGAGCTTGTTTTATGTTATTTTTCTCAGAATATTTGCAGCGTTCTTGAACGTATCCGGCATGCAAGTAGTATCATTTCGACGTACATTGGATATTTACCGATTGATCTTCCGCTCGACGAGGACAAAGGTTAATTTCCTTGGAAACTTTTCTCAGCTTTTAAAATCTTAAGCTTCCCTTTTAAGCGGTACCGAATAGAAAAATACACGGTAGCCAATGGACCGATCTTGCGGTCTAGACGGTCCAGACTAAAGGGTTTTAACCCACGCTTGCCCTCGCGCCTTGTTTCTTTTCCCGTCGTTAGTCAGAGGTACGTCGAGGCGAGAAAGATTAAAGGAAAAAAAAAAAAAAAAAAAAAAAATAGGAAAAAGGGGATCGGTCCCGATAGACGCGAAGAAAGAGCGAGCAAGAGGGAAAGGGTGAATCGGTCCGAGATGGAAAGTGCGCTCGAAAGTTCGTGTGCCGGGCTTCGAAAGAAAAATACCGGCGGGAACCGCGTAATTTGAAATTCGATTAACCTGAATTGGCTTTACGGAATATGCGGGTAAATAGCGCGAAAGAATGAAAGAACGTTTGACACTATGGCGAGCGCACGAGCGATTTTATAAAGACGTTTCAACGAAGATTACCGGTATATACGGGTGAAAAATCAACCGGCACTCAACGGCCACGCTGCTCGTTTCCCCAGCGACACGAAGAGCGCTTTGATGAAACCAATTAGCTCGTTTTTAACGACGCGCCGTGCCAGCTCTACGGTTATAGGAGCGCGAGCAAAATGTCAACCCCAAACTGCTCTCGATTCTCTCGGTGGTCGGCTGCCGTGTACAGGTGTTACGGTTAACCTTGACTTATAAAAATAAACGGCCCACGCGATTAACCGTAACGAACGCTTTAATCGCGTACCCTCTCTTCGTCGCCTACTAAAATTCAGCTGAAATGTTCTCGCGTACCTTGTCGATACTTTTCTTTCAACCCTTAACTGACGTAGGATTAATACGAAACTGTTCGTGTCTTTCTTTTTTGTAATTGCAGCTGTACTTTGGATTTTTGAATTTAATAAAAGCAGCAAGTACGTTTCGAAACCTTATCTAATCAATGCTCATGTTCCTGGATCATGGACTAAAGAAAGAGAGGAAGAAGAGAAAGAACTGAAAGAAAAAATAGAAAAAGGGCAAGGGACGAGTGTGCAACGAGCATCGAGAAGATAGCGGCGCGACCAAGAGGGATGGAACGGATAAAGTAGTAGAGAGGGTAGCGGAAGGCAGATTGCAGGGTGGAGGAGGGAAAAGAGCGAGGGCAAGCAGAGAGGGAGGGAGGAGAGTTTAAGTGCTACCGAGTGTCTAGCTCCTTGTGGGATCGAAGCCAGGACTCACTCCGACTCTGTCTGCGTCTCTTTCTCGGATCGAAGCAAGGCGGCTTTCGCCCTCTCCTCCTCTTCGTCCTCATCCTTGTCTTCGTCCTCATCGCCATTCCCGTACCCTCCTCATCTGCCCCGTTCTCATTTTCCTCCCGGTTCTCTCTCGACCTCTCCGCGGTGCACAGACGTACTCGTATATATACAGTGTCGCTTAATAAGTCGGACTCGTTTCAGCAATTGATTCAACCCTCTTAAACAATTGTTTATGGGAATTAATTCATTTATGGGAAATTCCACTGGAGTATCAGTCATCAGGCGAATAATTGAACAATTTTCAAAATAAACGGATTCAACGTAGAGATCCTATCGCACGGTGTATACGTGGATACGTATTACGGGACACCCTGTACATTCACCGCGACGTACACGGACAAAGACTCCGAGAGGGAGAAACTCCCTCTTTCCCTCGCAAATACAGAGATAGTCAGAGAGAATGGAGGAAGAGGATTTTCCCGTCTTTGTTCAACTCTCTTCTCCCAACTTCCTCTTTCTCACTCCGGTTTCCAGAGTTCCTCCGTTCCTCTCTCTGCTCGTTTCATTCGATGTATAGGTAGAACGTGGGGCGTAACCAACCCCTCTAGAATCCGCATCGCGGCACCGACAGTCGGCATTCGTCGTGCCATTGGCCCCGACGACACTCGGAAACCCAATGGAAAGCGCAAATACGACGCCGACTTCCGGTCCGTGAAACGAATTCGGGAAACTCCCCGGATCGCGCAGGACTACTCCCGGTTTCGCCTGCTCATCCGTACGCTTTATATCCACCCTCTCGCTGGGAGAATCCAGCTTTCCTCTGTTCTCCTTCTCTCTCCGTCCTCTCTCTCTTCCGTATCGCTCTCGCAGTCTCTTTCGCCACACCTGTTCGCGCAGTCACATCCGAATGCTGGAAACTCGACGATTGGTTCGCGAACCATTCGCTTCGGTCCCATTGGTCAATGCTCCGTTTTTCCTTCGAAAGGAAAACGTTCCGCAAAGATCGACTGCCTTTCGAACGATGCCCGGCGTCGAGAGGAGGAGCGAGAATGCATTAGCGTTTGCACCTGCAGCTAGCCTCCTTCCGACCGCTTCCCAGATGCAACGATACCGAGAAATGGAGGCCGACTTTGTCGAAGTAGTAGCGGCGCGATATAACTCAGACGGATGCACCGGCAACGCTCCGACCGCCTGCAATTGGAAGTTTCAAGCAAGAAACCATGGACCGTTTTCAAAAACGCGAAAATAACTACAGAGAAAGATGTCGGAGGTGTTGAATGCGATTGCGTTCTCTATCGATCCTAAAACTGAGTCTTCTTAAAGAGATGTAGCACTATCTTCGTCCGAGATACAAAGCGATACGGCGAACCGAAGGTGCGAGCTTTAAAGACGAGAAACGAGCACAGTTATTTTTATTCGCAGCCGCGATATTTACACGGCTCGTAGACCATAAGAATTTCTCGATGCGATTCTTGCAGCTTTAATGAGAAGTTTACTTTGCTTGGAAAATTTTCCAAGAGGAATTACCATTTTCTTTATCTTCTCTACAATTATTAAAAGTCATAAGACTAAATACATTGTCCGAGGAGGACATTGTTGGCCAATTTTAATTTGTTTTTATTATTGTTATTTTTTGTAAGAAGGTGGCGAGGAGACGTAAATTGTTTGGCGGTGGGACGTTTTTCGTTGGTATACTCGCGAATTCTTGCGGGGCCGCGAGACGAGCCACGGTATTGGATAATACCAGAGGCAGCCGGCTTCTGCGAGAGCACCATCCATTTAAAATGTCTCCCTTAAATCTCCAACACGACCATCGCCACCACCACCATCTCGGTCTCCACCTCCCAGCGAGGCTACCGACTTTCAGTAGTCGCCTCCAACCTCACCCAACCTCCCATGACCGACCTCCCTTCGATGCTGCCACCGGTTTCTTCCACCCCTCACTTTTATATCCACCTAAATCCATCCATTTTAAATGACGGATATTTTCTCCGAGCGACTGTATGGATTTTCATACTTTCCTCGAAGGAGAAGCGTACATAGAAGGAGCTCGCCGTTTGTCCGTTAATATTTTCGCACCGTGGAAGGGTTCCGACACGACCCTTCAACCGAAAACCACTCCTTTCAACCTGGACACTCAGTTTTCACCCTGGTCCGACAAAGAGTCGTTACCTTTCTTTCGTCGAAACGAAATTTCGGAACCGAGGTCGACGAAGAATCGAGAGGTCTCGGTCGTCGACAATGCGGCACCGATACTCCGGACAATAGGAATGTCGCGAAAGAAAAGAGGTCACTTGCGTCAGATGCAAATGTAAACGTGGAGGAAAACACGGAGGAAGACATGTATTATTGATGGGACATCTCGGTTGAAAACAGTTGGAAACGTTTCGATGATCGTTCGCGAAGACGGTTAGAAGGTAAAGTTGGTTCAGAGGTTCGGATAGGAAAGGTCAGCGTGTAACCCGCAATAATTACGAGTCTGCTACATTATGCACGGTCGGTCGAATGCGGAAGAAACGTCAGCTCTGTGGCGTCTCGGGCCTCCGAGAAGCGAGTATACGAAGGGGACGCCGCCTTCTTCCATTAATCTCGCGGCAATCGAAATTAGCATAATTGACGGAGCGGAGAATAGCGGCCTGTTCGACTCTGAAACGCCATCTCGTATAATCTCTCCATATATCTCACTCAGTGTTTTCCGATAGAGCACGCATCCGCGGAAGGACCATCGAACCTCTTTACCAATCGTCTACGACACGCACACTCACCTACATGAAAGATCTGTTTTAAAGATCGTTTCAACGTTTTTTGCCCGATACATCAAGCGTTCGTAAAGAATTCGAATAAACGCCTTTGACTTCTCGTTGCATTCCTGATGGGTTGTTACGATAGCGTCTCGGATCTTCGGATAACGTTTGCTCGATATCGGTTATCGTTTAAGAAGGAAATTTAATTAGCAGATGGGCAAGAAAGTAAAAGCAGAGTTGGAGCATGCTTTAGCTCGAAATCTACTCTTCCTCTTGAAATCCATCTCTCGCTCGCTCCATCTCTTCCTGTCTCCTTCTACGAGCGCGCATCTTCTCCAGCAAGACGTATCGACGCGGATTTTTTTCCGCGTCAGTCATTTATCAAAGCCGTTCGTTCTCTCCGCCGCCTCCTTCCTTCGATACACACGAACGTACACGACGAGGATTTAGGCAAGGAAACGAGAGATATTTCGCTACCTTTCGCAACGTTTCACCCACGAGCTTCGATCTAGCTTCGCTTTCGTAATAATTGAAAAGCTAGACACGGAATCGGGTCAACTCGCATTCGCATTCATAAATATTTCAATTTATGTTTGCGACATAAACTCAAGGAATATCTGCCGATTCATCCCGGAAACTCGTTGTACCGTATTCCGCGTGGCGTATTATTCAACTTCGGGATCAAGGACAGGGTTACCGATGACGATTGCTTTATCATAATAAACAGCTTAACCCATTCATCTTTTTCATTCGGTTTACCACGTTTTTTTCTGCCTCACATATTTCTCTGAAATAAGTACTCTAATGAAAGATAAGAAGGGACCAATGAGAGAGAAACTGATCGATCGTGCGAACCGATCGGTAGAAACATCGCGCTCCAGTTTAATTTATTAATTACGCTAAGCAGAGAAAGGGGCGCGGATAAGTACGTCCTATAAAAATAACAACGACACGCGCACGATAAATAGAATACACGCGTCGGTATAACGAGGGCGGGTTTTAATCGACCGAGAAATACAATGTTTGCTCGTCGAATAGACGACCGGTTCAATTTCCTAACGACACCTTAACGATCGTCCTCCGTCGACGAGAAGGAGCGGCAAAGACGACCGCTGACAAGCGGGCAAATATTTGCGAAACAGAGGTAGGAACGAATAACCGCTTCGAGAATAGCTCTCGATAGCTTCTCGCGCGAGTTCTACTCTCGAGAGTAGACCCGTACCCTTAAAAGGAACCGTTCGTGAGCGTTCGGTAAAAATCGGACCCGTACCGAAAGATCAATCGGCCAACCTGGCAAACTGGCCGCGACGACTTCCCCTTTCCCCTTGGAACCACTTCGTCCCTGTGCCCTTATTCAATATGGCCCGGACCTTACGTACTAAAATTCTAAGCAGCTGTGATCCAGTCTCTGCCGTGCATCCGTGCATGATAGGTTTTAAAGAACTGAATATTACGACCCGACGTATGTGCGCGATGCAATAAAATATGCAAAAATGTAAGATTCAAAAGAAACTTTATGTTCTTTTTTGTTATTATGTAAGTTATTTTTTACAAAATTTATCGCCAGGTGTTACAACTTCATAAAAAACCATGAAACGTTTCCTTAAAAAATTGCCATCTATCTATGATAGTTTTCATGATAGCCTATTGTAGCCGAAACTTTAGGAGGTTGTTTCGCCCACTAAATACGAAAACCGGCCAAAATAAAAAAACACGTATATCTTAATTTTCGGTCCTTTAAAACCTATCCAAAAATCAAAACACCTAAGATACTTTCCTTGTCAGTTGCATCAAATTCGCGAACTTTTATTTTGGAGATGGAAAGCTGCAGATGATCGTTGGCCATCGAGACGTTCGGACGGGTATGGCCCCGCCTGTTCGAATGCGTTCGTCGAGCAGCACCAGGTCAATGAACTTCCGAACGTGACCATTGTGTTTGTGAAGGTGATAGAACGGGCTGCGAGCTGTGGGCTCTGGATAGCGAAGCGGACGAAGAATTCGGATATTGAGGTAGGTACGGGCAGAACAGAGACAGAAGACAGGAAGAAAAAAAAAAAAGACGTGGAGCGGTGGAAGAGAAAAAAATGAAATAAGGAGTCGGGGGAACAACTGAATGTGAGAGCAGGAAAGTTGTTCGTACGAGTCACCGAATATAAATACCAAAGTCGGGTCGAAAAGTCAGCAGTAGAAGATCTGGCTGTGTATTGAGCCGATAGTTTGTACTTTGGTACAAATCGCTTCGATATAAAAGTATCGAAAATGTACATGGTCGAGGAGTATGAAAACGCCAGCAAGTCCCAATATCGTGATGCGCTTGAAATAATTGAAGAATTCGAGAAGGAGATGTCCGAGATGAAGGGCAAGTGCATAGACATCGGATGCGGACCCGGGGACGTAACGAAACGGCTGATCCTACCGAGATTATCGTCGGATGCTGTACTAGTTGGTAAGAGAAGAACGTAAAAAAAAATGGGTCTTGATAGAGTGTACCTGTATTTCATGATGTTTGTTGTAGGGGCGGACATATCAAAACCGATGATCGATCGCGCGAAGCAAAAGTACCAGGATGAGAAACGCTTGTCGTTCTTGCAGTTGGATATCGAAGCTGCGGTTTTGCCTAACGAAGAGATTGGACAATTCAGCAATGCCTTATCCTTCTATTGTTTCCATTGGTGCCAAAACACATGGTATTTATTTTCTATAATATAATTACAGGTAACACTCCGGTTTAAAGTGATAGATGTTGATTATCGTGAAATTTAGGCGAGCATTCGAGAACGTGTACAAGCTATTGCGACCAGGAGGGAAAGCACTGATCATGTTCCTGGCATGGAACAACGGGTTCGACGCTTACGTGAAGCTGCACGAAAATCCTCGATACAAACCGTACATGCAGGTTGCACGACAAGCAAATGAACCACGATCAATTGTGATCATCAAACACTGAATTCGTATTCTGGTATTCTCAGGATGTAGATCGTTACGTACCCTTCTTCCAACGGTGCAAGGACTCTCGGGCAGCTCTGAGGAAGATGCTGGAAGGAATCGGCTTCGAGATTCTACACTGCAGCAAAAGAGAAAAGAGCTTCGTTTACGAGAACATGGAGATACTGAAAAGTATAAGCTCGCATTTACATTGAACATGAATATCAAATAATAGTTGTAAGAAAGATAGATCATTTTTGCAGATCACACGATCGCTGTCAACCCGTTCATCCCCCGGATCCCTGATGACCTGAGACAGGAGTTCGAGGACGCGATCGTGCGTGAAATAGCGAGCCGAAAGATCCTGTTCCCGAACAAGACCAACAATGATCAACAAGAGTACAGCATTTTAGATAGATATCACATTCTTGTGGCATACATCAAGAAACCTATCGCTACGTGCTAAGAAATTCATTAGACATTCATATGACGCGTTCGTACGAGCGAACAAGAGATCTAACGTTTTTTTAATAAAAAACATTTGTCGTTCTTTAATAAAAGAAATTGCGTTTCACTTCGTTCTTCGCCCATAGTGACCATCCGAAGGGTTTCTACCCCGAAGTTGGGTATCCTGGATCTAAAATAATTAGAAATTAATGTTTCTACAACACTAAACTTTATTGTACACTATATCTTTGATTTTACAATACGGTACAGCCATTTATAGAATATCGTTAAAACTCATATATCGTCGATACGGATATAATAACTGGGTCTCATTGTTTTTCCTTTAATTCGTGGTGCTTATCCATAACAGGGAGTAACAATATTTTTTCTAACGCTTTTGCCTAAAAAAAGTACACCCAAAAATCGGTTGAAAACCGATCGACATCGATTGTTTCGGTACTCTGACGTTTCTTCGAGGTCCGAGCAACTGAATCGCAACACTGAGAACAAGAAGAATATCCCAACGACTAGGATCTCCTTTTCTCTCTTAAAAGGGTAACAGGAGTTTAAACAATTCGACCAGTACGGAGGATATTCTTCTCGTTGTCGTGGAAAGAACGCGGAAACGCATCGATCCGTCGAGGAAAACGGTACCGAAACTCTAAAATGGAAGCAACTCGAGATTCTAGCGCGTTTCGCGAACTCTTGTCCCGCAAAGGAACAGAAGCAAGAACGAAAGCGTTTCGTCTCGTAGCGCGATGCTTCTACATCGTAACGATACACCTAAAACACGTAGCTGATCCGAAGCGAAGAAAAACAATGTAAATGCGTCGAAATCGAATAAATATTCCGAAATGTCAAGGAAAAACAGTCCGATCGATGGAACGAGTTGTGTTCGATGGTGGTTCACCACCAGATCAGGAAGAAAAGGCGAGGCGTGTACACGTATAAAAAACGGCTCAAAAAATCCTTATCGTTACGGAAGATCTGTGCGGACTGAATTCGCAATGAAAATTGCGGAAACGGAGGACGAGCTTGGTGGAGGATGTGCGTCGCGTCTCCTACAAGAGACAAAACCGCGAGGACACTTCGATCCGGATCCGTGTGACACGCACACACACATACATTCTCACACGTAGTCAAAAATAAAAAGAGAAAATACGTGTAACTCGCTTTTTCACGGAATAAAAAGATGCCACTGAGATTCTGCGATATCGATTGGCCATCGAACGAGCTTTGGCGAGATTCTTATATTGGAAAATTGAGTCAATCAAAGATCGAAGGTCGTCGAGATTAAAAAAAAAAAATATGAAATTCTTAATTTATTCGTGTCGAAACAGCCATATTTTGAATCACCCTGTATGTAGCGAATAATAGGTAAAAAGTAACTTTCCGTGGAAAATTAAATTGCCACGCTAAATCAATTGGCGCGAGCGGCGTTGAGACGCGTATAAAGTAGCTTAAAATATGTATCGGCGAAAAATCTTGAGAGGAACGTTACAACGAGCAATCCCTCCCCTCGGCGGTATCTAATGTGGAAGCGACTCGTAAATTACGGTTAATAGGTACGCACGGTTTTTTGTACGGGCAATTAACAATAACCGTTCACGAGCGAGAAGGGAGCCGAGACCGAGAGCGTGGTAAGCTCGTGGACGACGAAAGGACGAAACCCCTCAATTTTCTCGGTGCGTTGCGTGACAGTAACCAACGAAGGAATCGACCGTGTTCGAAGCCGAGGGAAAAACAAACTGTCCGCGACACACCGCGTGTCGTTCTAATTTCTTCCCCGTTAATCGTTTGCAAATATCCCGCGATTCGATCGATACCCATCCATCTGGTTCCCATCAAAGAAAACAATAATTTAACCAGAATAAACTTTTCAATAAGATCGCTGTTACGTGTCCTCGCGTTGGACGATTGAAAATCTGTTTCCACTGGAAGGCAAGAGAATCCTGAACAATTGGCAAGACTTAAAGGCCTACGACACAATGATAGAATCAATGAAAATATACGATTCGTTTACGACCGCTTCGTGTTCCTTCCACTAACCAACTTTTCAACGGACGTCTGTTTGTAAATAAAAATGACTCGCTTGAGTGAAAAATCGCTTTCAAATTTCTAATATCCATGTTTGATTACAACTGAAACTAGAGTGATTGAGCAAAAACGAAGAATCGTGGAAAGAAGAAAGGAAACGGAAGCGGTGAATAAAAATGGCACCTCGTTGGTACCAAAAGAGAACAACGTTCGGACGAATAAACGACGACCATCGAGCACGAGTAAAAGAGGAACGGAAACGAGTTCGATAGAGAATAAAAATCACATTGAAACATCGAAGAAGTATTCGAAGTATCGAAGAATTGACAGACTTGACGATCTGAAGAAGAGAAGAAACCTCTGCCGTTCTCGCGTGCTCGTTTACCTGTTTCCTCGCTTTAGAAAAATGCCCACCGAGGTAAAACGTTGGACCGACAGAAGAATCGAGTCAGGTACGAAGAATCGTTGTTACAAAAGATCCTTATTTCGCACGGATGCCAAAGAGATTCACGGTAGAAAATGATTTCCGCGAGATAGAAATTGTACTTCGCGAGTCTAACCGCGATCACGGTTTTCCACGAGGAGAGCTATCAGATTTTCATGAATTTTTTCATGGTTATTTGTTCTGTGCTAGATTAATAGGAAACTTGAATCAACTTTCTAATGAAATAGAAATTTTGTAACATAAACCTTACCTAGACAGTGATCTTTAAATTATTATAATTTGTACTTTGTCGATAATTCACAACATAGTAAGTACAGAAAACAAAAACCATGAAAATCTGAGAACATCGGAAAGCCCTCCTTGCGAGAAGAAGATCGGCGGGCGAGTGAATTTCGAAAGGAACGTGAGCGACGCCAGACCGTCACGATCGTCGATAGGCCGTTTTTCATAAAATTACATCTACAACTTACAACTGTTTCTTCTCGCACGCAATCGATTATTCTTTTTCTTATTTTTTTCATTTTTTGGCAATCGATTAACACGACCGCGCGTCGCGTACAGGTAACGCAAATGCTAGTCCTCGCATTAGCTCTACGAAACAACGACTATACACTAGTACTGCCACCTTTTTCGCTAATCTACCGTTAACAACATCAACAGCAACAACACATAATATATCAACATGAATATAATATCTGTCCTCGTCGTAATCTAGCTTCATTTTCCTTTATACTTATACGTTAGGTACGTGTGTAATATACATAATTCGCGCACGCTGTTTGTATACAGGAAGCGACGAAATTCCTGATATCGAAAAGAATACGACGATAGATTGACCAATTTTTTTCAGGAAAGTTGACGGATGATAAAATTTGATTTTAGAAACTTACATTTTGCTCGTCATTTCTATCGCCAGTTTCTCGCTAATATCAATCTCGTCGCGTCCTGTACAATTACAGGAATATTCCTGTACAATTACAGGAATATACATAGGAAGAGGACGAAACCGTGTTCGTCCTGAGCGAATACGCGGTGACCCGCGCGGAAAAAAAAAAATATCCGAGGGAAATGCATCGTGTGGCACGATTCTGACAAGAAATTTCCAAAAGTTTCTCGTGCAACGAAGGAAGGAATCCGTCGAGAGATCAAAAGGTGTTCGCTTGAAACGATCGAAGTGATTCGCGCTGTTTTTTTTTTTTTTTTTTTTTCAACAATTCCTCTCAGTTCGATCGTTCGCGAAACATTTCGCATCTCGACGACAAGCGTTTGAAAAAGAATTCACAACCACGTATCGCCTGTTGCATATTTTATAAACGTTCCACGCTCGCGGCAAACATTCCGGAGATGTCGCAAACGTGAGCGATGCATCGTCGTGATGTTTTAAACGATCGGAGAAAACATCGACACACGTATAATCTGTATACGAAGGTTACGATATACATGTATATATATATATAGATAAAGAGATTGTGTATGTGTGTGTGTGTGTGTGTGTGTGTATGTGTATATATAAACTTCCGATAATCTTGTACGACTTAGCATAAATGGTACTATTGATTTCCCTCGCGTTTGTACGCTAAAGGTAGTTCCTTCCATCGACTATCGCTACTTAATTTAAATATACCCGCTCGCGCTTACACTTACGTTTATCTCATCTTTTAATAGATTATCACTGTGCTTTTTCCCTCTTGGTTAAAATGTTCTCATCAATCGAGTCCACCGCGACTTGCGACATCATTCCTTTTTCCCTTCAGCAGAATGGAAGATGGTAAGCTTCGCAGCGAAAATCTGATCGCGATCGGCGCGAATAAAAATAAGGAATATTGGTAACTCATCGTGTACGATCGTTTCATCCGGATGGACGCTTAAAACTACACCTTGGCGGAATTTTTTTTTTTTTTTTTTTTTTTTTTTTTTTTTTCATTTTTTCTTTCAATCCTTACGCTAACCCCTCAGACCCAACTTTGGGTAGCTGGGGTTATTAACACAAGGGTTGAGCTAATACACTAATACACAGTGGCGAATTTTGCCTTTGGAGTCTTATAATAGATAATCTAACGTTCGTAACTGAAAATGTTAAGAAATTTTTGATATACAGCCTAAATTCGCCACTGCTATAATACGTCCTTCTCATTTAACGATAGGATACCCTTCTTTCAACTTAAAATGCAGTGTTCCTTGCGCTTAAAATTAAACAATTATTGACAACAACTCACAGCTTCAATAGGATCACTCGATCTTTCAAATCGTTATCGCGTTCCCTCTACGTAAATCGCAGGGTTTATCGACGTACGACGTTATTTTGTGCGAAATTAAATACTGTTATTATATAAACAATAATACCAATAAGACGTTCAACATATCTTTTTTTTTTTTCTCTTCTGTTGATGTCAAATATTTCATCTATCATAAAAATAATATTGCAATTAATCTCTATACGTTGAAAAAGATTTAACCGGTGGGTTAAATCCTGAACGGTTTTGAAATACTTGTCACGAAACACATAAAAAATTGTTAGGTGGAAATAGAGAAACGGGTTGCTACAGAAGCGTTAAGAAAAACCGTTTGCGTAGCTATTAAGAAAAGAATTCTGTGTCTGGGAGACGGAATAAACTACAACCGATATCGCCTGTTGCACTGATGACTCGTAAAACAACATCGTAACAGGGTCTCGTAGAGAATTTCTACAGCAACGTAACTTCTCCGAGAAGAGAAAAGAAAAATTCCAGAAACGAGCGTAAGATAAGGTATAACTGCGCAACAAGGCGAACGTTTCAGCCTGAACCCGCGATCGTTTAACGTTTTACACGACGAAAACGGTTTGAAACGGAACGAGCCTAAATGCCAGGAAATTACTACCGCGCCCAGCTCGTCGTATGCTCGAACCCGTGGACCAGCCCAGGCGGAATACTCGCGACACTCGTAAACGCCATAATATAATGGAAAAATCTATAGAAAATAAGGACTCGGTGCTCAGAAATCCATCCTGAGATTCTTTGCGTTCGTAGTTGACTATTTTATCAATTACCACACTCCTATTCCACAATCATCCCTATTTCCATGATTCCTCTTATCGAATCGGTATTTTCAATCACATAATAAGGGAGAAATTCATGGTAAATAGGGAGCTTATCAATTTTGCCACCGCCAGCCCACTGACATCGCTATTTCCATTACTACCATCATCCCAGTCGCATAGTAAAGAAAACACTTTCGAATTGATCCGTTGATTACCTCTCGACGCAACATAAGCCAGTACGCAAGTGTCACACGTATGTATGTATAATAGCAAAGGTGTCCCTTTTCTCTTTCGCATCGATAACGAGCACGCTCTAATTGCGCGTCTGGTGAAACGCATAAACGTCAATGTACGTATGTTCGTGTGCGTACACGTATACATATATACACATATGTTACATATCGTGTGTTAATAGTGATCGTTTCTTATTTTCTTTTTCATCATTTCCTTTTTGCAAAAGCTCGCGATCTTATATACGAGATAATTATAATGGGATGGATCACACGAGAGAAATTTACAATGCGTGAACGCGCAGTTATCTTTTAATCCTAAATTCTTTGTAATAGCTATTCAGAATTATATGTATACGTGTATATATATATAATATGTATGTGTAATATCGAATTACTTAAAATATCGTACGATTAGAAACAACAAGGACAATGTTACAGCGTAACATTTTTGATTGTCTTCCTAGAAGAGGCTCGCCCCAAAACGTTTTCTTTTTTCTTTTTCTTTCTTTTAATTTCGCCTTCGACTGTGAAATAGCCGCAGTGTGAAATCGCGCGGTACAAAAACGCTGGAAACGTTACCGTTTTTCTTTTTTTTTTTTTTCGTTTTTTAATATTTACTCGTCTCTTTTCTTCTTTGCATCTCTTCTTCATTTTTTTGGTTCGCTTTCATTTTTTTAGCGTACGCAATACGGGCTACTCGAAAAATTGTCTTTATACGGAGTACTTTCAGTCAAAAAAATATATCAAATCACGCATACGCCCATCCGAATCTTAAAACCTCGCCGCGTCCCTTACACCTCTAGGCCAAAGAGATTCCATCCTCGTTGGTGTACGTACTTTTCTTCTTTTCGTTTCATTGTCGCCGATCGTGTTGGCGATCCTACGATTTTACACTTTTGGAACGCGACTCAGCATCGGTCTCTCTTCTAATTAAATAACGCCTTATACATATAATAACAAGATTAAATAGTAGCACTTAGAAACGTTATTCCTTATTTAGAATCATGTACCTCTTCTCACGTGATCTCGTTCTTTTGCTCTGGCGCCATTCTCTGGAAATTTCGTCAACTTGAAAAACGGAACGTAATCCCGACGCTGGGCGGCGATGGTCTCGAGTATAATGAGAAACAGTGCGTTTAATACTGTGCGTAAGTAAAATATCGAATCGAAGAAGAAAACATAGAATTCGCTTCTTTATATTGTCGAACACAACGGTCAATGATACTTATTCGCGTTGAGATCAAAGTGGCATCGATTGGAAGATCAATCGACGCTCGTTGCTGATCTTTCAAAAAACAAAATGAAATCAAAGATTTTTCGAACAAAATGGAAAATCGTCTTTTAACGGGCTGATCGATATCGAACCTTTCGAACGAGCCTATACATGATAAAATCTCAAACGTCAAGAAAAAAAAAGAAATTCTTTGTACGCGAGACTTCGTAAACGAACCATTCCAGAACAATTTGCTTGAAATTTCACAGTGTTCTGTTCGTCGAAATCGTACACTCCCTCTTAAATGCTGTACACGTTGCAAAAAAGACTTTCTCAGAAGTGGATAAAATTATTTTAGCAAAACACAGGTAACTGCGTAGATTTCACGAATTCCCTACCGTTCTCGATACAGTATACGCCATGATTTTTTTATCCTTCGGAGAAGTAAAATCCGTTGTTGTCTTCCTGAACCGGATTACACTTTCGGCAAAATTACCATAGGTTTGGAAAATTTCCAAACCGTGTCAGGTTAAAACCAAGATACCATCTATCGTTTCAGTCAATACATATTCCCGCTAAGTGATTCCGGCATACTGGTTCCGCCGGATGGAGATAAAGGCAGCTCTCCGCTTTCGAATTTACTACAACGACTACTGTACTCCGCCATTAGGGTAGCTTTTACCTGAAACACGAATGAATAGTTTAAAACATCGGACAGACGACTTGAATACAAATAAAGAGGATGATGAGTCTTTTACTTTAGCCCTTTCTTCTTCGAGTCTTTGCCGAACTTCTTCGTGCTGTCGTTCCAGTTCTGCCCTTCTTTTCTCATAAATTTTCGTCAATCGAGTACACTCGTTCACACCCTTTTCAACAGTCGACTTAGCCACTTCTCGTTTCATACGATCCAGTTCCGCTTTGTCTTTATGTACTTTTGCCAACTGTTTTACCTCACCGTGCCTGGTAGCTTGAAGTTTCCTCATAACATCGGCAGTTTCTCGTTCCAATAGTACTCTTAATGTTTTCAACTGGTTAGATTGAGAGGTTTTCATTACTTTCTCCACGGTTGTGAATAGGCTTTCGTAATACTTTTCCTGAAGTTCGCGTTCCTGTTGAACGTGAGCTTTGCACACAGCTAAGAAACGTTCACTCTGACTTCTGGGTAATCCCTTTGGAGCTCCGCCATTACCTTCACGATTTTCTAAATCCGTACACTCTGACGTCTCGGCCAGAGCTAACGTGCTCAATCCTACCTCGCTAGAAAAGCTGTAGAAGAAATATAAACATTTATGTAACGCTCATGAGTGAAATCTTTCTGATAAAAGTCTACAACTTACATGTTTCTGCTTGACAACCGCTTCACTAATTTGTGGCTCATATAAAACTTCGATTTGTGCTTTTCACCGTCCAGAGAACTTTTTTGCGATTGTACCCTTAATTTTTCTTTCTCGTGTTTCTTTCGTAAAGATTCCAATTTCTTTTCCAATTCCATTTTCTTCTCTCTGACAAGCTTATTTTCCATTAATTTCTCTAACGATTCAGCTACTACTTCGTCGAGCACTACAATATTATAATAAAGAATAACGTTTGACTGTTAAATGCAATGCGAAAAAGATATAATCGACACGTACTGCCACTGGCATTGATCGGACTTTTATTGCTAGAAGCTTCAACAACTTGAACCGGTGGAGCTGGAGTTCCATCATCGGCATCTTGCGTTTCGGACGTATTTGTAGTTGCAATAGATGGCCTACCGTGCACATTGCTAGATGTTGAAATAGGTGTCGGTAGTTCACCCACAGATTGTAATCTTTTCGTTTTGACAGTTTCCTCCTGCAACAAAATATTTAAGCCTAAGTATAAACCAGTTAACATTAGTCAACATTTTCTATCCCATAAACTTACAGTTGGCTTAGAAGAACTTGCTCCTTCACCAACTTTCGGCTTATCCTATAAAATGTTAGTACCCGTGTGTTAGTGTATTATTTAGTTAGTAGATAAACAACTGTTCAACGTTTCAAACCTTACATCAACTTCATCTGACGGGGCCTCCAGACAATCTGTAAGAACTGACAATTGCTTTTCTCTCTTCTCTATTTCACTCTGGTATTTAATCGGATTCGCCAAAGCCTCGGCTAGCTCGCTAAGCCCATCTGGAACGTAATCTTTCACAATAACTTGTAGGAATAAACTTGCTAAAGGTAATGGTTGACCACACTCGGTTCTAAGAGCAACGTGTCGATATCCAGGACATAGTCCAACTACTGGCAATACCCTGTGACCTATTAGACGACCTGACTCTTCGTATGCAGCAATTCTGATCGAAGCTAATTCAGGTAACACAACCTAACGAAATATAAACGAGATTCTTTTGTAAATACATATTTACAATATCGAGTACAGCAGACTACCCTCCCATACGGGAGGAGAGTAATCCCCATTTTCCATGGGAAAGTCTACCATACTCGGCACTGTACACTTAACAAACACGATTGAAATTGATTCTTACTTTTTTGAATACAAAAGGTTCTTCATCGTATACAGGATTAATTCCATTGTTTGGAACAATTTTCGTACGGAATTTCTTTCTTACTGTGTCTGCTGGTAAACCATACATATCCACTTCAACGTAAGTACCCACTCTTTTGTCTGTTAAAAACTGAGCCGATATTACATGTATGTGAACTGTTCCTGCTATGATACCATCCACAGTTGATTCTGCGAAAGGATCTAATCGACGATCCTTTCGCCTCATGAATTCTGGTTTCATGAGATAACCGCAACGCTGATTGTATTCAAAGATACCCAGATTTAACTGCATTGCAAGGTCTAATAAAAGAGAGGAAATTAAAGAATGTTACTACTCTACAAAACAAACATAGATAAAATTACAGAGTTACATACCAAGTGTTTGATAATTTAATGCAACTAATTGACAACCAGCATTCCAAAATACTTGAGGCATAAAATTACTAGAATCAAAACGCGTGCCTGCTGGATATACTCTTGATAGCTGATGCTTATTGTAATTTACAAATTCAAGTGGTCGTTCCTTCAAAAGAGTTGTAGCTTGTTTTTCGTCGAATGACGACATCTCGTACATACGGTTTTTTTCTGTAACAATCAATATAAATAAATAAAAATATATTGATATTGTTATACACATTAACTTACTTTCAGCTGATTCGAAACTATTGAAATGAACAGGTTGTACGTAATTAACTAAGGCTGAAATTTCTGCCCCAGCTTCCGTTTCCTTAGCGCTAGACGCTACTTTATCAGGTGCAGGCACTTTGTCATCCATCCTTAATTTAATATCCTCCACGTTTGATTCATCTTCTTCCGTACTTGATTCTTCTTCTTCATCTAAAGCAATAAATATTTCGAGTTTAAATTAATATTTTCAGCTTCTGATTGTGAAGTTTCATTTATTTCTTCTAATGCTAACCATCGTCGTCTTGAGCACTATCTTTGCTGCCTTGTCTTTGTTGCAACATTGGAGGATGCGAAATATCTCCGTTTCCAATCTGCTGATCATTGTTATCACCTCCTTCGGCTTGAGGAACAACGTCCGGCGGTGGACCATTCTCTCCATCAACACTTTCATTTGCTACCCCATTATCTTCGTTTTCTTGGGCTCCTTCTTCAACCTCTGATACTGGTGTTTGTTGCTTTTTCTTATGTTTTTTATGGTGATGATGATGTTTCTTCTTATTCTTTATTATAATTTTACGTTTCAACAAAGACGGAGGTGGTAACTCTTGGCCAGGTTCCAGCTAATACGAAAAGAAATCTAACTAGAATCATGACTGATAGGGCAGAATAATAGAAACCGTGATTGCGTGAAAAATACCTTATGAGATTCAAGAGGGGCATCAAGCAACATTTCTCCAAACAATTCTCTACAATACTGAGCTATCTTAGCTTGCTGCCTTGGGTTACAATGATTTTCAAAACTAAGAATAACAGGATATTCTGATGTTTTGAAAGCACTTTCAGCAATTGCTTCAATTACATCCCGTGCATAAATTTCAGGTACAAATGTATATCTAAGCAGAAAATTATTTTCAACTGTTTGCACACTTAAATCAGCTGAATTAAGTAATTGTTTAACAAATAATCGTACCCATGGACAATGACAGGTTCATCAAATTTTCCATTCCAAAAGTCCAATTCCACGCATCGACAACCAGCAAGTAAGCACTGACGATATATTTCTACGGAACTTTTTCCGGTAAGTTGATGTCCTACAAAAGTGCAACAAAATAATGTTAAACAATGTTTACAATACATTTATATCATTAATTAAGGAAAAAAAGTCAAAAGAACTGCAAACCTGTTAAGTATGTATTGTGACTAGAATTTATGAAGTAATGCGCAAGCGGTTGCTCCATATCATCCGACAATTCAAGTTTCGACAAAGCAACGATTGGATTATCCTCGCTCATCAAATACCTTAAAAATCCATCGAAACTTAACTGACCCCGACTGGCATTACATTTATTTGGTTCATATTGACTTATAATGTCTTTTGCTCTAGCTTCATTTGCATATGGATACAATATTTCATTTAGACGCGGATCTCTTTGCGTTTTGTTCAAAAATTCAACAAATTGAGTAACGGACATTAATCTACGTTTATTATTGCCTACAAGGGTTTCAAAAACTTTTTCAACATCCGATCGCTGAGTAAGAGACTTATAAAAGTTGAAGAAATCTTCAAATTGAAATTTTGGTAACGATATCATGTCATTCTGAAAACAAAATACATTGAGATTTTAGTATAAATTAAGGAATAATTATACCTGAAAGAAATTACTTACTTTTCCGGATGGAAAACCTGAAATATCGAGTGCTTTCTCGACACGCTTACGATCTTCTTTATTTTGCGCAAACATTTTTATTACGCTGAAATGACAATACATCAAATATATATACATATTTATGTATATATGTATAATTATTTTAATACACACACACACATATATACAAATTGTGCTCACTTCTTCACAGGAAATTTTCCTGATTTATCAGCTGTAAGTGTAAGCTTGGTATATGCTTTCTGCAGAAACATAGTTGTACTAGTATTGAGTAGAGTTAAATTATATGCAAGCTGAAAAATTTGCTCTGTCCAATGTTGTGCAATTTCTGCACTGGTTGTACAAAAGTTAATAAAATTCATATTGACAAAATCAGATCCATAACAAATCGTCACTGTCTTTTCCTCCAATGAATCTTGAAAGCCCACTGTCACAATAGATTTCAGTTTAGGATCCTGAAAACCATTTTATGATTAAATAAACACATTTAATATGAATGGCCACAGACTTTCAATGCAACAACTCTAACAAAGTTTGTCCGCATAAAATCAGATTATACACATTATAATCAAAACAATAGCTGGTTTTACAATAAGCTACTAATACACAGTGAAAGTGCAAACAAAGCCACTTTATGTGCTGTTTATTGATTTATAGGAAAATGAAACAGATAAGAATTGCTCTCCTTTCTCCATAACTACGATTATTTCCACTGTGTATAAAGATAGGTGTGACTGAAAAAAATGAACTACATTGAAGACATAAAGTAGGTAATATTCTATTTATAGATTTGTCAATAATTATCGTGTGTTGGTGGTATGCATCATTAGCATCCATGCAAAAGCATGATATAATTATAGAAAGACAAGCTACTTCATTTCTAAATGCTAAATATCTGATATATATTGATACACTGAACTAATGAATCATTCGGTTTTTTAATTTTTAACTTGTATCCAACTAGTTGTAGTTTCGTACCTTTGGTACTTTAGCATATTTTCCAGTGCGGGTATCTCTTATTATAGCAATATCCAACATTTCCATCTCGTTATGTTGATCCACCCAATGCAAATAAAATCCAAACTTGTCTACCCTTAATGTCACAGGAGTTGCTATACCAGAGTCCTATGGAGAAATAAAATAAACAAAACAATTATAAACATTTGTCAATTATAAATTGTTCTATTTAAATATTTACGTATAACTCTCACCTCGTCCCATTTAAGAAATTTTTCTCCATTTTGCAACTGTTTAGAGACCTCGACAGGCCTAAATTGCAAAGGACTACCTGTTGTCTTGTTACCTGCCATACTGCCTGAAGGATATTACAAGCAGATTTGTATAGAATTAATATTATCTCCTAGTACAAGTGCACTAGTATAGGAGAAAGTGATCCAGGCTGATTATGCCAATGGCAACAATAACAAGCACGAGGACGTTGATAACCACAATGAAGATGACGACAATGACGACTGCTGTAACGAAAACCACGTCGTTGACAGTGGCAATTGAGAACAGGGCGATGACGGCGGTGACGGCGTTGACGACAGCAGCCTTGCTACCAGCAATGACGACGGCGACGACCACGACGACGAGGACGATGATAACAGCGGCGGTGAAGATGATAGATGCGGTGGTAACGATATCAGCGACGGTGAAAACAACGGCGGCGACGACGACGGCGACGACGGCGACGACGACGTCGACGTAAGCCTCATCGAGAATCTCCTAAGCATTAGGCGCACCTCGGGAACCACCTTACCTTGACAAGTGCCGTTGCTTAATCATCCGTGATAGAAGATGCGACTGTAACTCGACGACGACGTCGTCGTCGTCGCCGTCGTCGCAAAATTCTGACGGGTACCGTCTTGCGAGTATCGATAAGAGATTCGTAGAGTTTTCAGTGAACATCGACGATGTCAGTTTCAGTTAACTGAACGTTTCAAAGATAAAAAACAAATCGCGAAATTGTGGAACCACTGACAAGTATCTCGAAGTGTACGGAAAGGAGAAGACAGCTTAACACGTATGTTCCACGATAAAAGGAGCTTTTCAATTAATATGCACCGCGAAAGTTTTCGTACTTCTGGGCACTCGCGCATTCACTTGGTCCAGAAAAGCATCCTTCCGCGCGCCGTACCGACGATGATCCGAGCAGATCCGAACACCGCCACCCGTCACCCGTCAACAGTCGCCAGTTACCCTCGTCGCCAGGAGGCGCTCAAACTCTTTCACAGCCACCAGATTATGCTAGAACGCACTACACGTGCGCCTATCGCGCTCAAATTGATTTTAACGCGAACCGTGATATTCAATAAAGCTACCACTTAAAGCTCTTTCAGCGTTATTCTAATCGCATCATTATCTATAAATAGGTTCTTATTCTTTCAATTGATGAACTACCTTGATAATTCATTCTTTTACTTTTGTAACGCTACATAAGACACATTATTAGCTCACGCTCAAATGTAATTTGATGATTTCAGCAAAACTTGATACTGTCTAATTTTGGTCTTACCTAAAAATAGATATATGCCCTCCACGCAGAAAAAAAACTAATCAACTGCAACGAGTTCATTAAATCGATCCAATCTTATCCTGCGGCCAATAAGCTCGAATCAATTTGATTTAACGCCCGGTGACTAAACAAGCCGTTAAATTCTTTACTATACTCTTAATAATACCGTGATATTTAAAACATCAATTAGAAAATAAATTTCAAAGGATTTAATCTTCTTTGTATATAATACTTATGCAATATTGTGTTATCCTTATAACAATTGTTATAAGATTACTTCTTTTCAATTACAGTTCCTGTTTTATCTATAATACCTTTGTTAACTACAACATTGCAATTTTCCTTTCTTATCACATGTAATGCTTATAATTAAATTAACATAAGAATTTCTACAATCTCATGGAAGTCCTATATTCAAGGGATCTTAGTCCTTAAAGGTATCCTAAGTTGTGATTGGAAATGGTTACTTCTTTTATCCATTCTAACAAAATTTCATTTGGCATAATTAACATAGAAATAAATAAATGATCACACATGACTGAAGTAAAAGACAAAGATGTATAAAAGTTTAAATGTTATCACTGTTATTCTGTATGTAATATTTCATCTTCATTCCTGTTGATTGGATCCCCTTTTAATAATGCAATAATCATGCTGAAAAAAAAAACAGTGTATAACAATAATTGTTCATTTAATCACAACTATAATGCATATATTTGTAGTATACATACCAATAAAGATAAATAAAAAAGAAAATAAGATAGTATCCAAGATAGATCATACAATCTCTTGTATGCCTCTTTAACTGGCCACGATTGTGAATCTCTGTGGGATCATAAACTCCCATATTGCCACTAGGTACACCAAAATATTCATAGAGCAGCCACAATGTCATTGGTAAATTTACCAAGCACAATATTAACTGCCCATGTGTTAATAATAAAAACTCTAAAAATGAATGTGCTACTAACTTTGGTACCACCCACTGCAAAATTTTATTTGAAGTTTGTTAACTGTGTTTTACTTACATATATGTGTAAATTTTATTTAAGAGTAATAAAATCATAAAAAGTTTACCGTATTTAACTTTGAACAACACTGTTGTGCATTTAAATAGTCACATTCTAAATCTGATAAAGTTATGACCTATGTAATTTAGATAAGGAATATAACTGTATACTTGTTAATGAGAAAAAAGGTACTTTGAACAACTTTACAGTTGAATATAGCGCCAGTACAGGTGCTTCAACATTGTAAAAACAAATATATTATTGAAATCCCTAGGCATGTTTTTTACTAAAATACCTGTAGAATTCAACAATTAACTAATCAAGTTAAATAAACAACAGAAAATGTAACTGAGTAACATTCTGTTTGATTGTAAAACATAAAAAGGATACGAAATACACCAAAAGGAAAAGTACCGAACCGGTATCGATTAAAGCTAATACAAACAAGAGCGGTTCGGATATTAGACCCATTCTAATGATCTATTATTATATATTGACATTCAATTGCATTAGGAACGTATCTGATAATCATATGGTATTTTCCTTGTAGGCCAGTACACTGCAAATGTTTATCACGCAGAAATTTTAATAAACCTAAGAGAAAACTAAATGTGACCGATTGTCAAAATCAACAAAATGAACAACTCACGATGCTACCAACTATCAGAGTTGATGAAACTGCTTTTAGAGCTACGTTGATGCAAGTGTTGAAAACTTTACCGACAGTCCCTAGAAAAATTTTCAGAAACGAGTTCTCACCTGTTTACGCATATTTAAAGCGACCAAAGTGATCAATATTACATTGAAAAATTGAATGACACATTAAAATGAATATTTACCATATATCTATTGATGAATCAACTGTGTATTTCATGTATATACAAATATAAATAAATTATATATGAACCTTTTCAGAGATAGTATACAAAGGTAAAAATTACAAATTTTAAAACATAGTTTATAACTGTATAATTACATTTGCAATTTGCACATGTGATACTGAAATAAAATTACAATTACAGAAATGTTCCGAGAAGCTCCAAAAGTTATAATAGAAGATGGGTCTTCTCCGTCTGCCCCCTATGTTGTATATATCAGAATGGAAGATCTGTTAGAGAAATTAAAACTATTAAATTATGACACAGAATTTTTACCAGAATTTAAAATAAAAGCTATCAATAGGTAGCTATAATAATTGCATATGAAATAACATACTCAAGCAATGTATAAATTTATAATAACAAATCTATTTAACATATAGGAACTATTTTGTAACACAGACAAATCCAGGAGAACAATTTTATACATTTACATCACTGGCTGCATGGTTAATCAGAAAGAGTGGCCAAAATTTTGAACCTCCACAAGAAGCAGATGATCCTAATGCCACTATAGCTTTGATACTAGATTATTTACGAGATATCAATGTATCAATAGAATTCCCACCTAACAAACTTAAGCAAGGCAGTGGTGAACATGCTATTTATGTTTTAGATAACTTAGCAGATCAAGCATTAAAGACACAAAAATTTCAGTGGAAGAAGTAAATTTCTTAAATATGTATAACAAAAGTATCAGTATCATATTTCAGTATTATATGAATGAATAATACTTTTAGAGTAGATATACCTCCTGATGAACCAAGTAGTGAACCAGATGTAGAAGATGATGATGCAGAATTAATTCTAGAAAAAGTAGAGGAAGAAATGATGGCTGAGTATGATGATGAAGATGAAGATATTTTACATATAGATGATATTACAAAACTGTATGGTCAGAATTTTGTGAGTAAATTCACACAGCCATTTACAACATGTAGAAAATGTAGATTTAAACGTTCTGTCATTTTTTCTAGAATGACACACAGAAACCAGATGATATATTAGAGTCTAAAACAAATAGGGAAGAGTGGCAATTAGAATTAGAAAGAGTTTTACCTCAATTAAAAGTAACTGTTAAAACAGGTATTGAATGCTTAATAAACATTTAGAAATCAAATTACCAAAAAAGTTATTTCATTTAGATTCAAGAGATTGGAGATCACACATAGAACAAATGAAACAGTTCCATACAAATATTGGAACAAATCTGACTGGAACTAAAAGTCAATTAGATAAACTACGTACTGATGTAACAAGTGCCTTAGACAAAGTAAAAGCAAGGGAATCATATTTAAACAGACAACTTGATCCTATTTTGAAGGAGTATCAAACACTTCAGGATGAATTATCAAAAATAAAAGAACAATATCGGGATGTTAGTGGAGGTGTAACAGAAAGGACAAGAATATTTAATAAATTAACAGAGGAATTAGAACATGTCAAAAAAGAAATGGATGAGAGAGGCTCAAGCATGACTGATGGAAGTAAGTATTAAATAGTATGTTACATGAATTTATTAGTGACGATTGTCTTTTGTAGCCCCGCTTATAAACATAAAAAAGACGATTACCAAAATGAAGAACGAAATTTCTGAAATGAACGTTCGGATTGGCGTGTTAGAATATAGTCTTATGTGTGCGAGGATACGAGATCGTACGCAGTTGCAAGAAGATATGAATAATACAAATGGTATCGTGATAATTTGAGTTATTAAACAGCATTTTGTTACATAACTGCTTTGTTGTTGTTCGTGTGGTAAACTTAACACTTAATATCAATTGTACCGAATTATACCATCGGTACTTTATTATTTTCAAATACGTTTCATGCACATCGTTACAGTTTAGTCATTAACAAGGGTCCAATAAGCTACCGTCCAAAACTATTTTTATAAACTTTCTACGTGTAAACAAAATGTTCAATTTGCAAAAACCAATTGTTTGGCACGTTTTCTCTGAATGCAATTACAATCAATAAACTGTTGCAGCAATGTAAAATACATTTGTAATACTTATTCGCTTTCATTACGACTTTCAAAGTGAATTCCTTGTTCCTAGTGACGTAATTAAAACCGAGTAAATGGAAACGTATGATTGAAAGTTTGAAAGTGATTTGAAAGAATCTTGCACATTCGATTCGTGCGTTAGAGTATGAGAAAGTATTTTCACCTAATTCCTACTGATGGACAAGATTGAAACAGAGGGAACACAGCTCTGGCAATCCACCGATCCCTACTTTGGTCATTCCTCAATCGGCCTTGCATCAGCTCACCGCGAGCTGGTCAACTAAAAGTTTGCGCAGGCCAGTCGTCGGGTAATCTCTCGTGTTCGCGTTACCTTTGGACGTGACACTGTCTCGCTGTGTATTAATAACGAGACGGTCTATGACCAGTAACATGTGTCAAGAGTAAACAGCCTCACAGTACCCTTAATGAGAAGCATCTAATGATACAAACAGGTTCGTAGTTCGTAATCAATACAGTACGATTATATCCATACGCACCAATTTACAATCATCCACTTAGATTACTAATCTAATACACGTGTTCTTAATTTTTTTCTTTTTCAGTACCTACTGTTAATTTACTTACATTGATACGTACATTTTTAGAAGTGTATTTCTCTGAAAGATTAAAGCTTTTTCCAAGAGTCATTGACTCTTTTTATCTCCCTACTAGGATGCACTTTCTTTTCAGTTTGAAAGATCTTCACATGCGTTTATAACACGTATGTGCCGATCTTTCCTCAACTTTCACCCGTATTTCAGCGCATAATTTTGAAGAGATTCGCTTCGTTTCAATGCTATTCCAACAAACTTGCTTACAGAATATTTTACCATGCTTAAAATAACTTTAACGTTAATCATTTGCATAATTTTAGTTATTGTGTTACGTAAAGAATAGACCAGCACTTGTCGGTTTTCCCGCGTCCTCGGTTGTTTTGTTAGGAAAGTGCATAAATTTTACAAAAACAGTACATAAGTAATTACAAGTAGATGACACATGCGTGCTCAATTCGTCACCAGTTTTCTTATGCACAATTAATCGGAATGAAATGGATACAGAAACGGTGAAATCATCGGTTCTTTGGTTTCTTGTTTAGTCTCATATCAATTATGCGTCGTACTCGGGCGTGTTGCGTTTTTTTAAAAATAGATCGATTAATGTGTTTTCGAATTCTTGGATCTATTTCAGCTTAACTTATAAAATACGTGTATAAAACTGGTTAAAAAAATTTAAGACTACTTCATTCATTATATCCTAAACACCTGTTTTCGTCTGTATACGAAAAGGAAGTTTTGAATAATTAAGTATTTACGTCTTTAAAAGTTTTGTATTCTGTCGTACTAGGAACGATTAATTGTCACTGTATCTAACAGGAAAAATCGCCTCACGATGATACTCAGTATCTAATCTTATTACGCTTAGAATTATACTTCATGTTCAGATTTGGTTTTGATAATAAAATAGGATATACTTCTAAGTGAAATGAATTTACCCGCCAGCTATTTAAGCTATCTAAATTAAATCATTTTACGAGGTTTTTGAATAATTGATATATCAGCACCTGAAAATGATAAGTTCGTCAGATGATTTACAGTTTTATCTTCATTTCGTGCTTAATTAATATAGCCTTGAATATTGAACGACTTTGAACTTTGTGCAACGAATGATAAGAAACATTGCTCTGATCTACAAAATTCTTTATTCGTTCTTCCGTTTCTGCGATTTAATTTCATTCTCATTATATTATTATTATAGAAAAATGTAATAGTTGCTAAAACATCATAAAATATTTGTAAATAAACTATAAGGTTATCATTCATACATTTAATTTTTCCAATCATCTGCAAACTTGTCTTATTGGCATATTAAACTTTGCCTTACAATTAGTAAATAGACGTTGTTCTCTGTCATGATATTAAATAAGCGATTACACTATTAAAGTACAGTAATAATAATGATAATGCTAATATAGGGTAATAACGAATCAGTATTATCAAAAGATTTATTTTATATATTTGATTACAATAATACATTTGCAAGTTTTAAAATCTGCTATCGTTAAAGATAACATAATCACATGAAAATACTTACAAATAATTACAAATACTTGAAAATTAAGATATGATGCCATATAATTATTCGTGTAATACGATAAAAGATCATGTTACGATGAATTTTCATATATTCGCGCCTACGGTCTGAGGTATGTATGTATACTTGAGGTCACGAGAGTCCATAACTAAGCGTGCAGGTTGGAAGATGGTGGGGGAACGCAGCGATGGTGGGGGAAAGCGATCCGCCAATCGCTTTCCACTTCCGCTGGAAGTATCACCAATCAGAGCGACAATGCGCAGAAAAGAACGAAAACTGGTCTTTTCGCAGTTATGGACTCTCGTGACATCAAGTATATGTATGTACATACATACATCAGGCGCAAGTGTTGCACTGTTTGCCAGTGAAAAGCGTTTTCGCACTCATGACTTATGTTTATTTAAGTAAATGCGACTGATTGTGAATTGGAGAAAGATATTATTTAAAATATTTGTTATCAAAGCTTCGGTGTTCTTAATTCTGATATGATTGGTATTAAATCGTAATCAATCAAAAGATAATTATCATTGCAGTAGCTTATTCTTATTAGGACGATAGGTACCTCAATAACTGTGCAACAATTTGTGTTGGGAAAAAAAACATGAATCGTGTGCATAAATTTCAATGGGTCAATATTATAATTTTACGACTGCTAATGAATATTTCATATTTAAGATGACTCGTATCGTTGATGTTATAAAATGTTATTTAAAAGATATTTTAAACAATAAATTGATAAACACATGATGTATATAGATAAAAAAAATTGCCTTGACTATGTGATTGATGTAGAGCTGCTGTAATTGAAGGAACAAAATTATAAAACACCTGAAAATTATTATTATTATTAAGTATGAATACAAAGAATTAATATCATTTTTATTTGAATAAATAAATTGATATTTATAGATGTTTTACTTATACACATAAATCAAAGAACTGCAATATTACAAAATATAATACTTATTTGTTACAGGTGAAAAACATCAATTAAAATAATGAATATTCGTACAAAGCTAGCCATCATCTTTGGTGTAGGTTTAGTAATAACACTTGTTGGATTAATAACAGGAATATGTTGGTCTTTAATTTATCAAGCACTTTTATATGCGGTGAGTATAAGAATAACATCTTAAGTTTATAATTATTACATACATTTTATCTTTATAGCAATTATCATTAACACCATCATCTACAAACTATGAACTTTGGAAAGCAACACCCATCCCTATGTATCTAAAAGTATACTTGTTCAATTTGACTAATCCAGATGATTTTACTGCTCTCAATGGATCAAAACCAAATTTTGTGGAAATGGGTCCTTACGTATTTAGGTATCAAGTTTACATTACACCCTATAATTTGCATTAACTTGGTTGTAACTAATACTTTTTAATGATAGCGAAGTTGATTACAAAGTAAACCAAACATGGAATGAAAATGGTACTATAACATATCAAAGGAAAAGGGTATGGCATTTTGAGGAATCAATGTCAAATGGTAGTTTATCTGATAATGTAACTAATATAAATGCTATAACAGCTGTATGTATCTTTTAATACCATTATATTTGAAAAATATGATTTTACATATGTAACAATGAATTTTGTTTACTTGTTTTTTTTTTAGAGTGTTGCATATGCATTACGACATAAGTCGTCTGGTTTACGTGGAATGGTAGATGGAGTAATGCGTGTAATAGATCAAAAATTGATAATCACCAAAACTGTAAATGAATTATTGTTCGAAGGTTACGATGATAAATTGCTAGACATAGCTCGACGATTGAATATGACTGAAATTCCATTCAATAAATTTGGTTGGTTTTTTAGTGTAAGTATTTTTTACAACATTAATAAAACAGAAATGAAGTTCAACAAAATTTATTGATTTCAAGTTGTTTAATATCTTATCATCTATAGAGAAATGGTTCTGCATCTTATGATGGAACATTTAACATGCTTACTGGTTCATCTAATTTACGTGACCTGGGGATATTAAAAGAATGGAATTTTAATGATACAGTCAGTTATTATCCTGGGCAATGTGGAGTAGTAAGTGGAACAAATGGTGATTTGTGGCCACCATTACCCAATAACGAGACTATTAGTTTCTTTGTATCTGATATTTGCACGTGAGTGTAATTTCACGTTAAAAATATGAAGTAATACCTCGTTGTTAATTTTTTCTATATTCTTTCAATTATGTTAATAGGAGTATGTCAGTGAAATACGATAACGTAACTGTTCACGAAGGATTGACTGGTGTTAGGTATATTAGCGATGATACGATACTCGATAATGGAACAAAAGTACCATCTCGACAATGCTATTGCCAGGGAGATTGCGTACCATCTGGAGCATTAAATATTTCAGCGTGTAAATGGGGTGCACCGGCATTCATTAGCTTACCCCACTTTTATTTGGCTGATCCGAGTTACCGAGAAAATATTACAGGAATGATTCCTGATAAAGAGAAACATGAACTTTCAATATCCTTAGAACCGGTAATAATCATAAGATAATAAATAAAAATCCTTTAATCTACCACATCATATAAACATTATAACTTTTATAGAAAACGGGAGTCCCACTAAAGGTACATGCACAATTGCAATTAAATATAATGGTTCTACATGATGATGTTATGAAGTAAGTTTCTTTTTCTAATGTAATATATTTTTATACAAATTGTAAGCTTAAATTCGCATAATATTTTCAGGTTATTTAAAAATGTTACGACTACCTTCGTCCCGACGCTATGGTTTACACAGGAAGCTACTTTAACTTCCAATTATGCTAGTATAGTCAAGTTCATTATAATTCTGGAATCATTGGGCAGTGTAACTTTGTTTGGTATTGCCGCTATTGGTATTTTAGTTTTAAGCATTGGTCTTTTCTTATGTATTCGACACAGTTTAAGAGGTGAGGAGAATCAAATTTTATTATCACAAAATGATTTTGTTGACGGTGGTGGTATCAATCATTGATTAATTATATTTTTAACGAAGAAATTATGAACTTATATAAAAAACAATTATGACCAATGTGACAGTTAGATAAGAAATAATTATCATCGTTAGAATTCAACAATTGAGAGCATTTATATATATATATATATTTTTTTTCAAATCTTATTATATGTTTCCTTATTATAGTTAGAAGAACATAAGGTAGCACCAAAATAATTATAAAAGAAGAATTTAATACCGTAAGATTAACACATTGTTCCAATTGATTATAAGTGTGCTTACAAAGTATTTCCATAATTTAAACAAGTGCCTCATTGCCTTAATGATAATAGATAGTTGTTGGAAGCAATAAAAGAAATAGTTTATGAAGTTTAAATATTTAAAGATGATATATATATGTATTATAACTTAACGTAAATGTTCTTAAAATATTTTTTTAGCAATGCATATGATAATCTAGGTATACATGCCTATGAAATTAAAACTAAAAAGCTGATAAGTATTAGAATGGCATTAATTAAGATAAATACATGTTTGAGTCAATCATGTAGATAAAGTTTTAGTATTTACAACACTGTTAATACTGTGATAACTAGAAACTTCTTCCATTGTAAATATAATAGAATCTAATAGAAATAAAAGGATATTAATTTTATACAATATTATTGAAAATAAAGTACTTTTTTTCAAATTGCACTATTTTTACAGCGTATATACACAATTGCATGTTTATCTTTTTCATAAAATTATTCTTTCAAGTTTAAATAATAAATTATACTTTCAGACTGTAGATGTCGCTACCGTTTAGTTTTTAACAAAAAGATATATATACATATTGTTAGATATCTTGCAGTAACAGAATGATTGAAACCTCATAAATTTATCACTCTTTAAAGTTCTCCTAAAAAGAACTTCACAATCTTTATAAGAGACAACCATTTCGATTATTCTCTGACCTATTTTTATATTCCATATTTCTACCATACTATGGAAGTCTTTAAAACATGTTTCCTTTACTTTACCTACTTTGAAAAATCGATGAAATATGAAAAAAGAAAGAAAAATATTTGGATTGCACTCGCATGAAGCAATTTAATTAGTCGTGTGTAAAAATAAAAGAATCCTCCGTTTTCCGTTTTGCATGTTTATTATTTAAAAAAAAAATAATAGGAAACTACGCAAAGCAAAACAGGAACTTGTTGAAATGAAAAACATCAAACTGTTGAATACTTTTAACGATTTGTATCTTATCTTTTCTATCTATTCTATTATACGACAATTACAATTACAGCTTCTTCAATTTAGAAATTTCTTCTTAGATGAATTTATGAGGATTAAAAACGAAATGTAAAGTCATGAAAGTAATATATCCTATAAAAGTATGCGGTGGTTAGTGTAAAGATCAGTTTCAATTTGTCGCACGCTCGCGACTCGTTGCATATTTATACAAAGTAGAGGCACGTTGACTAACAACAAGTTACTTTGATCTCATTAATCATAGCTGGTAAAACTTCTGTATGTACATACACCGTGTGCGTGGAACGATCTAAATATCGTGGCAACTTTTGTAGAGAAGCGACGATCGATCCTTTGCTCGCATTTATTTTATCCTCGGACGTACAATCACGACAATGAGGCGTTAGTTTCGTGCAAATAAGATCGTCTGCCTGATACTTCCTGAAAAACACAAGCTCTCATTTCCGTCGAAGGGAAAAGCGCTTTCGTATTTCTCGTTCGCTTTGAAATCCAAAAAAAGGTGTACCAATCATTTGTAACAAGTCGAGGAAATTGTTGACTTTTGCTCCACTGAGGCAATATCAGATTCTGTATTTATAGACAACTGCTCGTAAGTAATATTACAGAGGATAAAAGCACATGTTACGTGAGTTGTAAAACGACTAACAATGAAATATACTAGCAAGTTGCAAGCGTTTGAGGGAATAATGTAAAGGAAGATGCGATCAGGGCTAACGAAGAAACATGTGTACACAAGGTAAAATCTCTGCACCCCTTTGAAAATCCTTGAACTTTCTTCATCTCGGAGTAACTCACGCGCTATCTGAGACCCTAGAAAGGTATTTTCTACCGGAATTTAATACTCCTCCGGAAACCTTTTATTTTCGAAGAATCTCGACTGCAAGCACGGCTGCGCCAGCTATCAAGGAGTAAGCTTAAAATCTTCTATCGTAAAATCCCTTGGGGTAACATCGTCTTAACTTTTTCTTTTTTGTTTTTTTTTTTCCGTCTAAGACAGTGGCTATTTACGATTTCATTGACTTCTGATCGAACTTATGCTTTTCTTTAGATACCTCTGATTCCTTGTGGAAGCAATTCTGATTGAAATCGTGGCGCACACTCGTAAAGACGAGATTGGAATTTAATTCTAGCCGGCTGAATTTATCCAGGAGAATAAATAGACTTTATACTACCTAGGCGGTAGTAAATGAAGAGAAGTACCTCGAAACGAACACGTTTTGTTTGTTCAACGAGACAAGCACAGCAAATGTAGCTGTTCGAAGCAACACCAACTTTACCCTGATTAGTTGCGAGATAAACTGCTCGTCCACGAGGCGCACATTTTTAATAAATCTTTCAACCACTTTTTCGATTTTTCACCACTTTATCTCCGGAGAATTTATGTTCGCGAACGCCTACGAGTGGACGTGAAGAAGAGTAATGTGTGTTCTGTGACAAATTGCTTGAATTTAATTTAATTTTATTAAATGAGAAGAGGGAATTTGTTGTTTATGTAAATTTTCCTCTTGCTATTTTACAAAATTTACTTAATTTTTTCTTTTTCTTTCAGTTACTCTGTTGTAATCGAGTTCAACTTGTCACATCCACAACGTTGAACGTGTTAAAGGGTGTTCTGACAAAATACAGCTAATTCAAACGTGAGAAACATTGGAAGGAGGAACCTGGTCGAAGCATCGGAGTGTACCAGTGCACCTACGCGCTCGTTAAATCGACGTACATACCTCAGTTTCGCAGAGTCCGTCGTCGCGTACACATCCCTGTCCCGAATCGGAACCCCCGGTTGCCCGTCGTCGCGACGCGCACCATCGAAACTCCTCCTCGACCGTCCTCCACCACTGCACGCGTTTTCCCGCGAAACAGTGCTTGATCTGACGCTTTCACGGCCTGGTGTTACGTGTTCGTGGTTCCAATTCTTCTTTCTCTTCTTTGTGTCTACTGTACCACTTACAGTATAAAACAGTTCGTAGCCCTATCAACAATTATTTTAATTTTTCATAGCATATTATTATTCATAGCATTAATATTTAAAATTAAATTTATGGTGCCAATTACTAGTCGCCCATAGGATAATCAACTTATTAAAGAAATGTAAAATAATTCAATGTTACATTAGGTACTAATGTTTAAAAATTGAAGATATATTTGCGATGAAATTAGGAAACTTTCTCTTAAAATTGCGTTGGTAGACCCTCTCGGAAACGAAGCGTCAGAAAAAAAGTTTACGAAGGGAGGCGGGTTAAAGTTTCCCTAGGCGCAGATTGAATTTATCGTTCCTCCGACAGTTACCGCGGCATTTGACGTGAAATCGACAGTTTTACAATATTTCTGCATAAAAGTATCGTAGCAGGGAATCGAAACGTCATAAAATACCGTATTCGATGCCGTGTCGGAGATATCGCGGATATCTATCACTTGCCGGTAAATCCAGAGATTCTTCAAACTTTTGCTCTGAATTTTTCTATCTTTTAAAATAAGCTTTATTGTTTGTTCTATACAACTATAAAATCCTTCTCGTTCTTATATCGTTAGGTGATCGACACCATGGATTTTATTTAAAAAATAATTAAAAATTCCGCTTATCAAGTTTTACAAAACCAATAGAACTTCGCGAAGTGTCTTTTTGAGTTTTTCCAATGTAAAATTTACATCATCGCGTCAGACTTATCGTTAAAAAAAAGACGATAAAAACGTCCGGTAAACAAATTAATAAAATGATGGTATTTAAGTGCATAGCACTTCTTATGCAGTGTGCGACTAGTTGACATTAGTATTCACAGGTCGTTTCATGGATGATGACTATAGACATTAGTAGCAAAAGAGTTCATACATCCTACTAAAGTGTGCTGTTCCATATATGTCGGTTTCTACGGTAGCAATCAACGTGTTAACTATTAAACGATCGATACTATTAGCTTGTTGCATATCGAATGAAGAATTCCAAAACGTACAAAGTCTAGCATGATTTCATAACATAAAATTATTACAAAATAACATTTACCGAAGATTGGCAAATGTTCAGTATCGTTCTATATTTACCAGAAGAGTTAAAAACAACAAGGATAGCGCGAAATCCTGAGAGGTGCAATGAAAAAACGGGAGGAAATGGATGTGACGTTTTTTTCTGATTAATTGCCACAAGAATTGTCACCGACAGAAAGTCGGAATCGCAGTAGAAAAACGCGGAAGATTAATAGCATAATCGAGGCATTTTCATTAAAACATTGTTCGCCCCCGGGGAGAAGAAGAGAAAGTGAGATCAAGGAATTTTCTGTTGCTCTGATAAAAAAAACAACGCGAACATGTTTTTCATGGAAACGTTTATCTACCAGGCACATTTATTAACTTTAGCTATTTTTTCTAATGAAACGACGATACGATCAATTAATAGACGCCGTGCAATCACATTACGACTTTACGCTATAAACTCGACCGTCGCTTGGTAACGGTAGAGTAACTTTTCACCAAGTACAATTAAAATTTCAATTAAATTATGAAATCCCGAGCGATGCTCTATTAAGCTAAACTTCGTTGTTCACTTTTCTCACTGCCTGACCACGATACGGAACATTCTTTTCATCATCTTCCGCGTTAACACGATACAACATGGTAGAATATTGCAATAATCGAAGAAGAATTTTACAGTGATATTTTATTTATCAGTAAGCTGAAAATGTAACGTTCACAAGGAGGTCTTTTTAGGTCACGTCTTTTGATCTTATTGACAGCTTGCAGTTTACGATATTAAACTCATTAAGCTAAATTTTTAAAGCGCTTTTTACCGTGTAACGAAGTTTTAATTTTAATTAAGCAAATACTCCTAAACATATGTTTTAATTCCTCTGTTAAAAAGTTTTTAATTTATATTAAAAAGCTTGGCTCATATTAAGAGCTATTTAATTTAAGTAATTAAAAGGAATTTATCGTTTTTCGTTTCCTTCTGTGTTTTACCCCCTTAAAAGATTCTTCAGTAAAATTGGTCGATAAGAGAAAAAGTTTGCGGTTTCGCGTCCGAGTATGCGATAAATACCGAAACGTCCTAGCAATTGGTCGTAACTGGTCGGTTATAGAGTTCGAAAATAAACGAGGCCGATTGCTAGTCGGTTCCTCGTATTAACTTTCCCGATAAAATTCATTTTCTCGGTTTCTGACGATTTCATCGATTCTCCAAATGAAATTTTCTTCCGAACTTCTCTGCCTCTGATTCGAGCCAAGGTCAGAAGTGAAATCGTACGGGGAGAAAAACCGGAAAAAGGGGACAAATCTTTGGTCCAAAACGAGATAAAACCTATCCGGAGGAGAATTACTCTAAGCTTTTTCTTCCTCCCTTGAAGACAAAGGAAAGAAAAACAAAAAGGTCTATTGATTCGACGGAATTAAATTGTCTACCCGCAAGCCAAACGATAGAGATCATAAAAAATGTGACATTTATCGCAAGACATTCATTAGCCTTTCTGACACTTGGGAAATCAGAACATCGCATCGCCTCGAAAGCTTTCCCTAAAACTTTTCTTCCCTCCGCTTGACAAACTGTTCACCGAGTGACGAAAACGGGGAAGGAAAAAAAATTCTTCTGAAACAAGACTGGGATCGATCGTTTCCAGATGCTAAACAAATAAAATACGATCATCGTGACCGATGATCTCTGGACGCCTGTCGCGTTATCAAATCGCGTGGACGGCCAAGGGGATGGGAAAGGAAAATGGGGAGAATCAACTTTAATGTCATGGAAATTGGTGCAGGTTCGACCTGGATGTTCCAACTTTCTCACTGAACATTTTCTCCGTTTTTCTTCGAAAAGTCTGGGAAAAAAAGAACGTTCAAGATGGGACAAAGTTGTAGAAAAGTCCGTGGAAAACAGGGGAAGATCCAGAGAGGATGCAGGGGATGATGAAAAGTTACAAGATCTTAAAGGAAATAATTTCTCAATTGGAAATTGGTATCGTAATCGTTTCGTTTTTATAGGCTAGAAGAGGGTGGAAAAACATTCCTCCTCGAGCAAGGTTTCTGGATCCGCCCCTAATGGATGAGAAATTGATTAGTGAACTTTCTACGAGGACAGAGAAGTTTTGTGAATATCAATTATCGTGCAAGACTATCCGTGATACCTAAAGCAAGAAGAATGTATTCCATCGAGAGAATGTTAATCGTGTGGTCCATCATGGTGACCATACTGGTCGATGCTACAGACTACTTGGACGACTACACCTCCGTTGAATACACCGACGAATCTGATATGGATTTTAACGCCACTAATTGTAGTAACATTTACTGCATCTCGAATGACGAATACGTGGATCGTATGATGAACTACATATTCCCGAAATTGTGGGACTGGGTTCTGATCGCTTCTCACGGTATCATCTTCCTTGTCGGATTAATTGGAAACGTGCTAGTCTGCACAGCAGTGTACAGAAATCACACGATGAGAACTGTAACGAATTATTTTATCGTCAATCTAGCCGTCGCTGATTTTCTAGTACTGTTGCTCTGTCTTCCTTTCACGGTGCTCTGGGACATCACCGAGACGTGGTTCTTGGGTCTGACTTTATGCAAAGCTGTGCCGTACCTTCAGGTAAGACAATCACCACTGTTATTTGATCAACGCGTTAAATTAAATCAACCAGTTGAATTTATTAGGGGTATGCCAAAATTAACATCGTCCACGTTGAACTACAAGTTATTTTAATTCTTTCAATGCTTACTAAAGTTAGATAACGAAGAAAAACGAGATCACAAAATAAATTGTCGAGCTTGGAGCTTAAACTTGTTGAAAATTTATGTTCGTACGCGACTGGAGGTTCTTTTTACGGTGGATATGGAATCGAAAGTTTGCGCACGTTTGTCGAACAAGTGGATAAACTGTCTGCGTAGGGATATTGCTATTTACGGTTTCTTTCTTGGATTTAGACCGATGCACGTACTGCACAAAGCATTGTCGAAGAATAAAGAAAAATTGACACTGACTGCATTCCGATCCTATATACCGCGCGTTGGAATGAAATAATTTCTTGCAAATGTACAACCTTTTCAAATCTAGAATTTAGGCCAACGAGGGATTACAACCGCGAAATATACCGATGGTCTCCTTAATTGCTGAATTACACGTGCAGTAAATTAATCGTACGAAAATCTACCATCTGGGAATTCACCGTATTTCATGTTCTTCGTGTTTATTTGAACAGCTGAACCCTACCCCGGTCTGCCTTTTAGTCTGTCCTTGCCTTTCAAAGCTAAAATTCGTTTTACGGGAAAGACTTTCTCCGCCCAGCGAACAGAGGGTGAACGATATAATTTATAATTCAACAAGTCGACCACGTTATTCTTAATTTGTTCTTCTGACCTATTTTGTACTAGTATTGTACATTATTTTTTGTACACGGGCTTGAATAGCGTTGATTTAACAATCGGTTGAAAATCACAACCAGCTGTAAATTAAGGGTTTAATTTTCAATGGAAATTAGCTCCCTTTTTTATCATTGAATCAAGATTTATAGCGTTTCCTAGCAAACTTGTAAAACTGTAGGATAGATTCAGGTAGATTTATCGCGTTTCAAACAATAAAGCAACCTCGCCGACGCAAATATCTATATTCAAGATTTAATTAACTCGATTACAATATCCCTTAGCGTGGCTAATAACGAACGGTATCTCCATCCTGAAAAACCGATATTCGCTACGAAATTTTCTCGACTGAGATCGGACGGTCTCCCGGCCGTGAATCAAATTATCGACGTCGTTGATATTGAAATTTTGCAATTAATATTTTATCAAGCGTGATCGGAGATAAGTTCTCAAACCAACTCTACCGATAATACGTTCTATACGTTTTTTAACGTTTCTGTTTTTCGTTTTCAATAAAACTCAATTATCTAAAAAATTCAAATAAGAAAAATAGTGTATAATTATGTATGCAGTTTTGGCATCGATTGAAAAATGGCGCTTTTTCCTAAATACGGCTGTTTTAGTTCGTCGATCGTACAACAGATGGCTCGATAGCAATAACGATTCTCGTTGTTACCATTGTGCTTAGAATCTGATATAAAGGCTGCGCTGGTTAGAGTACGGTTAAAAAGGGTGCTCGCTACTTTAATAGCGCGTCAGTACGGTATGAATGCCGTGCTGGCGGGGTATGGCCATCAAGACATACCCAGTACGTAATTTTTGTAAACGCGAGGCTGTTGGCTGCCAATTTAGCACCGACGCCTCCATCTGTTTAACTAAAGTGTATTGAAAAAAAAAAAGAGTGAAAGAACAATCGAAATTAATTTGCATCGCGATAATTTATCGTTCACGGCGCATCAACAAGATTCGCGCGAAAATTAAAATACAACCGTAATTTATTAGCGAAAATGCATCCAGCATAAAATGAATTAATTAACTTAAGTGTTCCCTGTGTTTTTGATTGCAATCACGGCTGTAAAAATAATGAATACATTGTCTAAAAACACAGAGGACGAGGAATTTGCATAATAAAGGAAGTTATTCAGAACAAACCATTGGTGGAAAGTAAAAAAAAAATCATTAAACATTCCAAATGGCCAACCCCCGCGTTCTATAATTCAATTTTCGGTAAAGGGCAAGCGTCAGTCTGGGTCAAGCTATTTTTTACACTTGATCAACGACACCGTCCAAAACTCGACATTCAGGAGGAGGAGGAGGAGGAGGGTCATATTTTTGATACGCGTTTTCTGTTGCACCGCCCACGCCGTAAAAAACTAATAGAAATATCGGCAAGGAAATTTATATTCCTACCAGATCTGTATATATTCCCTAAAGAATTTTCCTCCGTTTAACGCTTTGCAATTCTATGAAACGTCACGTCTATTTTTTCGTCGCGTAGGTGTAAGTATTTCAAAGACGAGGGTTGGTTTTTCTCAGCAGGGGTTGTTCGAGAGAACAATTTTCTTGGCAGGGGGTTATCGTAGGACGTCAAACATACGAATGAAATAAATATCGCAACGGCGATGACCCTCTTTGATGAAACAAATGAACTCTGGAATCGACGTTATTTTATATATGGTACATTCAATACAGTGAGAAATGAAATTTCTAGTTAACTTCTACAGTGAAACTTAGGCTACAGTCTTCGCTTATAAGAAATATGCTCTCGACAGCTTTTCTCGCAACTTTTATTCTCAAGAGAACCCTTCGCCTTAGATCGGGTCCACACAATTCAACATCAGTCCGCTAGAAATCTAATCACAAAGTCACCATATTGTATGCACAATTATAATTCAAGGGATGCTGGAACTTTATTCCCAGTTCATCAACTTCTGGAAACGCGTTAAAAATTCCAGTTTTCCCCGGGGTATATATTTTAAGAATTCGTTCGACGTTCTGGAAAGTATGTCGCGTGTAATCGGGACTGAACCATAATTTAACCATACCTTACGTCGTTGGCGGGGATCCAAATGTGGCGTAAGACGAGTTGGAAAAGTTGAAGATAATTATTATAGCGGCAGAAGATGTTGTTCGTTACGAGGCGCACCGTCATTAATCTGAAAACAGACGCAGAGTTTTATAGTTTACACGGGCTGTATAATCTCGAGCTTTTGTTTTCTCCACCGAAAACTTATTTCGCAATGTCAACGCGAATGATATTATTTCCAGCAACGCGGAGGAGCTTTTTTTTCAACGAAATCGTCGCGGAATCTCAAGCATTCGGAAGGAAGTAGGACGAGGCTCGTTACTTATTCCTCCGCCCCGGTGGATGTAGTCGTTTCTTTTCGGAGATCGTTAAACGAATAAACGCTAGCCTCCGGTGTATGTTTAATCAAAGACCATCGTTAAACTTTCCTGCAAAGTATCTATGCGATCTTATGTAACATGCAAAAGCTTTAAACCCTCCATAGACAATCTGGCTCGTTGATGATGCAAGAGAAATTAGAGTAATTCCTCCGAATTACCGCTTTTATTGATAACAAATTATCATCAATAACGATGAGATTGATTAAAATATATTTACCGCGTTAATTTGATCAATTCAGATTAAAATCGATTATGCAACATTTGGGAAATTCTGATAAGAAAAATTAATTTGATTATTTATCTGAAGATTATTAATAAAATGATCGCACTTTGTTCACGCGGCTGCTATTTTATTTTCGCGATAGGAACCTTTATCTTGTTTGTAATTAAAACGATCAGTGAGGTGCGATTATACGAACGATTAATTGCACCGTTCCTGTTACAGCCAGATGTCTTTGCTATCGGACACGGTAGCCCTGGATAATTAAGAAGGATTTCCGTGGAATCCTTTAGCTAATGGTATTACCAGCTCGAAGGTCTTTTAGGATACGTCGTGATTTAATTCTTCGAGCCAGTGCAAGCAATAAACCAAAGGTGGAGGTTAACGGTGTTCATTTGAACGCACGATTTAGGGAAATGTTAACTTTGAAACTTCCTTAAGAAAATTCAATTCACCCTCGGTATTCACCGAAATTATGCGACATTATAAACACCGTAACGGCGAAAACTCGGTCGTAAAATACAACCCGAAAGTTCTCGCGTTATACAGCGTGTACCTCTGCCACCCTTGATTGCTTTATTCAGAAAGATACCACAAACATGTATCACAGGAAAGTTATCGTAATTATAACATTATAATCTAATTTTCTCCTTCAAACGCAATAACTTTCTCGAAACATATTTTTGGGGCATTTTTAAAAATGACAAAATACTCCAAATAAGTTGGACACCCAGTATACCTGTTATGTTCAGCTCGCTCTCTTTGGTTTCCACCGTACTTCCGGCGAAAGTACTCGCGTACACGACTCTCATTTACGTCTCCCAACATGGACGTTAGTTTTTTTTTCATCTCTACAATGTTCACCGAGGTATCTTCTCTTTCTTCGCAGCAGCATTTCACCAGCAACCTCTCGTACCAGTTATCCTAGAAAAATAACGTTACTTTGAGTTCTCTTTGATACGACGAAATTGATGCACCAGGGACATGACAGCGTGCACCTCAACTTGAGGACATTTTCGAACGGAGTTGAGAACCGAGAAATAAGTTATCGTGCGATAACGGTGTGCAACAACACGTTGTAAGATAATGCGATTTGGTCACCGGCTGAGAGCTACCTTGGTCGTGTGACCATCTAGTTACATCGCAACAGGACAGAAACGCAAAATGCAAGCTTGCACACTGCCGCGCGGTGGTTACACGTGTGTGCACGTGCAAGGGACCATGATAAACTAGCGAAACGTTATTTCCGTGCAACTGTGCCTGCGTACACGAGTATAACGCCCCTGCGGTTTGATCGAGTTCTTATAAACTCTTGTTAGTCTATTTGGGATCACATGCGTTACCACCGGTTGATCAGTAACTGGACCGAAAACTGGATTGTCTCATCGTTGAATAAATGATTCATGACATCATGGTGGCTTTCGTTCGTTGCTTAATTCAAATTACTTGACGTCCCCGTTAACCTTTTGTATTGCATTTTGGAACCACCTAAAAACATGTACAATGGCATTTAATATTTTGGCATATATTAATTATTTGCCGCATTCCATAAACTAACGCTTGCACAAAAAAAACTACCTATAGTCCTAACACGTTGGTGTTACCGTAACGCAGGCTCGAAGGAGTAGTCTTTCTTTTCCACAGCGTTGTTTTAACGAGCAACGAACGGGAGTCATCGTTAACGGAGCTGCAACGAGCAGGGTACGCGACAACAATTACGATGAGCTATAGATTCTCTCGCACGATTCTGTCGTACGATGAACATCATGGTCTGAAACAATACTCCAACAATAGGCTATAAAGCAAGTTCGTGTAACGTTGCCCTGGACTCCGATACGAGATACGCCCTTTGTATTCAGCTATCTCTTTATACCATCGCATCGTATTAAATTCGCTCCCTTTGGTTGCTTAAGTAATTTTATTAAATTCCATCACGCGAAAATTCCATTACATCGCTGCACTCAGTTATTGTGTATCCTCCTTCAGAACCTGAACAGTGATCTTTCGACGTCCGTGCTACCACGATTCCTTCTGTTATTGGATTACGAATCTCGATCCCACAAGTCTATCCTGAATCATTTATTCGTAGATATAGTACATCTGATAGCTAACTATATAGCAATCCTTGTCTCTAAGTATCTCTGATAACCGTACCAACCTAAGCTGATAAATCCATCAACGGACCATGGATTAAACAAATTCTATTCTCTTTTCTCTCGTCCAAGCTCCATCTTCTTCCTTCGTGGGATGAATTTTCCGCGAGTTTTCGACTACTTGCCTCAACGATATGTTGCATAGACGTGTCATCTATTATTTAGCGTTGAAGAAATGGAGCAGGTTGTTCGAGCGATCGGCAGTGTCATGCGGTACCTTGCGACCGGAACTGAAAAGACACGAAGGAGTTAATGATATAAAGTTTGCGTGCCATGTGCTGTGTTGCGTCGACCGGGGGGTAGTTCTTGGTCAAAGAGTCGTTCGGTCGGGTGATATTTCATTCGGAACAACTCGTTCTCGTGACTGAACCGATAGCATGAATTTTTCAGAAGGACGTCCTAATACCTTTCTCTCCTTGCCAGTCATAAAACAATAATCGTGCTAATTAGAACGTAAAAGCAGAGAGTTCACTTAACGCAATCTAGAGCAAGGTCTCGTTCTAAATCACTCCAGAAATGTTTGAACTTGTTTCTATTTATAAGACGCACGCGGTGTGTCATTGTTTGCACTGGTATAGATAAGTCGAGTGCATATTTGCACTGCAATTGAATAACATACTATACTACACGACGTACGATGCCGTTTACAAACGCGTTAACGGACAATTGGAATGCGTCAAAGGGGAATGCCTGAACAGCCGGGATCGATGTTTTGTCCCTTCGAAATGCGATTTCGAGGCTCATCCGTCAGTTATCATTGCTGCCCTAGCGCACGTTAATTGAACGACGGCGATGTGATCGTCGGCGTACGAGGCGGAAAGTCCCAAGTGGTATTGTCGCTATCGGTGACACGTTAGGCACGCGCTTGGCGTGACCAATGCAGTTGCGAGTGCGACTGGTAGATAGCTGAGATTTAATTGAAACGTGCTCCGCGTCGTCTAGCATGGCAAACAATCGTGAAATCATTTCGCGCCAGACAGTTGGCTAAAAAAAATAATAGATTCCGTTTGATCGTCGAGTAAACCATCCGTTACGCCTCGCGTTTCTGCTCCCTTTTTTTTCTGCTTCTGTATGAGCCGATCAAACAATCAAATCTTGTTAATCCATTTAGGATTCTGCGAATCGTTTTATAATGAGAACCCAGTTTCGAACGGATTAAACTGAGTTTATCTAGTTCATTTACCATGATCTCTGTTTACATTGAATTTTACCACCTGTCCGTCGAATAAATTAGGATATATCTCTGTGAGCAGAAACCTCATGGTTAATCGCTTGGAAACCATTCTAGATACAATAACGACTGGCGAAGGCGTCCGGAACAATTTACTCGGCGCGTTAAACCTACGCGTTATTTGCTCATGCTGTTCTAGCGACAATCGATTCGCGTTACGCCTTGAATATCTTAACCGTGTCTAATTGTTACGACTCTGGCATGAAACGACTGACTTTTAACCTTCGATTTTAAGTATCCAAATTTATTTAATCATAAATTGCAAGCAGAAAAAGCAATAATTTTCTTAAAATCAATAGTAGCGAGAAATATTGTGTATCGATGCTGTCATCGATATGCAGATGAAAAATTGGCTATTATAAAAGATACCCCATAAAATTACACGATCCTAGTAAACTAATAACGAAAATGGAGACTAGTTGATAGATGGTTTTCCTTAGTACCATTGACTGATGCGTTCAGGAACTATATAAAGCTCTTCAAGCTCTTATTCTCCAGCAACACGCTAGCGAAGTGATAAATTGTGTGCGTTGAGAAAGCAATAACGTTGTCTTAATCCCAACGTATCAGTGCTGTACTGTTCATTCATGACGATTGTTCAAAGTTCTTCGGATACTTTCAGCCTCTTTCTATCCTCGTCGGAATTAAAGTGTCCCCGGAGATTGGAGTATCGCGAGCCCGTTATCTAGCTGAAAATAAATGATTCTTTAGTTCCTCGAGTAATTTCCCCTCGACGCAAAGAAAGGGAGTAAGTTTCTATTAACATAAAACTCGCTCAATTAGAAGAACGAATAGTAAAGCAAAGTATTGCACATTAACGCGATTAATTTATGCGCGTTCTAAATCATATAAATTGTCAAACTTCAGTTAATAAATTATCACGACTTAAATCTAAATATTCCAAATATTCTTTTTCCCTCTGATCAAATACCTCCCGCTACTTGGACAATCAAGATTAACCTAAATAAAAAGGAGAAAAAAGCTCCTTTGTGTGCAACAAAAGATAATAACCATTCTTGTGCCTTTATGCTCTTATATTTATTATTCTCTTGCCAAACTTCGTAATGCTTTGGATAGCTCCATCACCCACGCACCCTTATATTCTCCCTTGCTCTTTCTTAAACCTCTAAGGAATTCCACCGCAAACGTTAACTACCGCCTGTTCATTCAGATCCGCGCGATTACTCTTGTAGGAATCAGCGGAGAATAGGGGACAAGAGCAGCAGGAAATCGACTCCAAGTTTCTTACGTTCGTACTCAGCTACCTTATAGCCAATTTGTGGATATACCTACTTCACAACTTTTTTTTTATTGCCTCTCTGGAGATCCTGATCCAATATATATTGAATTTCTTATTCAGTTGATGCGGTTATTTAGTTGGAGCATATCCTTGCAGAAATAAAGTAGTAAACGTGACCTTTCAAACGTTGAAGACACGCATTCATTCATCCTCGAATTTCCATCTCATCAGCCGTGTGTGGTTCCTTCATCTCAGATGAGCATCCAAATGTAGGATTCCGTGACCCGTGTTTTCCATCTTCAAAAACGCTCGCACCGACGATTACCTGATTGCAGATGAGAAGTTACATTCGCATTGCGGCGTTTCAAAAGCCACGCTAAAGCGGCATGCCTAATCAGTGAAAAGCTAATGTATATGGGTAGGGTGGTACGCGCGAGACGGTCTCTCGTCGATCAATTCCTGATACCGTAACGGGGGGGGGAGCACGTTTGTTGTCGCGCAGAAACTCCGTAACAAGACCCTTTGACGAGAATTCGGAAATTCAATCGACAGCACCATGCCAGCAGCCGTAAACGCGTTACCGTTCCCATATGAAAAGGCGTCATGCAAGAAACGTCGAACGTCACGCCATCGCGTTAATTTCTCTGTTTCTCAACGAACGAAACGAGGGAGAGAAGAAAAGCTTTCTTGACCGGGCGACGCTTTAACAGAAATGGAATTTACTTAACGATCTATCCGATTGTAATCGAGTCAGCTTCTGGAGGAATTTCTTTTCGCAGAATTTCTCTGCATCGTAGCGCAGATACAGAATTACCAGAGAAATAGGTCATAGTCGAACGGTTTTATTAATTCCGGCAACTCTTCGCAAGTAAAAAAGATCACTCGGAACCGAAACAGCGAGCAGGTAAATCTTCAGCGGAAAAGAAAAAAAAGAATAGAAGACTCGCCTGAGCAAGGCAACAGTTTTATCAATTTTCCGGCAGGCGAAACTCCTAGCAGGCTTTCCCCGTATTTTCTAGGCATTCGTTTTATATTCATGACGTGTCCCTATGCCAACCTGGCTACGAATAAACCGTGTTATCCGATGGAAAGTCAAAACGTATGCCTATGTGTACGTAAAACCGGCGGTGAACAGCTAGTGTTTACCCTCTTTCGTATACGGGGTGAAGTACTTTTTTCTATCAGTAATAGCCAGCGTTAACCACTTGATGCAACACGTAAATTCTTTAGTGAGCGGAACTGTATGATAATTTCATAAATGAGCGAATTAGAATTGCAAATAAAAACTATAAACTTCATTTTCTAGTTTCCTGGGATAATAGGGAATTCTGACTTCTCTCCTTAACGCAGCTAGTGCCGTTCTCGTTTCGTCTAATTATAACTGGAATCGTGGAAAAATGTAAATTTTCTTTATCTTTGTTTCAGACAGTATCGGTGACCGTGAGCATAATGACTTTAACATTCATATCGATAGACCGATGGTACGCGATATGTTTCCCTTTGAGGTTCAAGTCTACAACGGGACGAGCAAAAACAGCGATTATTGTAATCTGGGCGATGGCGCTTCTCTTTGGTAATTGATTAATTAATATCTGCCCAGTTTATGTACGTACGATATATACATGCCAATGAAAATTTACCATTTGTACAGATCTTCCAGACCTGCTGGTATTGCACACCGTTCCACCGACCCATATCCGAGTGAAAACCATTCTTTTTACACAATGCGATATGTCCTGGAGTCAAAAGAGCCAAGTCACCTTCACTATTGTGAAGCTAATCTTTCTGTACACCGGACCGTTAATCTTCATGAGCGTGGCGTATTGGCAGATCGTCAGAGTCCTCTGGAGAAGCGATATTCCAGGACACAACTGTAAGAAAACGATCGTTGTTAAGCTCTAACGGATCGTTACACGTCTTTTTCCATTCGGTTTTTAAGACTACTAACACATTTTCTTGTTCGTACCGTTGGTATTCAACCGTAGCTATCGTGTTTAACGCAACATTTAACCTTTCGCCGCTGCAAGCGCCTAAAGATACGTTTATGCCAACGTGAAACTATGTCTAATTTATAATGTCTGATGATCGTAGCTAGATCGTGGAACGAATAATTACTGGACGCATTTGCAGTACTGTCACGGGCATCCCAGATGAGCCAGACACCTTCTTCCGGCGGCGGTAATCCTGAGATACAGCTAAGATCTCGACGAAAGGCGGCGAAAATGTTAGTCACGGTGGTCATCACTTTTGCCATTTGCTATTTCCCCGTGCACTTACTCTCTGTCTTAAGGTATCTTTCATCTATGTTATGCCATGCTTACTTTCTCTATTTTATAATGTTAGACGCTTATAAAATATATAACAGACAGAAGAAGTGTGCTATCGCGATACTTTAAACGCTCTTTTTATGGTACTGCAGCGTGTACTCTATGGCCTATAAAAACGAAAACTATTATTGCTCGGAAGTAAATCGATATACGTGTTGTTTACCATTTCAGGTATACCATTACGCTGCCATCAAACAAGTGGATAAACGCCATCAGTTTGATTGCACACGGTCTCTGTTACTTCAATAGCGCGGTTAATCCTCTGATCTACAACTTCATGAGCGGTAAACGATCTCTACTTTTATCATTTTTGTTTACCGCACCAGAAGATATTTTGCACCTGCCGTGTCTGGGTTTACGTTCGACGAAACGTTGTTTTCCTTCCTATTCGAGCTCAGCCCGGAAACCAGATGTTCCGGAACAAAAAAACATTTCCTCCTTTCACAGTCGAGTCCACGAATAATAGTTCCCTTTGTCTTTCGTTCTTATCGACGTATAGTGCTGAATGGTTTTCTATAGATAAAATATCTTCGTTAAAACATTCGTAAAGAAGTGATCGATAAACGTTGCGATGCGATCCATGAAATGCAAACAGATTATCAAAACAGCTGAATAAATCAATAGTCATTTCTTACGTAAATTAAATTGTAAAAAAAAAATCGATAACACTTTTATAAGATAACAATAAGAAGTGTTCGCTGATTTGATATGACCAATGGAATACTGATGAGCAAAAACGTTTCTGGAGCATGCACGTATATATGTATGCGCCAGTAGCATTGATGGCTTTCTTTCATAATGGAAAGTGTAAGGAAAAGTGCAGGATCAATATCGGTATAATAATTATTCATATTCTGTATTCTGTGAAAGACACTGGTTCCAAAAGAATTAAAGTATTAAAGGGAATAGACCTCTGAATGCGGTGGTCGCCTAGATCTTTTAAATAGCATATGTCGGGCAAAAAAAACACGAACGTCCTTGAAATGACCTTGACATCATCATCCATCAACCTGTTTCTTTAGTCCTTAGAAATGCAGTTTTCGCAGCTTAACGTACCTTGCGACCATACGTTCACGTGTATAAGTTTATACACGTGACTCATGTAACTCATTACCTTGCCTCCTTGATAAAATCTCACGACCTTAAGTAACGTTGTTCGCTAGTACTTCGTTGACTCATTGAGAAATTCAGAACTCATCGGAAGGCTCTCCTCGTGTTCGTTATTAAAGCACGCTTCGCCGGACATTTCTGTCCCCTTTATCTGGAGAATCCTGTAATTAAATGAAACTGTATTCCATTATCCCAACAACAACGATCTCGTTGTTTCCCAAAGTTTTCAAACTAAGAAACGAACGGGAACATGATTCAATTGCAAATTTCTTATTTACCAACTTCAAATCTGCACAGATTTTCCTGATATTAATGAAACAACAAAAAATAAAAAATAAAAACTACCGTGCTCAATAGTATGTACAGATGTTTGAATTTAAAATGATTTCTATCGTTAAATCGATATTTCTCGATACTATCGATCTTGTATAGAAGCGCGCCATATTTGAACATTTTCAGAAAAGGGAAATGTTGTGAAATTTTAAGACGAAGCTCGAAAAAGTAATAGGAATGAAAATGATAGCAAAAAGGAGATATTCAGCGTCTGGTTTACAGGTAAGTTCCGGCAGGAGTTTCGTCGTACGTTCCAAGAATGCGCACCTTCGAACCACACGAACGATCACAGGCGAAACCAACAACTCAGCTACGCTTACATGGCAAGTGGATACCGGTCTGCTCTGCAAAGTCGTCGTGAACAATTCTGACCCACGGAGATGCGAGTCTCCTGGGTGAAAAAAGCCCCTAATACAATCGCGGAAGGAGCTCACGCCGAAAACGAATCTCCACAGGATCGATGTAGTCTTGGATTTAACTCTCCACAAAATCAATTAAGCTTAGGGTGAGCTATATTATATTCCACGGTTATTGGCCATTTTATAAGCCATAATCGCATCAATTTCCATCGTATTTTCACACCTCACTTTCACTTCACGCACATGTAGGGTTAACGGTTTCGAGAATCGAAATATTTGATCGAGCAATCGATGGATCGATAAGGTAATTCATTGAGTTATTCCTTTTCTTTTTAAATTTAACTCTTTTAAAAAAGGTTCATTTCGAGATATTTGAAACTTTAATAGGTAAATTAAAAATTTATTAGCTCGTGCAATTAAATTAGAGGTCGATAACGAAATATTATATAGCTTGCCCTTTTTGTTAAAGTTACGCGGGAAATTGAGGTCGGACGACAGTGGCGCCAATATTAATTATAACGTACTTTCAACAAAGTTTCACGACGGTTTATCGCTTCACTTTAGATCAACATTATAAATATTGAATGACACGAACTATCCTCCTTTGTATTATAGATTGCAATCTGTTCTAAGAATTTCTTATTAATTTGACGAAACCTTTTATTGCAGGGAAATTTCGAAAGGAGTTTAGACGTACTTTCCGTTGTGCTCAAGATAGTTCACGTATTCAACGTGGATACCTAGCAAGTACATCTAATCTGGCCAGAATTAAATCTCGAACCACGACGACGATACGAACAACAACGTTTAAAAATAATAATAACATTCAACGAACTACCGAAATTATACCTCTCAGTGGTGTAACAAGCGTCCAACAAAACGAGAAACACGACTGATCGTAAGTATACGCAAGTATTATGGTGATTACCATCAGAGAATCAGTAAACTTCAAAAGTAATTTATTGAAATATAATTTCAACCTTAATAGCAGATACATGCAAAGAAAAATTTGTGTTTCACTTGTTAAAGTTTAAGTAACAGAAAGATATATAAAGAAACTACCATATTTTAGTTCCTACTGGTACTGGTAGACATGTTAAATTTGTTTAGAAAATAACATTAGGTATTTGATGTAACGAAACACTGAATTATTTTAAATGTATTTATACTAAACTCGATGTTTGTTCTCAGAGAACAGAAACATAGGCACACGCGAATTTGCGAATCATTCTTCATAACTGAATGATCGCAACCCTATGATTGTAATTTATATTTATAATATTCAAATGGTACGACGGACATACCGACAAAATCGTATGTAAAAAATTTCATAACTTTTATCCTAGTACTATGTTATAAATATAATGTGGTGTGAATCTTGTATTCTGTACACTATTTCTAGTACATTATGTAATTTTAATGAAACGTACGTTTACTTCGCTAAAATTACAATTTAATTATCGGATTAATCAATTCCATATTTATGCGATCTCATAACAACACATTTTATACGAGTTTAATCTCAATCGGTAAGTCTGTATGCTTGAACGCTTTTGCAAAACATAACAAATTCGAATATAGGAAAATAAATTTAATCGCATATGAAAAGACATCTTATCAATATATTATCTTTCTGTTCCACTTTGCCAGTAACAAAGTATATCGCCGTAAGCGTATTAAATAAAAATTATCATGGTTTCATCTTCTTTCGAGTTTCACAAAAAACATAGTTAATATAATCAATGACAAGATTAATAGTTAATATTACTTTTACCTCACCTAATCTTGATGATGTACTGAATTATATAACGACCGTTATTAATGATACAAGCAGATACAAAATTTTCTATCATAATCTTTTTATTATAATATAAGTAAAATTAAAGCGTTAAGTAGTGTTTTTTTTACTTTTTTTTTTACTTAATAAACATACTTCATTCACTCGCCGTTTATTTAACCCTTTGGCGCAAATGACGTTAATGTCCGTCTGCTTCATTTTTTTAAGAAAAGATAAACAACAATAATTTCTTTTGCAGAATATGTATTTGTTTGAACAATATAACCATACAGCGTGTACAGAAAAAAAAATTGTTAAAAACTTTAAAAAAACTAAACTATTTAAGTAACTATATATCGACTTATATATATTTTTTAAATATTCGTTTAAACTTTAAAGTGCATGACACATATAAAATTTACGATGATTTTCAAATTTGAGTAAAAGGAAAAATACGTCTCCTGGAATCACAATAAAAGAAAAATGCGCGCCAAATGGTTAATGAGTTAAAGACATAATACATGCTGAGGTTACTGACTTGACTATATTCTATTTACAATAGCCATTGTATTAAAAAGATATCGATTTATTAACCATTTTACCAGTCATTGCTGCATGTGTTAATACTCGATACACGAGAATACATTTAACACTATTCCTGCCTACTAATAATGAATTAGTAGATTTCATATATGAAAGTAATTTAACAATATAGAAGGGTGTAGTTTAATGATAGCAGCAGATCAATGGATTCGTAGCGAAACATTAATACAAATGTGAACTACGAAATGTACAACAATATGCTGGAATTAGATAAAGTCGTTCAAAATATGTATTAGGTACGCACACATCCAATTCCTACGGTATTTCACAAGTGATCTGTGAAAACCAATTCGCTATACAAACTGCGTAATAACTCCAATAAAAGTTACACAGTATTTTTATAATATATATGCATATTCATACTCACGAACATTCACAATTACGTCTGTCACGAAAAATGTTAAAAGACTCTGTGATGTTCTTTCAAGCTGCTGCCTCTTCAACAACCTTACTTTCAGACGTAGTGGTTTCAATTATATTTGAATCATTTTCAGTCTCTTCCACGACTGCTTCCGGAGATTTAAGTGGAATAATATTCTGATCATCTATAGTAACTTTTAATGAATCGTGATCACTTATTCCGTCTACTTGATCAGTTGTAACACCTTCGGAGCCCAGTGGTATATCGATATCAACATCCGGAACATCCTTTTCTTTATTTTCAACCATAGTATCCGTTATTACACTTAAATCATCATTTTTCGGTGCTTCTTCAACTTCTATAATTTGCTCGGTTTGGATGTTATCAAATTGTTCAGACACGATTTTCTGATCACTTTCTTCCAAGTCAGTTTTGATTTCCAGTTCAGTCTGCTGTATATTTCCCACTTGATTATTTTGTTGTGGTTGCGTACTTCTACCTCTTCCTCTACTAGTTTGATGTTGCTGATTTTCTGGTGGTGGAAGAATTGGAATAGCTGCCTTTGGTCGTCTCATCGGTGCCGACTGTTGTTGTTGCTGTTGCTGCTGTGCAGGACTATAGTAAGTGCAACCTTGTGGTTGGAACAGTTCTTGCGGTGGCGGTGGACGCGATGGCTAAACAATTACAAATTAATATAACATAGAAGTAATACAGCGTAATTGAGTTTTATTGTAAAAATTATACCTGTACTGGTGGACTATATCCTTGGTAACCTTGAAAATTTGGTTGAAATGCTGGTCCATTCGGACCCGGAACATAATTAATTATACTAGGCGGAGCAGTCTGCGGAGGAATAAACTGTGGTGGCGGTACTAAAAACGGCGGTGGAGCATAGCTAGCAGGTTGACCATTAGGCGGCAGAGGAATAACAGGCTGACCAGCCATGGGTGCAGCAGCGGCAGCAACGGGCGTAGATTGTTCAAAATGACCTTGTGGATATCCTACAGAGAAACGAAAAGCGTGACATTATTGGAAAATATAACAATTATATTTATGCATACAAATGCATGCTCATAGAAAACCATATATACACTTACACACGAAAATAACTCAAAGGAAAAGAAATGATACAAATATAAATATGTACTCATATTATTAATACCTGCTTAAAGTACAAAAAAGTGAAAAAAAAGTTCTTCACACCATCGAATAAACAGCTTTATCTTACCTTGTGATTCTAAAACACCTCTTGAATTTCCAGCTAGGTAGTTAAACAAGTTAAACATTAATATAATATGCATAATATATTTAAATTGTTCACCCCAAAAATATATCACATTAATTATATACATAAATATTTTATGTATAGATTTTATTACCTTGAGGAGGGAAATATCCATGTTGATTATGTTGACCGTGTTGGTTATGTTGATTATGTTGATTATGCTGACTATGTTGATTATGCTGATTATGTTGATTATGCTGTCCATGTTGCCCATGCGGTGGTGTATAATTTTGTTGTCCTGGAGTTTCGGAAGCCGTAGGACGTTGTCGCAAACTAGAATATCGCTTTGGTCTATTAGCAGAACTATCTTGTTGTTGAGTTGCCTGTTGCTGCGACTGCTGTTGTTGTTGCGGTTGTTGCTGTGAATGAGACTGCTGTTGCATTCTTGGAGGTACCGTGCCTGATCTTTGCTGATTGGAAGACTGTCCATAGAAATTTTCTAGAAAAGTATCAACAATTAGTATGCATTCAACATATCTATATGAATGAAACACTTACTGTTGTGTCTTCCACCTTGATGGTATTGCGTACCATCGTGAAGATTCACATGTTTCATGTCATGAGTAATTTGCTGTTCGTCATCATTTTGAATAGTACTATTTCTCTTATTCTCGGCAGAGATTGGACCTGCTCCACGTCCTTTCGGCTTTGTCTCAACTGTTCTATTAGCGACCATATTGTTATTAGCATTTGTTCTGAATCCTCGCCCGCGAGTTCTACTGGCTGCCAAGCTTACAGACTCTTGAACATTCCTCTTGTTGTTATCTCTGGGAGATACTTTAGTGTTAACTAATTTATCTGCATCACCACCAGCCCCACTGTTTCCATTACTACTTTGAGTATAGGATGAATTTTTGGCGTCCTTTTTCCAAGCAGGATTTGTAGGTTCATTAGGAGCTTTATTCTCGTTTCTGTAAAGAAAAACGTTGAAACAAACTTGTTCACTCTGGTTAAATTGAAAATACACCATAAAGAACATTACATACGTGAGAGTATTAGATGTACCGCTAGATTTTGTTTTTGGACTATCACTCTGAGCTTGCAGGGGTGGAAAGTTTTGTACTTTATTTTGTGATTTATTTTTACTACTGTACCAAGCTGATGAGATTACTGGTTCATCCACAGGTGGTGCAGAAGCATTTTTATTAGTTCCTAGAGCAGGGAAATCTTCACCACTTCTATTAAACTTTTTATTTTTATTAGAAACATTAGTTCCAGCTTTTCCATATGCATCTTCATCTTCCCAATTACGTGTATACTTATTTGGACCACGACTATAAAAGATTAAACATGTAAAATGCAATATTACAAAATTCATAACACTTTCTAGATGTTAATTTACCCATATCTTCTTCTTCTTCTAGCTCTAGGTGGACCTTCTTCGTTTCTTATATCATAACCATAAACTGCTATTAATTCTTCATGGCTCTTTGGTGCTTGTTCCTCATCATTGTATCGATCATGGTCCCATCTATCTTCTTTATCTTTCCACACTTTCTTTTCTTTGGTTTCTCTTTCATTCTGTGGCTCTACAGTATTATCCGTCACTTCATCGGTAGTCCTGTCATCATGTTCATAAAATGTTCCTCTTTTAGGAATATATTGCGGATTACGTCTGTCCTCATCATCATCCAATTTCTTTTGAGGTTTCTCTTCTTCTTGTCCATCTCCACTTTCTCGTAATGCACCATCTTGAGATTCAACATCAGAATCAGATGGATAAACATCACATTCTGAATCCTGATGACCATCAGTTTGTTCACTGCTCTATAAAACAATTTATGGAAAGGGATAAAAAAAACTAAACATTCTAAGATTATACAATTATTTAATTTTTTCCTATGTGACTTAAGTGTAAAATGATACATCTCTTTAATTTTTGTGAGAACTGGAATTATGACATTCGTGAAACCATTTGCCGGCAAACCAAATATAAAAGAGAACCTTGTAAGTTATGATAATATTCAGAAGTATTACAACAGTCTACTTAATCCAGTTAATCGGGTCTGTCGTTGAACTTCTGATCCAGTTTAACACGACATAAAAAATTTAATAAACAAGGAGAGCTTAAAAAATCATGAAATAAGAAAAGCAAAATCATTTGTTTCTAAACCTTTATAATATTTAATTGAAAACACTTTTCCAACAGCTAACCTGGGTTTCTTTCGTTGCATTTAATTCTTCGCCAGAATCCGAGAGGTCATCGGAACCGCAAGACTGATTAGATTTTCGACGTCGTCTTGTATCCGACATGTTTTTTTAGCTGAAAGTATGAGTTCGAGAATTATCAGAGATTTTATTCTCCAAAACGTGAATATAAACGATCAATGCTAGATGACTTTTAAGGTCGAACTAGTTGATGCCTGCTTCTACTTGAACGGGTTCTTGATCACAATTCTTGGTCACGAATCACTGACTAGACGTGTTACTATCGAGAAGGCACACCAGACTCACAAAAATTTTAGTGATAGAAATGATTTCATCGGATTACTGTCAGATTACTCGGTAGCAATGGCGGGTCTATAAACTTTCGCACAGTAAGTCTCTTCTCTTAGAGCCCACTAAAATGACGGTAGTTCGAATGAGAAGTATTTTACAAATATATCCAAGTAGCATTGTTTCTTTATAAATGAATTAACCTATTTAAAACAGAAGTATGCATTGTTCTCGGATAAAATTGATAAAATACGAATTAATTGATTGCCGCGAGAATTTGAATTTTTATGAATTATACACGCCACCTGCAAACTTTTTGATCAGTTATTTGTGCTACGTATATTCATACGTGGGTTGCCTCGCTGTCCTAAACATGACCGTACGATTGTTTTCGAAGATCCTATAGCAATACACTTCCAAACAAAATTTCTCTATTCTATGTAGGTTTTTGAAACAAATCCGACCTGTAATAAGAAAATAGATTTTGAACGGCGATTATATATTTTTACTTTTAAGCATTCATTTAACATGTATTTATTAAGTTCAACGAAGCTGATTAACGTTGCGTAGAAGAACGTCCACGTCTTCTGCTCACGTGGTATAAAATTATTGGTATTTGGACACAATTGGGGTTAAGCAAGGAACTGCAAATTTTATATGTGCACTGTCAACCACGCAAAAAACAAAAAATACAAATTTCTTTTAAATTAATTACATATATCATATTGTTTCTTCATACATACATTGGAAGAAATACTTTTTAACCACCACAGCTGTATCACAAAAAGCAAATGAGTTAACGTTGATATATCGCTGTCGTCATAAATCTGTAGATATCCAGTATATATATATTTCGTTTAAAAATATGGTGAAATAATTGTAGTTTTATAAAAATGTGGAAATATTGTGGTATTTATAATGTGTTGTGTATCATAATTGTTGTTTATGGACACGATTTTAAAAGTTTTGATGATACTGTTCTCTTTAAAATTAATTGGTCAGGCAAAGCTGGTTCAGAGTTATTAGTAAGTAATTGCAGATGAAATCATATTTATTCATATGAATAAAACGTTTGAATGAATCAGTGTATTTGTTACAGGAATCTAGAACAAATGTGGAACCTTATTTTATAACAACTGCAAATAATGAACGGTATCAGTGTTTAATAGTTGATAATTCAGAACAAGAAAAGAATCGTAATGAACCATACAATGGACCAAATCCGATAGAAATTTTATCACCTTTATTCAATCAAAATACTTGTTCTTACAGGGTAAGTGTTATAAACATTATTAATATATTCTATTAATATTATATAGAAATTTTCATAAAATTAATATATATTTTTACAGCTTGAATCTTATTGGTCATACGAATTGTGCCATGGAAGATATGTACGTCAATATCATGAGGATAGGGATGGAAAGAAAGTAAAAACACAAGAATATTATTTAGGTACTTTTGATAAAAGACAAGAGTTGAAGCTTTTGGCTGAATATGCAGAGAGAGAAAGAAATCCTAACAGAAAGGCAGAGATTCCTGTTAAAAAAGTTGATGGAATCAATATGCCCTATGTTGAAATTGAAATGGCCGATGGCACAGCTTGTGATTTGACAAATAAACCAAGGAAAATAAAAGTTTTGTATGTCTGTTATCAACATGGTAAACATGAATTATTTTCACTTGAAGAACCTGCTAGCTGCGAATATGAAGTTATTGTCCTTTCTCCTTGGCTGTGTAGTCATCCTGATTATAAACCGCAAGCTACAGGAGAAAATGAAATTAATTGTCAACCAGTTGGCAATTCACCAAAAAAACCAAGATCTCTTGTTGCAATGGAAATAGAAAGTTTGAAACTTCGACATCAGAAAGTAACGGTAAAATCATCTTCCGATCATTCTTTGCATCCAATAATTTATTTCTGATGATGCTTCTGACATATGTACATAATATTATTATTTAAAATAAAATATATTTTCTTAAATATTTCTGTGTATGGTAGTAATGATTTTTATTGTCAATATATGTTAAACACATGTAAAATGTTTTTAAATAAGAGTAGAACTTAAATGTATTTAAATAACGTGTAATGCACCAAGTAGTAGAAAATGCATTAATTTTTAACTTGTTATGTTATTTTTATTTTACTACATTTTAAGTTTAAGGACAATTTTGGTTTGCAGAGTGAAACCATATTAGTTTTTCCTTTATTATTTATCATTGTTAGTTTATTTTTGATTATTTATCGTTTATATATTGAATTCATTATCTGTTGCACAGGATGACAAGCTGCAGAAAGTCTATGCGATCTTCCATGTAGATAAGGAGGGCCAGGTCAGAATATTTTGTATATTTTGGGAACAGGCCAAAGTGTTTGATGGTTCTTGTCATTTTTCGCCATTAATTTATATCTCATTCTGTCCCTTCCTTTTCTACATACAGTTGTCTTAATGATACAACAAATGCTATTTATGCACCATTATGCTTTTAGTACCACAATATCCTTTGCTTTACCTTATCACAGGCAAAGTTGCTAGTATTTTTAGTGATTATCATTTTCGCTTTTCACGTTGCTTTTAATTAAGAGCATCTAGCATTAATTAAAATTCCATCAATAATTACACGCCATAAAATACTAAATGATACGTATATTTTCAGAATAAATACAAAATATTTTAATAGTAAAAAATACAGTACTAAAAGAAGAAATACGCGATCATGTTTATAACAGTTTCATATAATTGATATTAACATTAGTAGCAATGTTGCAAGATCGGTTGTATATTTTAATTAAAAAATTAATTGATTTACACTTATTTCAGGATGGCGAAGCACGAGTTAGAGTTGAAATACATCCTGTTGATGTTATCGATAAACATAATATTGAAGATTCTATAAATTCATTAGCAGATCAAAGTATCAGTCCAGCTGAAGTAAGTCCTGTGAAAAATTTTTTAAGCGGTAAAAATTGTTTGCACGGTGTAAGTATTCTTTTTCCCCCATTGTATTTGTTGAGTATACTTTATTTAATAACATTTTGTTGATACGAACAGGGCAATGGATGGTGGAAATATGAATTCTGTTACGGACGTTCTGTGGTTCAGTATCATATAGAACGCGATGGTACAAAAACTATAGTGAATCTTGGTAAATTTGATAAACAGAAGCATTTAGAGTGGATTGCTGCACATCCACATAAAAAATCAAAGTCACCGGTACTACGGAAACAACTGATTCATTTTTATAGCGATGGTACTGTTTGCGATAAGACTGGCAATTTAAGACAAACCGAGGTATCTCAAACATTTAATAAGAATTGAATATTATTTATGTAAGAATTTATGTAATTAGCAATCCTTTGATTTTTAGGTGAAATTAAAATGCGTGGAAAGCCATACGACTAGTCCATCAAGCATTTCTCTATTTTTACTCGAACCAAAAACATGTGAATACGTTCTGGGAGTTGAATCGCCGTTGATCTGTGATATTTTAGAATACGCCGATGAGAATGGACTTCTTAGCGAAAAGTTTGAAGCAAATTTTGACAAATTAAAAACAACCGCTTTCCACGAATACGATGATTTGGACGAAAGGATAGCAAACGGAGATGATTAGAATAATTCAATTAACGATTACAAATGTTGTCCAGTAAAATAAATTTGATGATGAAGGAGACAGTATTAGAGTGCTGGACACTTGCATTTAGTTTCAACCAGGTTAGATGAAACTTTGATTTTTAGAACTCAATGTATACCAATAAATTAACGTTATACTTCAAAGTCTTGACGCACTTTAAAATAATTGTGTAAGCGTAACAGTTGTTCAGATCTATCGTATTCTATACGTAATAACACGAATTATCGTGCAACGGAGGTTGTAATGTATGTAAGGTTTTTTCACTCTGTAAGCTTTTGAAAGGAACAATTAAAATCGTCTTAACGTTAATCAGTCTTATCATCGTATTCATTTCTCATGCTCCGAAGACGATGATCTTTACATGCATTCAATCCAAGTTAATGACGCTAGGTCCATTATCTTTACCCAATATTGAGACCGACGCCCACGCGAAATTGTTGTTTCTTGTGATTTAGAAGTCCGCTAATAATCAACGAAGATTCCGGTAGGGGGTATAATTTCTTCTCGAAAACGCCACCAACTGTAGTTTCTGAATTCACGATGCCACGGAAAATAAGATCTGCATGCGGCACGTTTACTTGATACACTATGGTACCAACGGAGTGATGAGTCCTTACGTTCGTTTCAATTTCGACACCGATTTCCAATTGTGAACTGGTCTTGCGATGATAGCAAAGGTGTAATCCCGCTTCGCCTATAGTACCAGATAACGTTGTAAGTCCCGTACTGTATCTAAAGGCCATGCACATAACCGTTTGTTGACCGCCTGGAACTTTTGTTCCACGAAGGCATGCAATTTCAGCTCCTAATGTAATTCTTGATGTAATCGCTTGTAAAAAGTGCATTACCACTGTCCCATGCCTTTTTGTAAATTTTGGATTTGCCAGAATAACCGCCACTGTGTAATCATTCCCCCTATATTCCAAACTGGAGCTTGAGGCTTTGCATTTTCCATCAGCAATTTGTGCTGACAATTTATACCTAAATCTACATCCTAATGTATGTACGAACGAGGCGGTTAGATTTCCATTCGGTGAAATTTCTCCAATAGCAATAGGATATTTTTCAGTTAAGCCCACCATTTTGGTACCAACGTATTTTGTACCAAGTTTATATCCAGAAGGAGTAACCGCGCTAAGGGTAATTGAGTGTGTTACATTGAAATGTTCGCTAAGTATTTTCTTGATGTTGAGTCGCGCTCCTTCAAAATTTTGTGGATAAACGTCCTTAACTTTTTTATGAATGTCTTCGAAACTCCCAGGGTTTCCTGGCCCCTTATGTTCCGGATTTGTACATGGTACACATTCGTCATCGTGACATATTATGTTTGGATCGTCTGCTTTGGTCGCTGACGCGTGTACCGTGCCCATTTTGTGATATATCAGATCTTTTTAAAATAGTATCAACTTCCCATGGATACAAATTAATTTCGTAGTTTGTTTAAACTTACGAATAAAATTAATGTTAACATAAGTAGGTTATTTGACGATTCTGCTAATTTCAAATTCGTACGCCATGAGACTCGATTCTCGCAGCATCCATCAATCGTTCGAGATATCGATTAATGGTAGTATGTAGTTCTTCTACTTTCCGCTAGGTGGCTTTTACCTTAAAGTTGCAAACGTAACTTTTCTCATTATTCAATAATTAGGTATAAAATAGGTTTGTTACATAAATAAATTTATTATAAATTGTATAGTATTGTTCTTATTGGGAAATATTACTTCTATTTTATAAATTTGACAGTGTGCGATACAACATGGCGGCCCACTTTTCTCGCTAGTACTCGTAAGCCATGATTTTCCTTTATAAAGAGGAAGCAAAGCACCTCTTTCGGAAGTGTGTGCTAGTGATGGCACAGCTGAACATTGATCGCTAACGTAGAAATATATGGCAGATCTGCTCAGTGGGTGTTGTCACGTGGTCGCTTCAAGTAGCTTGTGTTCGGCTCCCGATTGCGCGTGCAAGTTCGTGGTGTTTTTAATATTCACCTCGGATTTGCACGCCTGCACGGTCGAGTCTTCACGTCGCTCCTCGAACTACCGCGATTTCCAAATTGGGGGGCAATCGAATAGGTCGACGAGGTTGTAATTTGTCGCTTCCATATACAGGCACTTGCAGATAGCAGTATGCCATTATTTTTTTTTTAATTAATTTGAAAATTTTTATTAATCAAATGGGTATAATTATGAACAAAAAATCTACCATTTCTTAACATGTTTTTATTTTATTTTTTATAATAAAAAATAGAATGATTATAAGTATTAACATTTATGTCGGAATTTTTTTCTGCATTTCACTGTTCACTTCAGAAGCAACCTGAGTGAACAGAAGATTCCAGTTCCATACTTCATCCGGTTCTTTCACAAGATTTTCATTGTACAATTTCTCCGCTAGTAGAGATAGATTAACACCATCCAAAGACGTGAATGCAGCGTTCTTCACCAAATCCGTATCGAGTTCTTTATACGCAGCAACTCTATTCACATTAACCCTATAACGTAATGAGTTACGGCTAAGTAATTAGACGAACAAGTAGAACTTGATAACTATACCTACTTAGGTGCATTTATATCGGACAAAGCATTATCCTCCTGAATTTCATCCAAATCCGGTATAATAGGGATGTCTATAAATAGCATGTGAAATTTAAGTAACATTAAATGTTTAAATAATTAAAAGTAGTGATCTTACCATCAACCACTTCATCTTTTTCTGTAATTCGGGAACGTTCCCTAAAAAACAGTCTGTCAGTGACTATAGATATCTGAATCTTTAATTAGATCTACTATACTCACTGTTCAATAAGATTCGAGGATCCTCGAGTTCTGGATTTTGAAGAAACACAAAAAAGTAATTAAGAGAAATAGCGAGATACAGAAATATACATAAGAATGTTATAAAAAAGAGCTTACTTCCCGCTTTTCAGTTCGTCGCCCCATCCGGTTTTCCTGGTGCGTGGTGGAACTACCGGTGGTTGCGCAGATCTTCCGGAAGATAGCGATACCGGACTATCCAAAAGGTCATCATCGAACCTGGACTCTTCTTGTACATTACTTTGCGTCGATCGTCTGCCAAGACGAGGTAAAAGCTGAAAATTAAACCTCTACTAAAAGGACATATGTAAATATACAGATGCCACAGGTATATTCAATACAATGCCAAACACGTCCTGTAGTAAATTACCCAAAAGATACAAAGTAGAAAAGTGTAATGACTTACCTTTTTTGAGGTTATTTCTAATTCCGTAGTCCAGTCCATTGAATTTCAAGATCCGTGGAATGTATATTCAGAGATACTTTGCTTGACAGAACCTGTGTTTGTAGGCAGTAACCATAACAACTAGCGTCTTCCTGCTAGTCCGCCATAAGAAACAGCAATCAACGCTACCTGACACCAAAGCGCTGAATTATGACCATAGAACTCAACTACCAGAAATCTGTCGGTAAGGTTACTGAAATTATGTATATCGATATGTATCATTTCTTCGTTTATCTTCTTTATTTCTTGCATCGCAGAGAAGTCACTTAAACATAAAATTAATTCGGTAAATACAGTCTTATTGTGGATTATCAAAAATAGCCCATTATGGTAAATAATCGTATTCGAAGAATCTTAAAATCTAATAGTATTTAGTATTGTCTATTTGTCGTTGGTATTCTTCGTCATCAGGATTCGCTTCGCAGCTGTTGTCATTGTTTGGTGGCCTCACCCCGTTGTACCTAACGAACAGAAACTACATTAGTATGGAATTATCCCAATAAAATGTTCAGAACAATTCTTTTGAGCTCGAAACCTAGAAAAGTCTCCCTTGCACAATCTCCAGGGTAGTATGTCAATTCTTTCGTGCAGTATGGGTGATATTTCCGGACTGACAAAGTTTGTAGTGCCTGCACCGGAACCACGTGTCAGGAGTTTCCTACTGCGATCATAGCAGCAATGCTGTGCCGCGGCACTTCCGCTTCCTTGCGTCAGCAAAGAACGTATGCAGTAAGTGGCTCCTGGTTTGTAAATATCCAGCCTCTGAGAATTTCCGCTTACGTCCCGCCATCTGAAATACTTCTTCTGCTTTTCGTCCCAAATCTTGTCCTCGTAAAAGATGTTACTAGGGTACTCGCATGGACAGGAGGGTAGCGAGACTAAACCACCTGTAATATCATTGTAAACTTTAGATAAAAAAAATTGATGGAGGTCAGGGGTACCGGAAGGATGTTGATTTCTCACCTAAGAACACTTTCTCCAGTTTATCTTTGCTGTTCAACCACTTTTGACAAGGATCTTCGTTTGTCGCGTTTACGAAGTTCAATTCCTTAAAAATGTCGTGGCTCTCCGTGGCTGAAGCGTTTCGTAGACTCTGAAACAATTTACTCAACAGGGCACCCAAACTCTCAGGCATTTCAACTTGATCCTCAATATAAAATGGCGATACGTCTTCTTCATAATCGACGTTCTCTCCAACTTCGTTCTTCTTCGTTTGACCTTTCGCTCTGAAAGATGCTTCTGTCTTCTCGAACTCAATCTCATCCGAAAGAACTCGTTCATCGTACGTATCTAGCAGATCAGATTCTGCTGCATTGTCAACGATGGAGGTATTTTTATTCGTAACAATAGTTCTATCCTTTGCATTGAGCCTACTTTTCTCTTCGATGGCTTCAGTAATATCATAATCTTCGCTTTTAGCTTTCTGCTCCGTGTTGTTGTTTCGCGAGGGGAACAGTCGGCTGGAAGATGTAGCCCGGAAACACGCTGGTCGATTTCTGCAGCGACGCCGTTTCCGGTGCTTCGAGTGTCTCGTTGCTATTGTTTCTTCTGCAATATCCCCGCTTCTTTTACTTCTGATCGGTACAGTCATCCAAGAAGAATGATTAAACAGTCCCAAAACTGATTCTTCGGTCGTGATTGCTTCCACTTTTCTGCTCGTTTCCTCGTGATTTGTCTAGAAAGCAAAGATTTGAAAAGAATTTGTGCAGGTACCACAGGTCAAGCAGGAGGGTATGAAGAAAATCACGTAAGGGACTCTAGCAGTGGACAGCACCGGAGAAGGGCAACAGTCGGTACGACATCAAAAGAGGCCATGTTTGGCTCGTGGATGAGATACGGACTTGCGAAGGGTAAAGGGACGCGCGGCAATACACGCTGGAATGGAATGGAGCGGAATGGGATACGCTCGGCGCTACAGACCGAACGTTTCTACTTCTTGGAAACGTTCGTTGCAAGATCATTTACCATTCAATAGCGTAGCAGCCAATCGGCTTCTAAATGAAGTTTCAAATCAACAAAAATCAGCTGAAAATTCAAATTACTTACCCGATAACTTGTCGTGTGTACCGTCGAAGCGATTAACATTGATTGGAAGAAGAACATCCAATAAATCAAGACCGAGGCCTTCATGTTTGTCATCGACGAACAGCGTGCACGTTCCTCATAATGCTCGTTCCTGGCAGCAACTTTGAAATCGTTAACTTTCCGTTGATTTATGTATGTTTAGGTAAACGATGGAATCGGCGGATTGAATGCTCGACGTTTCATTCTTCGCTGATGTTTCTATTTCTTTCTGGAAGAATTCGAATTCGAGCGGCAAGGAACGTTCCCTCGTGGTCGTCGGCCTCTTTGTTTACGAACGCAACGCGTCAAGTACGATCGACCAGGTGAACGTGATCATCGATACAACCGAGCCAGGTGAAGAATAACGATATAGTGGAAGGGAAAGATAACGCGGGCAAAAGGTGGCGAGGAACGAAAAAAGAAGAGACAAGAACGGAAAGGTAAGGAAGAAACACGGGGCACGAGGCACAAGGCGCGCACCGTTCAAAGGCCTACCACTATATGTATAGTTGTGAACTCGTGAAGTTCTTGTCCCACTATAATGGCCCAAGCGGTTGTAGCGGAGAGGCTGGAGAGGTAGCGCGCCGGATGACAGAACACTACGTCATTGTACGGGCGGTACAGTTCACAGCTTAGGGTTTCTTACGTTAGCCGCAGCTCCGCTTCTATTCCTTTTTCTTCTTTCCTCTTACATCGTTCCATTTCACGCTACGCTCTTCTCCTTTACTCCCCCTTTTGCTGTACGTCGGCTTAACCCTCCTTCAGGTAGGATGCGATTCTGCGACGCGAACACTCTACGTACGTCTACCAAGCAATTCTATTTTTATGATCAATTTTTGTTGATAGCAAAAACAAATTCTTCTTTGCTCCTCCCTTCGCCTCCGGTCACCTAATTGGAACGACCTACGTCGGATGGCCACTACGAGCGTATCCGGATATGTAAAGGAGAAAATAAGTGAAAAGTATTTACACGCATCCACGGATCGGACAACCTTTGGTATTACGATACCAAGGATCTAAATACAGCGGTGGAATGCAACGGAACGCGTTCCGTTTATTTTTAGACGGGTAGATTCGAAAATACACCCACCGTGGATTAAATATAACTGGAGATGCACGCGCACGGAATGCGGCACGATGGCACGCGAACGATCGCGTCCCCTTGGAAATATGCAAATCCCCGTGGCGAAAACGAGACATTTCGCTCCCCTTTCATCGCATTCATCGAAATTTATCTTTTTATCCCTAACCCACACCTGATACCACTATCTTTACGTTTCTTATCGTAATTGTCAGAGTGACTATAAAAGGGGTTTGTCTCTCAAGAAATAAACAAAAAAAGTTTATATATTTATGGACAGTGAGTCACCAGTTCGGCTGTATAGCGTAGAAAACACTGGAATTATTCCAGACAAATTGACCGACTCTGTAGGGGTCGTGGGTGGAGATTTACAATTGAAAGAAGACTAACGAATGAACAGGAAGACATAGGTGGTCGATCGAAATCTCTTAATCATTACGCTCGTCTTCTTCTTGATTAGCAATGGTAGAAAACCCAGCTTGATATCGTATCCAATTCTAACGGGGTCATTAAACTAATCTGTTTACTTTTCCTCATCAATAAACAGTGAAACGTAACGAGAATTGCGAACAGAATAGAATGAAAATTGTAGAGAAATTCTCGATGCAATCTTGTTTGTTTACTCGTAAATCGTCGAGCGTAACGATACGAGGAACGTAGAAGGGTGAAAAATAAAAAATGAAGGCGTAGCATTTAACACCGGTAGCACTAACATTCCACGACTGCCTTTCTGCATCCAGTGGCGCCAAAGTCATCGTCTCGGCCACTGCTACCGTCACGTTTATTTTATTGGCTCGTTGGTAAAATTTACGCCTCGATTTCCTTGCTTCACGCCACGAAATTTTCTTCTTTCAGAAAAGAAAAGGAAGAACTCTGCCGTGTTAGCCATTCGTTTATTTTAATGGCTATTATTTATTGAAATGATACCTTTCCAAATATGGAAGGTATAGACTCGAAGTTGAGGGGTGAGAAACAGGGAGCAAATACTGGATCAGCTTAAATACTTGTTTTATTTGTCGTAATTAAAATATAAATAACTCTAACGTTTCAGATACATCATTATATACAATGTTCAATTCGACTAATTCCCTACGTGTGATTATAATAATTTAATGACGATACAGGATACGATATAGACACGTGATAATCATTGATAAGGTATGATCCTACGCGAGTTTCAGGAATGTTCTTATGTACAAAAGTTGGGACGTCACATGAATCTCTAGGAATGACTCTCGTACTAATACGTAAAATTACCATTTTTCTTCTGTTTGTTTTTTTTCTTTTTTTTTTTTTTTTTTTTTACGTGATACATGCATTCTTTAACACACACATTCCAATCTTCTTGCACACGCACACGCATTCCTCATTTCTTTCAACATCTTTTAACGTACTGTGACTTCCTCGAACTACTGCTTTTTTCAGCGAAAGATGAGCTAGAAGAAGAAAGGACGTGTCTCTCCTTCCTTCCTCAGCGGAAAAGAACAGAACAACTCGTCCCACGAACTCTGAACGGCAAGGTACTTAACAAATTACCAACCGGAAGCCAATATACTGGTGGTCCATTATCATCTGCGAGCAAGTAGGCAGGGTGTTAATGACATCCGCAACGATCTGCGATCATATCTTGGTAATTTTTCAAAACAACGTTCTCGTGGTCGTCGAAGAAGAGTATGGTGGTGTCGAGAAGTTTGGTGGGTACGCAACATGGTCTTTCGACCCCTTTCACCAGGCCCATTTTGTGAACGATTCCTTGGATGGTCGCGTGATTGGTTGGTTGTTGATCCTGGCTCAATGGCGATTCGCAGATACCTTTGCAGTGATAAGCTGAATAACCAACTGGGGCAATGATAGACGAAGATAGACCAATTTCTTTAAAATCCACGTAAAGCTCGTGCCTCGAGCATTCGGTAACATTTTGTTGAACAGAGGCGTGACTTTTGATAGATCGTTTTCCTCGATGCTCCGCACTGGATCGAGATACCGCTCTCTGAAGAATAGTTTCTCCGAGCATTTCCCGATTCATCGCTTTTTTATAAACGTCCATGGACGTTAACATCCCCTGGGACGTTTCGTCTTGTAGTTTCTCCTTGGAGATTCCTCTACGTCGTCTTCTGGATGCATCTTCGGCATGCTGTTTCTCTCGGACAGCTTCTGTCACTGTGTCAGACTCTCCTTCCTGTGTTCTTTTCTGTCTCTGGAAAAATTCAGAGTTGTTCTCGCTCGGCCATCGAGCTTCTTCCGGTTGACCTTTTCGTTTCTCCAAACTTTTGTCGTTCTTCAGATCAATCTTCTCCTCGTCATCGTTGTAAGACACTTCCCCTTCGATCTCGTTGTTGTTGCCGTAGGTATAATAACGGGGGACCGTCTTTTTGTCACCTCGATGATTCTTCCCGTCGTCGTCGAACAACACCAAAATCGGTTGCTTGCTGTGATGATACTCGTTACGACGATAAAACTCCACGCTCACTTGATCCTCGGATAAAGTGGAGGCTGTTACCAGAAGGCCCAGGTTCGGTTCACCGGTTAACCAAGCAAGAACTGCTTGCTTCACGTTGAATATCTGTTAAAAGATGATTATGAATTGCCGGTTTGATATAAGAAATTTTCATATCAAGACGTACCTGCCAACCAGACGCGTGTGCGCCGACATATCTGACATTCAACAGCCTGTGAAGATCCGGCTCATCAAGGCTTCTCTCGTCCAACACTTGATACACTCTTATCTAAACGGAAACACGGATGATAAATGACTTCCTGAGAAATCAGTAATGTTCAACGAGCACTTACCAAGTAGTAAGGATACGTCAAAGTAGATTGATGCATGGATTTCAAGGGTGTCCTCTTACGATAGAGATGAAGCTCTGCCTCCAGCACAGATTCGTTCACTTCCAACCCCGTAATGTTGAAGAAATAGAAACGCGACATGGATGTATCTGTGAAAATTATTTGCCTTAACTACGGCTTCTACGAACGACGAGGGCTCAAACAGAGGAGGTGGCGTGTTTACCTCTTTCGATGAAACTGCGGACAACCTTGGCATTGTACGGATTTCTACCTCGCGTGACACCGCTCGGATCAGCCACGTTATTGTACAATTCCATCATAAACTGAGGAGGTATCTTACGACGTCCCGTTTTCTCCCCGTTACTTCGTATACCAAGGACCTGCAACGATTTCGTCAATTATTGGTTAACGTGTCCCAAATCTAAATCAAACTGAAGACGGACCTGTTGCAATTTCTCCAGTGCTTCGTCTCGGCGAGTGTCGTGCTCGCTTCCGTCGTTCAAATCAGCCAGAAACCAAGAATCGGCGAGTTCTTCCTCGTCGCCTTCGTCGTTCTCGGGGAAGCCGCTCGGATGACCGCGTGCGTCGAACCGATTCGACAGGAACAGCAATGCCAAGAAGAGGAACGGAACGTTTCTCGTCATCGTCTTCGTCTATGCTTTACCGGTCAGACTTTGGAGAACGTTTACGCTTGACTTTTCTCGATGACAAACTCGAAACACGACGACAGTCCTGGATTTAGTATCGAGGATAGCCCGACAGCAACGTGGAACATCGATCGAACGTACGGTGAAGTGTTCGCGACAAACGATTCTTATTGGCGAAGAAAGGAACGGGCACCTTCTCTCTGCTAGCGGACAGGAGGTTTGCCGAACCGAACGGAACGCTAAGTAGCATATGGGAGATGTTGGCTGCGAGGAGTCACCTTTATGCTATGCCGGGAGTTGCCTCCCCCGCGTTGCTCCCCGCGCGACATCGGCTTCTCTCACGGGACACCGACGCGACTCTCGACATTGTTACGCCTCGACGCGACGGTGCGTTTCTTCCTCTCCCCCGGAACGATTCTTGTCAACTCCTTGCATCCTAGATCGTCTTCAATCATCCTCCCCATCCACGATCCTCGTCTTTTCTAATTTACCACTGCATTGAGAAATTAAAAAAAAAAAGATGTTATAGACTTTTATTTTTTATTTCAGAATAAATTAAACATCGTTCCAAAATGCTGCCTTTCGATAAGGATTAAACTATTAAAAGAATGAAACTCTTATCTGATGATAATAAAAAGATTGTAATATACGCATAGAAAAGTAGATCGGTAGAGACCGATTGTACACGATACCTTATTGAGGAAAACGAAACGGACGAGGAACGTGACGATGACACGGCGGGGCTATTAAAAAAAGCTCACGCTTCCTAAATTCCGTAGATTCGTAAGTGGCGAGTTATGTGGCCCCGCAGCGATATTTAGATGTCGCGAATAATCGGTTGTTTTCCGACGAGGACGATGACGGATCGCGAGGGTGTCACCGAGTATTTTCGCCTACACGTTCGAAAACCGACCACGACTTTCGGCCTCGTTCTTTTTGTTCCATTATTCGGACGTACGCAATGCGAAGCAGTAGTAAGAGAATAGTTGTAAGTACAAAATTGGTCATTATTGTGTGCCTTGCGATCAAACGATAGAATTAATTGACTTAGAAGCTGGAACAAATTCTAAGACAACGGTTCTCGCCTGCTGCTCGTTTTTTCCGAAAGATTAACTCAATTACCATGAAAATCGTAGAGTCATTTAACAGAGTGTAACGGCGAAAACTAAATGGAACGAATGGAATGTAGTGAGCGTGGAGCAGTTTTAGGTAGCCGTTGAGATTTTCTAAAAAGACATTGTACGTTTATTTGTCATACCAATACACGGTGCATGTAGGAACATGGAAATGGTACTTTATGTTTACGCGACGCATAAAATACTTTAAATTCCTCCGCGGTCCGTTCCACTGATCTGCTCGATTTGGCGACGGACCTCTCCGATCCGTTCAGACACAGGCACACTGAGTGATTTGAATAATCTCTCTCTTTGATCCTCGACGAGTCCTGAAACAAACCAACAGGCCAATAAAATTTCAATTCTCACCTTTTGGGCAAATACCTTTCATAAGGGTATTTCATATGAAATACCTGTACTCGTGAACTTTGAATTTAGCCGGTGTGCAAGTATGTTGCTTCGTGTACAACCCAGCCAAGCATCTGGACGGTTCCTTTGTGTCTCGTAACAGGCACATTTCCGTCTCGTTTCCTGGACACGTACCGACGCACTGTCCAATGTTAATTTGCTGACGAAAAAACAACATTAAATTACATGGTCGTTCCATCGGTGTCTATGATCCGCGCGGAAGAAAAATTTACCCGGACAACCGGCCTAACGTCGGTCGTATTCGTGCCGTCCTTAATCTCTACTTCGCTGAAATCTAACACGGTCTCCATGTGATCCATTTTGTGGCAGGTTCCAGCACAGCCACATTTCTCGATCACCTGGTACACTTCATCCCCTAGAAAATCATTTTTCAGTCAATTGAATCAATTTTGATTTCCAATGACCAATTAGATGCTGTACGTACCATTTGGTCCTTTGATGCTGACCGTACCGTTCCTTACTGGCTTGCATCCGAGATCTTTCAATAGATATATATCCACGTTATTAATTAAAAGTTCAATTAATATTATGCGTAGGAAAAATTAGATACCTTTACTACAGTGACCCATGCACACACCCACGTCCATCACCGCTTGATGAGGAGTACCGGAATGTACAAGATGAGTGAAGGATTCTCGTCTGCAGGAAGTGTCCGCCGTGCACTCGCAAGCTTCTATAACTTCGATAATACGAACACCTTGAATCGTGGACACTCTTTCTAGTTTCGCGGCCCTTGGACGGCAATGCGACTCCAGGAAGCATTTCTAGAACGAAGTGTAACGAATTACGTTCAACCATCATGATTACGTTTAATAAAGAATTAATGGAAGATAGAGCTATTTGATATGAACCAACGAGAGTAACTACACCGTGTAAGAATGAAATGTTGGCGTAGGAAGGAAAGAGAACATTCTTCTGAAATGGTTGGCGCGAATATTCTTTCGATACAGATATTGGATGCGAGCGAAACGAGCACGCGGTTTCACAGAATTCGTACTTTATTTCTTCGTACGTTTGCCAAGCAAGAAGTATCGACGCTGTCCCGATGGAATTTATAATATTCGCGCGCCTCGTTATCTCCGGTTCGGACAGTTTTCTTTGGTACTCGATTTCATTCGCGACACACGGGCCATTTAATTATTCTCGCTGCGGGATAACTGACCGTTATCTTTGTCCGTGTAACCCGTCCAACATCTACCCCTATCTCTCTTGCACCCCTCCGGGGATATTTCTGGCTAAGAATATTTTCTAATAAATTCTGTCCTCAGGTACATCCATCGTCGAGATCCCAGGAACACGATTCGGGATTTAGTAGCTGGCCAAGCTGGCGCCAAGAGCGGTGACCCGGGACGATACGACCTTCCAAGGACGCAAAACACATCCTCTCCTTCTGCATGTATCGCTTGTAATGTTTTTCTCCTTCTCGGAGCGCGCTTCTCTCCCGCGGCGTGGGTGCTGCAAGATCGTAAACCAACGATCGGGTTGCATCACGTGACGAAAATAGCTTTCTTCCCAAAAGAGAGGAACCATCAGGACCGTAGGGTCCTTCTTCAACGCTTGTGTTTATTCGTTACGGTAATTATTCTCGTATCGTCTCTATGTACCAATAATAGCAAAATTAACTGATCTATTAGGGTGAATCTTTGTCTATCCAGGTATATCAGTGGGTGCTATACGCCTCATACGACAAGGAATTCGTTAACCAACCACAAAGGACTCGCTACGGCATCTGTCGATGAATTTTGGTGAATAGGAGATGACTGGTATATAAAAGGAGCATGATCATCGACGAAGATACACGCGTCTCGATACGGTATGGGGTGCGCTCGCCGTAAAAGTCGCGAAGATCGTATGAGATCGCGCGATGCTGGCGTGGCCGCATTCCAGCTGGCGGATTGGTCGATCCCATGCGTCATAAATCTACATGACGTTCCTGCCTTTTTCGCCCTTCGTATAGCCCTTGGCATACGTAGCCTGGCGTGGCCACGTATATCGCAACATTCTCTTTTTTATCTGAGAATTCGGTCTTTTCGCTTCTTTTTCTTCTTACTGGCCCGAACCTCCGATAGATTTCTTTCAGGCACCTTTATCCTTTACCTTTCAGCTAAGCCTATTCCCTTCTTTGTACAGACGATCTTTAGATAAATATTCTTAAACAGCTTCGCAGATTCTTAATTGCAAATTAACCATCGGTATCGCGAGTCAATCAGGATGAATTCGTAGGTACCACGACCGGTTCGATAAACCCGCTGCGTCAGATCACGCGGAACGTTTTTGCACCAGGTGCATCCCACAGGCATGAGTCATGGATCCAACGATCTTCGCTCCACAGGACCAAATCTTCACCTCTTCTGGGTAGTTGCTTATGAACGAATGTACATAAAGACAACTTCTAGATGATTCCATCATTCAAAGATGAAAATTCATCGCTTCTTTCACCAAAAAATCTCTCATCTTCTTAGTCATTTTTCTCAAACCTTACATCTATGTCATGAAATTGTGTCAGAATTTCAAGGATTAGATCTTACTGCGTTTACCTGCACGGCGGGTCGGCTCGCATCCCCAGGATCGTCCAAAACGTGTCGCGGACACAGTTTACGACAGTGGCCTGCATCGATTTGGATAACTTCTCCCGATATGCCTAAGAACAGAGAAGAAGGAAGGTATGAGATGGTGTGCAATAGGGGTGTGAGGTTCAATGAAATTCGGATATGTTGTTGAATCCGTGTCCCAACTGCGGCTTTCGTGCGAAGCGTCAGACGCGTGTAAATCCGATGGCGCCGCGGCTAATGCTCGCGATCCACCGTACAAAATTTACGAGTTGTATCGCGTTAAACGGTGACACGATATATAAGAAGAGGGTAGAAGATCCTATATAATGTAACTCGAGTTATTTTTGGCGCAAACGCGTGGGACACGGAATGCGAGGATTCCATCGTGATTCACGTTACCCTGAACCTTCGGTCACTATCTTACCACCTTTCCGTGTTGCTCTCTAGAAACGATGCTATTCAAAATATTAGACATAAAGATACGCGAAGTCGATTTGAAGAATCTTTTGCTTCGTTCCTGATCAAGAGATCAAAGTTGGATGGAACTTTGCCACTGGTCCATCGATCGAGGATAACCAACGTTGATCAACGAAATCGTTTAATTGTTCATTAATGCCGACTCGAAGGGTGGTCGTCGTTCACTTTGGCCATTTCGCGGAACGAGCCTTCGGCGAAACATTAATTCTTCGTTTGCCAGAGGATTAACCTTCTACGAATCGAACCGCTGCGTTGGTTGCTCCCTAATTGATCGCTATGGGGAAACGAAAAATGCCGCGATGCACGCACGACCCCGTCACTTTATGTGCTATTTTAACAACTATTATAACCGATTATACTGAATTCGTCGTTCACCTGTGACTATTCAACAACAGTGAACGTGTTAAAAGTAAAAGTTAGCCAATGATAAATCGGTTGAATCTTTCTATCGTGGACACACGACACCGTTACCGGATGGATGCTTCATCCTCTCGATCGGCGTCAATTGATTGAACACCCGATATTAATTTACCGGATCGGATCTAGGCGACAAGGCCGCCGGTCACCGTTTTACCACTGGTGAATATGGGGCGGTAAAAACGAAACGAAGGAACGTGATTTACGTTTAGCCAGTTGCTAAAATTACGCAACTCGTGGGTTGGATCTTCTTTTATTTTCCGTCCAAGAATCGTCGCACGAAATTGTCCATTCATCTTTGTTCGCGTATACTGTGGCCCATCTCGTTTCTTTAGTATATTTATTAATTTGCTTACCGTATCCAACGTCGATCGTCTTCTCGTGTCTGGCGCAGCATACATGTTGCCGGACTTCTTCCCCGTGTACCCTGTCCTCGTCGTCTGAACTTTTGTCACCAATTGCTGAAACAAAAACGTGGCCCAATGGCAATTATTACCTTTCTCTAATGCTAATTTAGTTTCTTAACACGGCTGCCACAAAAAAATTAAAAAAAATGATCGGTATGAGAAAATTTGGTAACAAGAGAAAGGAGCAGAATAGAAAAGAAGAAAAGAGCGGCGTTACCTACCCAATCGCAAATTGGCGAGGCAAACTAAGGTGAAGCCACCGAATACGGCCCACCGACCCCTTCTGATTTGTATTCGCATCGGTACGATTTACCGTGTTTGGCTAACGATTTGAAAAACTACAGCGGTCCCGCCACGAAATCTATCGTTCCCGTAGATAAATCGTGCCCAATTAGCCACAGCAGTTAGTATCTCATTACTCTATGTAATGCTCGGATGACTAGAAGATTCGTGGTACACGGAATACTCTTGGACTCGCACGTACTCGACCTGCAAAGCGGTAGTCCAGAGAGACAAACGCACCCGTGCGATCGATCACGATCGGTTGTTGCCCACGCAGGTTGCGATCTGCGAGAAGACTGGCCGTCTGGATGCCGCTGGATCTCGCTCAGACGGAGAGGCGTCCGGCTGACAGGCGGATCTCTATTAATCTCGTTTGGTACGGGAACGTCGGACCGCTTCGTGACGGCTGGCCCGTCCATCCATCCAGTCTTTTGCCTCTTGCCTGCCGCGATCGCCGATGCGTAGCGATACGGATATTCGAAACTCCCTCCTGCAACCTTTCAAGAAATTCAACCATACTCCAGCTACGAATCACGTCGCATTTTATTCGAACTCTAAAAGTCTTGAAAATCTTGATAAGCCGTTAATCTTCAATCTTAATAGGGCTTCAGCCTTGATCAACATTTATAAGAGTTTCAAGACTATCAAGACGTTCAAGACTTTGGGATTCAAATAAAATTCGCAGTGATTTCTCCATATCTTTATGTTCGGAGGACATCATGGCCCATCTTCCACCAAACCTGCTTCACTTCACCGCTATATGAATGTCGACGTTCCACACGATCGGTCCTTCATTTATCAATAACCTTATTTCATTGAATTTTGAAATAAACATGTAATATCATTTATACTGATATTTATGTCATAACTACTTCATAAATTTGATTCTCACCTCATGATTTATTATTGTAATGTTATGATTCAACAGGTAGCCTCTTCACGCCTTCGCACGCAAAGAGATCAGCACGTTTCAATATTGTATTTATAATCTGAAAGAAAATGCAGAAGAAAAGAGATAACTATAAATCCTTTGTTAACTCATAAGTTCTTTTTAATTCTAATACTACATAAGTTTTCAGCAAACAGGAATGCATCATCGTCTTTGATCACATCTGAAAATTTACGTGAACACCTCGTGTTTGTTTATTGTCGCAAGAATGTTGTTGCAATTATTCGAAAATTACTTTATAATTTCAATCTTCTTACCATCGCATTTATCCTTATGATCACATTATGCCGCCTTAAAATAGTAATGTAGTATTTTTGCTAGAAAATCTGCATATAATTTAGAAATATAATCCATCGTTGTTTAGCGGCTTTTAATACAATATTCGATGACTGCAAACCCAAATGCTCTACTGTTATTATCTTTTGTATCAATCTATATATAGTAATTGTTTAATTTTTTATTAATCAAAATTTTGTTTACATTTTTTTATTTATTTATTTACATATTCTCTTTAATACTAATTCATTTATTTTCCAAATCTTACCATCGCTCTATATTCAATTTTAACCCCATATACCGTACGAGCACGCGTAGGTGGTATACTGTGTATGACTGTAAATATTTGTATGAAATTACACATGTTACATAGACTTTAACATTAAAGTTATACCTTTAAAGTATTTGTACCCATTGTCATAGAATGTATGTATATTTAGTTTTTTCATAATGTTTAACATAAAACAGTTACAAGTAATTTATAGGTTATGTTTCTTGGTGCTGTTGTCAAAAAAATATATGACACAATGAAAACATTTTATCAATCATTTACGTTATTTTAGAATGACCTCGAAGGCAAAGGAAGGTAGAAGGAAAAGCCTTTCACCTTGGATGACATGTGAAAAGTGTCAAAGTGTTTTATCACAGAAAGATGTAGCAGTACATGATGCTAATTGTCCACCTAATTTGGAGAGTTGGACCCATGATTTCATTCATAATGGTGTATTATACAGCAATGTAGAAATATACAGACCATCAGGTACATTACCATACTTATTATTCCTTGTACTTTTTCTAACATAAATGATTTTTGCATAGAACAGCCAAAAAATATTTCTGAAAGAGCATGCAATGACATGATATTTATATCACAATCTGCTTTGCAATTATGTGAAATTGCAATAGCAGATCCTGTCTTTGTTACTACTGGAAATACTACAGTTGTAAAGACAGCATGGCCATCTAAAGATAAAACCTTGACAAGCATTTCATTAACAAAACATGGTAAATTGTGCAATGATTTTTTTCAGATAATTAAAAAGACAGGTTTTCTTATCAGTATATTTCTTACAGCAATAGAGTTAAATAATCTTCGAGGTCCAGTGAAGATTCAAAAATTAAATTGTTTAGTTAATATTGCTAAAGAATTTATAATTAGTAACATTGGAAAACATACATTACCAGAAATAAGCACAGAGCTGAACATAGTATTGAAAAATCATAATGAACAAAAAATATTTGCTATTGGCAATAAATTAAGTGTGCCTTTTTATGGAAAGAAATTAATTTATAAGATTATGAAAGTAATATCAGATGAATGTACAAATCATGATTTATCTGATCAATTTGAGCAATTAAATGTAAACAATCAAATACATGACTTCAAATTTTACAAAGCACTTTACAACACAAAATGGACAATCTTAGATGAAGAGCAAGAAGACAGTAAACAAGCTAAATATAAAATACAAGATGTTGGAGGCTACGATAAAATAATACAAGACATTAAAGATGTTCTTGATATTGGACTTGGTAGATGTAATAGTATTATAAACTTTTACATCAGCAAAGGGATATTGCTATATGGTCCCGCTGGGGCCGGCAAATCTATGATTGCTAATGCCTTATTATCGGAATATAATATCAGTTCTTTCACTATTTACAGTTCAGATATTTATAGCAAATCTCTGGGCGAAACAGAGCAGAGATTAAAAGATATTTTCATGGAAGCGAAAGCCAAATCCCCAAGCGTTATTTTAATAGAAGAAATAGATACTTTATGTCCTAAGAGGAGTACCTCGAGTACGGATCATGAAAGAAGGGTTCTTGCACAACTAACTGCGCTTTTTGATGATATACAACATGCTAACGATAAAATGGTAATATTAGCTACAACTTCGAAGCTGGATTTGGTGGATAATTCCCTTAGGAGACCCGGTAGAATAGATAGGGAATTTGAGATTTACGTACCTACTCCCACTATGCGCGCAGAAATACTTCAGAAGATGGTATCAAACATCCCAAACACATTATCTATGGAAGATGTAGCAAATATTGCGTTTGTAACTCACGGGTTCGTTGGTGCAGACCTGTATGGCCTATGCTCACAAGCTGTTCTGAATGCAATAAAAAACCAACCAAAAGCAGATACAGTATCATGTTTAAAAGTAACATCATCAGATTTCAACCGAGCTTTGACTGTAACAAAACCATCAGCCATGAAGGAAGTTTTAATAGAAGTACCAAATGTTCGATGGTCGGACATTGGGGGTCAAAAAGATTTGAAATTGAAGTTGAAACAAGCCGTGGAATGGCCATTACGTCATCCTGAAGCATTTATTAGAATGGGTATCACTCCACCTAAAGGTGTTTTGATGTTTGGACCACCAGGTTGTTCTAAAACAATGATCGCAAAAGCTCTTGCAACAGAGAGCAAAGTCAATTTTTTAAATATAAAGGTGAGACGCATTTTTCTTTTTTTGTATTATTTTTTATTAATCTACAAGATTATATTGCAAGTAGGGTCCAGAATTATTCTCAAAATGGGTCGGTGAATCGGAAAAAGCAGTCAGAGAAGTATTTAGAAAAGCAAGACAGGTTTCACCTTCCATAGTGTTCATTGATGAAATCGATGCTTTGGGAGGTGAAAGAGGATCTTCATCTAGTGCTGGAAGTAACGTACAAGAACGAGTCTTGGCACAATTATTAACAGAGCTCGATGGCGTTAGCGCATTAGGAAGTGTTACACTAGTCGCAGCAACTAATCGACCAGATAAAATTGATAAAGTTAGTCGAACATTAATATAATGCTATGTTTAGTAAACAGTGTTATTTCAGGATTATCATTTTTTATAGGCACTGCTTCGACCAGGTCGTTTGGATCGAATAATATACGTACCATTGCCTGACTACGATACTAGGCAAGAAATTTTCGACATAAAATTAAGAAATATGCCCATTGCTGAGGATGTACAAATTCAAGATCTAGTCGAACTTACGGAAGGTTATTCAGGAGCAGAGATTCAAGCGATATGCCATGAAGCTGCTATGAAAGCGCTTGAAGAAGATTTAAATGCTTCTATAATTACTAAAGTACATTTCAAAGCGGCGTTGGCTCTAATCACTCCTCGAACTCCTCCGTCCTTGATAAACTTATACAGTGATTATATAAATAAAGTATATTAGTCGCGAAACATTTGCTCGTGCAATAACAATTGAATCTATCTACATTCATTAATATTCTTCAATTATCTTAACGTCATACTTCATACTTTTATTCCATAGAACTTTCTTTTCGGAAGAATTAACAAAATTTACGATTATATAATTACAAATATACACACACACATATATATATATATATATAGCTGAAAAATGTCAGTATTCGTAAAATGTGATGAACCTTCTAATAAAATCTGTCCGAAAGATATAATTCAATGGTTTGATAATTTTATGATTTGGTTAATTTTAATTAATTTTTAATAAACATTTATTTCAGTTGTCCTCCAATGGAACCACAATGTCCACAAATTTGTACTATGTCATGCCCAATGGAGTGTTTATGTTATCCATGCGAATATCAAGAAACACCTAAGTGCCCACCGCCTATGCCAGTTACCTGTATGCCGTGCCCTACTCGGGCACAAGTTTTACCATGTGCTCCGCGACCTTTCGTTTGTCCACCCTGTACAGGGCATCCATGTATCACTTGCGCACCCTTACCAAAGCCAGTCCCTGCTCCTTACGAATATGGACCGGTCTTACGAACACCTCTCACTACCGGTGGATTATTCTATGTTGGAAGCACCAGGTGTTATTCATGTACACCCTCTGTGTGCTGAATTCCTTATGTATACGTGCACATACCATATCTATCCCTTACTAACAATACTGTAACAAATAGAATGAAATGTAAAATCCAAATAAATGACACAAATCAACTTAAATTTAGCATTATAGGGGTGAATCAATGACTATTATTTATTTTTCAGATACAACAACGTTCAATTGTTTTTTGTTTACGAGGATCTCCCCGTGACGATAATTTGATATAATTACACAATTAAAAAATTTACAAGTAAATATATATCTCAATGGAAAGAAAAAGGTGTAGTCTCTGTCCATTAACTCATTTTGATAGATGTAGCTATACGATAACAACGTGTAATGAACCCCAATTAAGGATAGAGTATCGCAAATCCTGCCAAGAGTATTCTCCTAAGATTGAACCAATAAAGGGTGTCAGGTACAGATTTAATATCAAATGATTGTATGTAATTATAAAGTTTTTATTATTAATTTATTTTAATTACGCATAAAAGATTTAAACAGCTTGCGAATTCACGACGGGGTTTCGCTGCATGGACAAATTTAATGTATCGTCCTATCATTCAAGGAGCTTTGAAATATCGTGGAGTATACAAATTAGTCCCTCTTGATCCACCCCCATGTAGTCCTGTACTGTGCAGACCAGCCCCTGATAGACCGACAGATTCTACCGGCATGGTAGTATATCGTCGATGGGGGGCGTTCCTGCACCACTATATGTAAACAAACTCATGGTACCTCATTCAGTAAATTTTAAATGTAACGTGACCATTGAATGTATTTTGTAAATTGTAAAAGTACTGATAGGAACATGTATAAAATATCTTTGTATGATATATTTGTGTGTATTTATATTACTAAAAATCTATATGAAAAATAAGGTTATGTTTTGAATATATATCTTGAAAGTAAGTATATTATAAATAAATCATTATGGAAGTTATATGGAATCACATACAGTTAGAACGCCCGCCAAATGTAACTTGCCATGTTAGGCATCAAAAATTTGGTGAGTCTGAAATATTTAAAACTCAGTGCCATACAAATGTAATAATGTTCTTCTTTTTTTATTATTAGATACAACAGCGTTTTTAACAACATTAGAGAAAGTTATAAATGATTTAACTTCTCAAGATTTATTACACAAGGAAGCAGCAATTTTAAGCAGAATAATTTACCGTATGAAAACCAAATTTCGGAATGACAAGGGTGTTAAATCTATGCTTAAAGTGAATAAAGTCCTACTCAACTACCTCTCTTTACAACTTAAAAAAGAATATGAAAATTTGAAAAGCTTTGTTGAAATAAATAATAATTATGTTATATTACCTAGTAAACAAATGGTAGAATATGTATTGGTTAGAACACAGGGTTTTGCAAAGCTCATGTTACGCCTGGAAGAAGTTTCAAAACATTCTGCACATTACCTCAAAAGTAGAATGGGTATAGGTCATGCTTGGATTATTGCTGTTATTGCATATGCTGTTGTTAGCAGAATATGGTTAGTTTATTCATTATTTCAGATAGATCTGTGTCTAAATAAATCTGTAGACTGAAATATTTGGTTACAGGCTTTTATCAAGACATTTAGTTAAGCAATCTTGTACATGGTACAATGATTTATATGGATATTTAAAATCATTCAATATTTCTGGAGTTTCCTGGCTTCCTGATAACTATGAACTTCCAAGTGATTTAAAGTTATGGTTGTCAGTGCCATGGATAGATGAACCTATCCCAAGGCATGTATCATCCTTGCAACAAATTATTATGCAAAATCTTCATAATTAAATATTTTATATTTGTGCAGTGTTCCTAGTAGTTATGGATTACAAAATTCAATGTTTAAACTCATCATACCACATGAATATGATTCTGATGAAGATACAAGCTTTAATATGCAATACAATACGGAAAAAACGAATTCTGAAAATGAATCATTACTGATAGAAAAAGAAAATGTCACTTCTAGTGTGGTACCAATGAGTGAGAACAAAAGTATTGTTCCTGATGTTGATACAGGAGGTATACAAATTAAATGACAATTACAATTTTATAACAAACGTACATATAAAAATAATTCATCGCTCTTTTTGTTTTATAGAAGTTATAGATCGCCGTACTTTCTACAATCTTAATCATCAAAAAAAAGATTTCAAAACTGTAAATGATAAAGATACAAGCCCAAAACAACAGAATTTTCCTAAAAAGAAAAGTGTAGAAAAATTATTAACATTTGATAATGTTAAAATTAAATCAGATTTAGTAATGTTATTAAATAGGGAATCATATTCTGGTTTAGATAAGTTACAATGGAATATAATTAGAAATAAAGGTAAAAAATTATTAAATAAATTAGATTCCTGTTCCACTGAATCAAAGCGGGCAGTTTTATTAAAAAAGGTAACGAAACGTATACAGTCGTGGATTACTTAAATACAGTATGTAACAATCAACAAGAAGGATAATAAGGTATAAATAAATTTTATATTTATGACCAATTTAGAATTGGCAATTTTTATTATCACGAAACCTATTTGATTTATTAGTAATCAAATTATTTATTTTACTGCGTTTGAAATATTTTGTATATTTAAGCTAATGGAGGTAGCGAAAATTAAAAGTATCTTATGATTGAAAATCATATAAAGCCGATCGGAGACGAAATTGTTGAGTAATTAATGCATATCATAATCTGGATGTACTCGTATTGTATGCCGATGTAATCTCATCCACGATTGCGATCCGAAATCAAGCTGCCTCTTCTTCATGTTGTTGAAACAACAAGCACGAAACTGCCGGGTGCCACAAATATCGGCACATTCTCTGCCACATTGATCGCATGAAATAGTTTCTCCAAAGATCCACAAAGCACATACTATGAAACAGAACCATCAAAGAAATCAACTTTATAGTCTATTTATTTATTGCATCACTGCCTGAAAAGAACATCTTTCTAATTTTATAAAACTATAAAATACGATCAAGTTAAAAGAAATGCATTTATGGATGCCCTGACACAACTTTAAGTTCAGTAATGAATGTTAAGTAGGTAATTACAAGTTACAGCATGTACAAGATGCGCAAAGTAATATATAACTCGATTAGACTTTCTTAAAGTATCAGGATTTTGATGTAGAATACTACATACATAGGTGCCAATTAGTATAGCGTTAACGAAGGATTTTATCAATGAAAAAGGTAAATGCAGTAATACTATAATAATTGTTTCGAATAATATTCTGACGGCATCATCCTCTCAAAGTAAAGATTATAGCGTGGTCAGCGATTTAATCTAATTCAGATCCCACTGAACGTTTCATTATTCTCGGGATATCTCTGTTCCCATAAATATTGTGAAATATATTTTACGATTCAATGAAATTTAACATGAATTATTAAAAACAATACGGATCAATTCTTTTACTTTAGTGTTTCAATGTTAAATCTTTATAAGTAATAAAAATAATATCGCTTACCTGCGAGCAACAGGATCACACAAGTACAATTCATCTTCATATTGGACGACCAAATTAGTTTTTAATTCAGCTAGGAAGCACGCACGACGAACAAACGCTTTAAATGAAAAAACACAATTACTTATCAATTTCACGACATTTATTGCAAAAATCGGTTGATATTCTGATCAAAAATAATTAAAATGAAATATTCAAATGCCTAAGCATGGATTGCTATGCGTTAAATAGAAGAGTTGTAATAAAATAAAATATTTGAAATACCAGTGATAAAGATGTCAACTTGAAGACCGTTTGCAGATGAATGCCGAGGACCAAATGATAATCTCATCGAGGATCGCTACATCAAGATATATATCCCCACCAAGTCATGTCACCTCCTTCATCTTTAACGCACACGCAATCGCATTTTCTGTCTTAATATAATATTCAACGAGATTTCTGTTTATAATAATCCACTTTACTAATTCCAAGTGCAATTTACCAAATTAGCCTGCATACATTATTATACAAAGTAGATGAAACAAAGGTAAAATACTATTTTAATTTTCCTTTTCTTATGACGTTAACTGTTATTTTGACAATATTAAAATATATAAAATGATAATGACAATGTTGGTGTTAACAGGTCTAACTTCATCTCCTGATGCATTGCTGGTTTGGGCTAATGATTGAACTGAAACACATAGAATAAGAATAATTATAAATTTGTGAACATTCTATTATTTTACATATTTATTGCGATATTTCGAACCAGGGTAGTAGACGATCCTCTTCCTGCGTTTGTAATCCGTCCGAGGAATGGAAATTTCACAATCAATTAATATAGGTTCGAGAATGTTATTTAAAATCGTACTACGACTCACGGAGAGAACACCTTCTTCCATTTTTACTATTTCATCATAATAATTATCGACTTCAATTCCTTCTATGTAAAATTTTAAAATTGGTCGTGGTTGTGCCTCATATTCCACGCATGTCAGATTCAAGTGACTTTCATTGAAATAAGAAACATATATCTTTACATCAGTTTCTGGAGCTGCAAATAAATATCTCCCGATAATATACGGGATATATTTTTTAATAATTATATAAATCATAAAGCTACCATAAACAATCATGTTCATGGTCGCCGAGTCTTCTTCTTGAAACGTGCTGATTGTACAGGCATATTCTCCTCCCATTTCGATGCTGACCATTTTTATATGTATAATGGATTTTGAATTAGGATGTCGTAAATTTGACTCGGGGTATTCAGTGAATCCGTTCAAAACTCCCACGTCCTGTGGCGGCACTATGGTACATAATAAGAAAAACAATGTGTGTCGTATAGATTCAATTATATAAATAGATTAAAAATAAAATTACTTGGTGGTATCCATTGATAGACTTGGTCCATGTTATGATACCACTTTATCACGAGACCATTTTCGTCCTTTCTGACATTGTAAATACATGATAGATCGATCGGTCCAGTACCATTACGCACGACTGGCGGCACCTCCAAAGAATGAATTTTTGAAGCGTGTATGTCTGGAAAGCAAGCTTATTTCTTAATCAATACCTATCAGTTATTAAAATACTGAAATATTAGAAATGTTAATAATTCATTGTTTCTCAACGCTCCATTCACTGATGGTTAATGTTAAGTTTTGAGAAATGTTTCGAGAATATATTACCTGAAAGCAAGCTTGATATCACTGTAACGTGGAACAGAAAAATCGCACCGGTGATCGACGGCATTTTCTACGAAGATCAGTTTTCAGACTGATGCACAATTAAACCATGCTTCGTTAAACTTAAATCCAAGCGCAGGTGAAAGGTTCTGCGCAGTTACCGATTATATTGGTGATTGTACAAACATTTTAAAATTATTCAACAATGAAACAACTGATTAACATCTTACCTTTCAACCACGGTACTTAATTGTGCAAAACGTTTTTAATTATCAAATGCTTACATAGGATTCTATTTAATATAAACATTTTGTATTTCATAATTGATCGCAGTACTTTTCATCAACACTTCGAATTCTTGCAAACGGTCTTTTTAATTCCTACTTTCTGTAAAAGATGGCGGGTATAGAAATTTCAGTGCGATATTCTTCATTATCAACCAGTGCGATCCATCGATCACTTAGCTTGATATAGTTCCTAAGATCATCGTTCTGAATTGTAGAGAGCGCAACAAAAATGAGAAAAAGGTTTTGTGCGACTCTCTATTTGATTATAAATACTCATGACTATGGGAAATGTAACTGACTTCAACGTTTCTGTCATTTGAATGTACAGTGAATACAAAAACAAACTCAGCCGATTTTTATTGTTGTCCTTTATTGTTATAAGATAGTTTTATTTATTCTTTTATAATGGATGACGATCCGAGAGAAGTACTTGCTCTGTTGAATTCATTAGGATTCGTTGGAATTACCGGGCAACAACTTAAAGCTTTTATGAAAGGTAGTTATCTCAATATTTTATTTCTACCTTGTTTTTTATCGCAACTTTTTATTAATATATATTATTTTTGTTAATACAAGATTTAAAGCTGTACAGGAAAATCAAAGAACACGAAACGAAACGGAGAAAAGAAGAAATGAAAAGAAAAATATTACATAAACAACACAATATGATCAAAGAAATTCTTAGAGAACATAATGCAGAACATTTAATTGAAAGTACAATATCTAGTAATTCTTCTAGTTCTTATATCGACAGTTCCCTTGTGAAGGTAAGGGTAAAATGTTTATCTAATGGAAAAGAAAATAAAGAATCTAACTCGGAAGAAAATTCTGCAAGAACCAGACAAAAAATAAATGTAGTCAAATCAGAACCTAAAACTAGAGAGGTATTTGATCATTATACTATTAAACCTACTAGTGTACCTTGTAAAGAAAATGATATACTTCAGCAACAAAGTAAAACTAAATATCTTGAAGGTTTGAGAAAAGATACTTATCTGAGGAAACAGCATGAAACTAATGCAGAAACTGATAAAATAATACATGAAAAATCGACATCTTTGCAGTGTGCACGTCCTATGAGTGCTCCAAATATTTTAGAACGCGAACAAGACCATATTGGTAGTAGTCAAACAAAAAGTACACAGTCTACAAAGTCTGGATCAAAGTCATGTAAGGTTTTAATGTATTTTATATAATGTACTATGAGTGTAACAATTTGACTTTATATGTTATACAGTTATAAGACCATGGAGATTACAACCAGAAGTTCAAAAAGCCTTAAGTGCTAGAAAGTCTGATCCTGTAATGCTGTATCAAAAATATCAGCAAGAGTGGAAGCAGATGTCCTTTCCTGGAGAAGCTAAACATTCAAGCATAAGATGGGCAATTCGTGAAAAAATGTTGGGTGGAGATCCTCATCCCATGGTAAAAATTATTTAGATGTAATTTAATTTATTTATCGTTTATTACTAATAATTTACATCCCTTTTACAGCCTCTTCCTAAAAAGTCAGCTAGTATGCCAATGCTAAAAAAAAAATGACCTTGGTTGAATTAGGGATTAAAATTTTTCAAAGGAGTAAATAATTATGAAGAAATTTGTACTAATAGGTATGTTACATTGAATAGTTATAAGGAAAAATTGTTTGCTATTATTAAAAATAAATACAGATTGATAAATGGTAAACAGGTATTTAATGTTTGCTTTTTTTATTTTCTAAATCTGATTAAGTTTAAACTTCTTTGTTAATATTTTATAATCTGGCCTATGCATGTGATATAATATTCTATCCTCAATTAAACGTGCAGCCCTTTCAGTGAGGATTAAAGTGTCATGTTTTAGCATACTGTAAACATTTAGCCCTGAAAAATAAGTCAGAAATAAATATATGTTATATAATAATAATATTTAATGTGCCTGATATTTAACTTACCATATACAGGCATTAAGTTCACATGTTTTATTGTGTCTGTAGCCTCTGTTATGTTGGGGGGCATAATATCCTCGGTATCAACAAACAATACAGAAGGACCCCAATGTCTTGTTTCTATCAATTCGTCGATATACGAGGATTCATTTGTTGGAACTTCAAGATCATTAATTATGTATAAATCATCTTGAGCAAGTTTGATAGATAATGTGCTTGTAAGTCCAGCAACACGAGCGAAGAAAGGAAGCATATAGAAATGTGGTGTAGGAGATCGAGGTCCATGTGCAACACCACCCTTTCGCCATAATGGCGAACGTATACTTCCATGACGGGCACGTCCCAATCCTTTTTGCGGCCATGGTTTTCTACCACCACCCCTTACTTCTGCTCGAGTTTTTGTATTTGCATAGTTCTAAAATAAAGCATTAATTCTGTTTTTTAGCAGTTTTAATAATGTTGATATTTTTTTTTTAGAAACAATTGATATAGTTTGACAATTACCACCCAGCGGTACATTCGTTGCCATTGAACATTCCTATGGATAATATCTATTCGTGGAGCGGCACCAAAAACATCGGGATGTAAAGTTACAAGTCCCAATTTTTTTCTTTCAATAGTGTCTAAGTTCTCTATCCATACCTCTCGTGGTTTTTGATAGAAAAACTTTTCATCTTGGTAACTGACCTTAGAAATGATCGGACTGGTTTGCTCTGTGATCACTTTCGTACAATACGTTAGTGCTTGATACGAACATGTTTGTACTTTTGTGATGACATTTCTGAATAACATTGACATTTTTATAAGATTTCTTTTTTGTATTAGATTCACACGGTGTATGTTTATTCGTTCATAACCTAAATACAGCAATTCAGTGGCGCACCTGGAGGGGGGTAACGCAGTACCCACAAACTTTTAACTCTAAGATGTCGCTGTAAGACTTCATAGATGACACTACTAGTAAAAGTAAACAGTGTATTTTGTGCAGCAACAAGCCATTTAAAAAATATTTATTGTTGTATCCATTAGTTGATACTGTTATTCTTATAAAAAAATGTTTGGAAAGAAAGCATTCAAGCTTATATCAGAACTAGATTTATCTATGGATCTTCTACCATTTAATGTAAGTTATGTAAAGTTAAATTTATTTAAATAAAGTAATTCAGTAACTAAACATAACTGTTATTCATAGGAAATACTAGTAAAAGAAGTTCTTGACGAAATGAATTCTCTCTATAAAGAAAATTTGTATGATAGGTTTGTATGGAATGGAGGATCTATAGAAGTTGATTATGGATTGGAAGAAATTTGTTGTTTTAAAAGCAAAAACCATTGTTTTTAGTAATGCCATTCGAAATGATGACAATATGACTTTATTGCCATCTGTACAACTTAGACACATAGCATTGACCAGAAACAAAAGGTGTCTTTTAGCATATGTATATAACAGAATGAGAAAAATAAGGGACCTACGTTGGGAATTAGGAAGCATTCTGCCACCAGAAATAAACTCTAATCTATTAAATGCTGAAGTCCAGTGGTTTCAAGCATATAACAAATCTTTAGCTACATACATGAGATCACTAGGAGAAGACTATGGATTTAATATAACAGCAAATATGTTGCCTCCAAAGACTCCTTATGTAGAGGTAAATAAATGAAGCATTCATATTTTTTAACATTTAAACATACCAATTGTTCTAGGTGAAATGTGTGACAGACTTTGGAAAGTTGGAACTTGAGGATGGTCAAGTTATTTTACTAAAGAAAAATACATATCATTTATTACCCAGAGCTGTATGTGAACCACTTATACGGCAAGGTATACTTGAACATAACAGCTCATAATCTGTTATTTTTATAATTTGTTGCAATAAAAATTAAATTAATTTTTATTTTTTTTATATTTTCAAAATTTTTTTAAACATGTTATATCCATATATTTTAATGAAATTCAAATACACTTTCCCTTGTATCAAACTGATCCTCCTTTCTCATCCAGAATCAGGTTTAAACATTTGTCAGCCCGTATGTTCCACGTTTCATCAGGAATTTCCCATATACATACATAAACTAAAATCCCGCGTAACATGTAGTAATCGAACAGTTTAAAATTCGCCCTCACACGATGCGGTACGCCATGATCATCTGTTACGTTATTCGTTCATAATAAGTGTTTATATATTTAACGTATAATTTCATTACAGAAATCTATTATTTAAAAATTTCTTCTCTTTCATCCTGGGACGACACAAGTATGCGCTGATTTTAACATGGTTTTCGATCATTACACTTTCGAAGAGGTCTCCGATTGAAGGTAAGCATTCGCTTAAAAAGATAAATTTAAATCAAGTGGAAAAGATTCTTCGATTATGCCTGCCATTTAAACGTGCGATATAAGTGTAAAAACATTCAGAGTTGTATCAGGACTATAGTAAGGTAACCATAAGTGGAACAATCCTGTATTTTAATCCATCTTCCCGCTTTGTCTTTGAGTCACCGTACTTTCCCAACTCTTGTACAGTTAAGGTATCATCGATATGACCAATTTTCTTAGAAAAAGTAATTAATTGATATTTTGTCGATTCGGTAGATCAGTGGGTAGAAAGCGTTTCTCCTAAAGAAAGACAAAAATCGAAGCACGTGTAACGTAGATACGACGTGTTAAAGTTCACTGAAAGGTATAACAATGAACTCATTGATAATATTCGGGTATATCTATCGGTGAACTGGTTTTCGTGAACGATGCAGAGATAATATCATTTTCTGACCTTATCGCAATCAGGTTTTTCCCCAGATATCATCTTACTAGCTATGTTCTGACCGAAAAAAAAAATGTATGTCCATGATTTTGCAATCAAGTACAGGAACATTTTTTATCAACTCTAGAATTCTTTTCCTTTTGATAAGAAAGAATGTCTCACTATCGTGTGTTGTTCCTCACGAACGACTGACGAAAAAGTTAATTACATCATTGATGAACGATTATATAATTCGTTTATTATCGATAGCAGGATCAAGATCATTATTTTATAGGCAGCTGTTTTTCGATCGCTTGCCAATGACTTCATTGACCAATCGTACAATTTATGATTAGCGGAACTATTAAATTATAGCGAAGCAACAACAGATATTTTAATTTGTTGTATTCAACAGGTGTTTCTTATAAATCCTGCCAATGATGAATTTAGCATATCTTATGAAACTATTTTATTTCCCGAATAGAAAGCTAAACTTTCCTTGTATCTTTTTATAACAATTTTCGTGTGAGGAAAATCTGCTTTATTTCACACCAGATCCGTTTCATAATAAGTCGCAGAATGTCTCGTAAATTTAACACATGATGGATGTCCTCTTTTTAACGTATGTAAATTCGTAGGAAATACCTGTTGGCATTTTAAAATTTCTCGGGTAGTGTTATCATTGTACCGGCCGTTTGTGTAACGAACGATAACAGGTATATGTCCTTTGTTTTACGACTGAATGTCAGTAATCATTGGGGAAACCCGCGTTTAAACGACCATGAATAGGGCGGAGAATTCTATGTTGGTTTTGAAAACGTTCGTTCATCTTCTCGGTATATTGTCATGCGGTAATAACCCTGGAGATTACTGGTAAATATCGGTAGACTTTCCAAATCGGAAATGTCGGTGGAATTTCCGGTGAGTTAACGCCATGACGGATTAGCGATTCAAAAAGAAAGTAGAACAGTGAAATTTACTCATCTTTGTGTAGAAACTGCACAATAATTGCTTTTCAGTTGTTTGACAATCATCATTTGAAAGAGAATGAGATATAATGAAAAAAACGATAGATAAACTGCGAGCAGGCAAACAGTTGCATGAAAGATGATCTGTGTAAGAAGGTATTTTCGATAGGAATAGATAAGAAACATTTTAAGACATGATTCTGGTATTCTGGTTCAGGAAAAGAATATACATCAACGATACAAATTAAAATATTCTCATGATACTGATTGTAGCCAGAATTGTAAGATCAAGCAGGAAGTTCAGGTTCAAATGTCCAATGACGAAAATGGTATTTCGTCGGAATACATCCGTGCACATTGTAAACATTCTTGACATTTAAATAAATACGAGTAATGTTTACGGGGTTTCCGATCCGGCTTTCTTTTTCTAAACTGGTTATCTAAAGAATGCCAAGTTAAATCGAGTACACAGTGTACACGTACAGCTGGCCCTGCCAGAGGACGATGGGTTTTCCCACCCCTACTCTATTCCCTTTAACTGACTACCGCCAGAGGCGGTACTGTGCACCGCGGCCATCGTCGAAGTCACTCGGCGTGTCATCTAAAATCTCTGATCAGTTCGTTTTTAGACAGCGTGGTGGTTGCTGTTTCGACTGTATACACGATTACATCTGTTTTTCTTACGCTTTCATTTCGTCGAAACACGAAATTATCGTATTGTTATCAAATATTTATCGGGCTTCCAGCTGTACAGTAACGGACAGATTTTTCGTTTCTTCATAAAACGCAAAATATATCGTGGGATGACGTAAACTCGCTCCGATATCTACACGAAATTAGAGTCGAAACGAGAATGCGACGACAACGAGAAATCGAATACATAAAAGAAGCCAGCTGTTCAATGGAATTGACGATCGAACGATCGGTCGAATAAAACGGAGCAGTGGCGTCGCTTGCGAACGAACGAAAAGAGAAACGAACGAAAAAATTCTTAAAGGCCGTGTTTTAATCGGATTGAGAAAGCTACGCAGACGCGTCGCATCGAAATTTTTCAGAGGAACGTGGTATACGTACACAGTGCCGCCGTGTATATACAAAAATCGCGAGTAGTTTTCCAAAAATCGCGAGTAGTTTTCCTATCGATCCAGCCGGACAGTCGATCCACTGGTGCGCGATCAAAAATGTGGCATTCGTCGAGAAAGACACCGATGGAGAAAAATGTTCCAGAAAACGAAGAAAAGTGTGAGAAGCAGCACGACTCGGGTGACGCTGATTCTGGTTTCCTATCCGGAGGAAATCTTCAAGTCAGTTCCGAGCTAAGCGAAGGTGAATTAATTGCCGCGACAACCGCACCCCAGGCTCCAGAACCAATGAAAGTAGACAGCGGTGTAGATCTCGGCCTGAGCGAAAGCTTGAGCCAGCTTACGCTGAAACAAGTTACATTGAATCCTCTCGCTAGTGGCAAAGTTCAAGCCGAACCGACTGTCGAATTGATTCCTGTCAGTTCCGACAAGCTCAAGCAATACGATGCTTCGATATTACAACACGAATCGTATCAATCTACGGAGAAGCCGTTCAATGAGGAACCTTGGCAGCTTTACTACACACAGGATGATGATGGGGACACGTAAGTAATCTATGCTCTTCCTCCTTCCGTTGAAAACAAGCCTGACCTATTAATGATACGCAATTAACTCGTTTACTTTCTCTAATTATTCTTATTTTCGTCACGATTTACATTGTACATCAAAATGAAAAATTGTAATTTTTTGGAATTCCCAGACACATCGAAAATCGCTTAAAATTAAATAAATCGAGATATTAGATGTCTATAATTCGTCGCGGTTGGCGCATGCTCCTTGGTCAGTGCAACCTGTAGCCCGAGTTGCATTGAAACCAACATTAATGTTTTTAAGCAAATCGATCGATGCTGCGGTAATAATAGCGTGCTGTTGAATGGACGCGGGATTCTTTGTATAATACGATGGAAACGATGACTCCTGAAACTACGACACCTAATCGTTTTCTTAGTATTTTCATTCATCGTACTTCCGCGGCCTAACTATATATCTTCTATTGCGCACTATTATAATGCGTATACTTATAACCTATCTGATATATTTCCTTTAATAAATTGAGGAAAAAAAAAAGAAGACGATACCGAATAAACAATGGTGCGAACAGTATTAAGTATAATATTTCAAGATAAGTACCACGATCAAGTACAATTACTATTCTCTCGAATCGCTCAGAAATATGTTAATTGAGGTAAATATCGTAACGCGTCATCATATACGCGTGAATCGAGCGATCGTGTCTCGTACGTGTTTTACATCGCTAAAGCTCGTTGACCGATTGAACCGTTGCAACGTAAGATATGCGTTCGCGAGATCGTTTTGACCGTGATACGTCAGGCGCCGGCGTACAGATATCTGTACCTCCCCGTTCCCTTAACACAGCTCATGCTGAATTATAGTAACTTTTCTTTGTTTCGTTCCGTTTCTTGTTTAAACAATATCGATCTTGCATATCGATACAACGCTTTATCAAAAAAATACATCATTGGCCCCTGACGAAACGATGACCTTTGCTCGGGGAAAAAACAAATTGTACGAAATGGAGGAAAAAATATGAAGATGTTGCAACTAGTCGTCACGTGTATAGCCACGGGTAACCAATATTAGCCCCGTAGGTTAGAAACGATAATAAAATTCTTTTTTTACGCTCGAACAGACTTGTACCGTAGAATATAAATTCATAAATAAATCCCTGCTAAAGCTTCGCCATTTTTTTTTTCCAGGCAGCTGCACATAGCCATAGTGCAAGGTTTCCTAGAGGCTGCGTTCAGTTTGATAAGAATGGCACCTCATCCTTGCCTGTTGAACATCTTGAACGACGATGGTCAGTCACCCCTGCACCTGGCTGTGTTGACCAGGCAACCGAGAATCGTAAGGCGGCTAATTTTGGCAGGTGCAAATCCGGCATTGAGAAACTTCCGTGGTAATACAGCCCTACACCTGGCATGCGCCACCGGGGATCTTACCTCGGCGAAATCCCTAACCGACCCCTTGACGCCGCTCGAAAGAAATTACCTGCTTTACGGAAAGAAAGTACCTGCGCTGCCGCAGAATCTCGAACAACGGAATTACGATGGTAAGCTATAATAACGATTTATGGCCCCTCTGTCCACGTGCAATCGCCATGTGGCTAATTGAGTTAATTGATGACTGTTACATGACTCAGGTTAAAAGTTTTGAGAAGAAGGAGATTGCGAAATGAAACCACCGCACCACGATTTATAGCTTAGTCGTATATTAATAATTTTGTATACGTGTTGCCCGCAAGATATAATATATGGCAGGGTATAATAAGTATAAATTTAAATTTGTAATCATTGTAGTCATGAGAAACATTGCGATTACACGTGGTCCGTTATTAGTTTCGTCTCGATTTTTCTGTATTTTGCTTCAATCGAAGGATATCTTTTCTCGGTTGATTAAAACTGTATCCTTAACACGCGTTACGTGACCTCCAGTTGAACAACTGAAAATAAAAAATTGTTTGACTGGTGAAATCAAGTGCCCGGAAAGTTGCGAAGTTATCCTCAAGGATGATACGGTAGCATGACTGAATAAAATACTTGGAACAGAGCGTGTCCTTATTAATGGACACAATGGAGAGAAGATCTTTTGCCAAGAAGGAAGGAAGCTCGCGTGACGCGTATTTCTCGTATTACTCGGTGAGAGGACAAACGAAGAGTCGGAAAATCCTAACAACTTTTACCGCATAAAGCAACAGTCATTGGCATCGCGCGTGCGGCACAAAACAAATCCTGTAGCCACGATTACGCGCGTATTTCCCATGATTTCATCAAAGGATCGAGAATGATCCATTGTTACCGTTCGTTTAGCTGGCATTTTCATTGTCAGTTGAACTTCAATGCCGATTGACCGATCAACGTATTCATTTTTTTTTTGTTGCTTTTTTTATATCAAGTTTACCCGAAAAATTCGCATAAATTCCCATGAATTCAAGTACAGAGTGGCTCAATAATTATAGCAATCTTCTTTGGAACGTTAGAACGTTTCAAGGCGTTTGACCGGTTCGAGGAAAAGTTTAGTCAGAAGACTTCCCTCTTCTGGTCCTTGTCGTCATGGTCCATGCATCTTCCTGGGCTTAAAATGTTCCCGCCTTGCCACGCTTTTCCTTCGTATTTTCAGACGTCGCTGCCTCATGCTGGACAAAATTGTTAGCGGGTACGGTGAACGTCGATTATTTTTCAAAGTTCCGGAATTCCCACATAACGTCATCCTTAACACTCCATTCTGGGCTTACAGCGGCATGGATGCGCACGCGAACCTGGCCTCTGCTATTAGCTGCGTAACCGGCTGCTTTTGGACCATGACGAAATAATTAAGCTACGCTTTTGTATCGAATAGTTTTCGCAAGCTCGCGTGCTTCTTCAACGTGACGCGATTTATTCTACAATACCCTGTGACGTATATGCTTGCAGGTAGAAAAACGTAAACATTTGCGTGCCAGTTGTAGAACGAATACTCGATTAGAAAGGTGTAACACGCTTTCTTGGTACGCGACCTGGTGCCATTGTCAATGAATAATATTAACCCTGTAACTCTGAAGCCTTTCTAAGAAAAAAAGAAGGGCAATCAGTAAGTAGGGTAGGAAGAAAGTAAGAGGAAAATAGTGATACGCTCGGAATACACCCAACGGAATTTTGGCGCGCCGTCTTGCGAGTGCGTGCGTGCACGCACGTTACATCACGCGGCGCGATGAGACAGAGTAGCCAAAGCTGAAGCCGGCAGATGTTTTTGATATTTAAAAATACCTGCGCGACTATTTACGTGTCGTGATATTCTCGCCTCGGTACGACTCGATCCGACTCGGGAAACCCCACAACGGCGTAGCAGTCGGTGGAACGTACCTCGTTTTCACCCCTGACAAATTATTTTCTCTTCTCCTTTCCTTGGAAAACGGGATATTTTTTTATTAAAGTATCGGCTAAAATGACTTTCCTCCTTCAACGCTTGATCTACCAAGAAACTGAAAATGATTCATTTTTTTGAAAGGGAGTGTCGAGAAAGGAGTGCCTAGCACCTGTCTTCTTTGTTTAGTTTCCTTTATGCACGAAGACAAGGTCTCCCTAGTGTCTTCCTAGGTTCTTTCAGAAATAAAGGTAAGAACAAAGGAAGCCTCTTCCCTATACATAGACACTGCCTGGCACCTCGGTATAGGATCCAAATTAATTTACACTTAACAGTTTAGTAAAATGGTTCCAGGTAACCATTCACTAAAATCAGAACCGAGAAAGGATTAAATAGCATGCAATTTAATGTCGATTCGATGTTTATCAACTATCATGATTTAACATATTTTCACTGGTAAACACAGGAAAGCAAAAGTCATTCAACCTTGTCAATGACCAATAGTAATTACAATATTATCGATACGGTATCGAGAACTCGGGAAATTCCAAGTTGCATAAATCGCCTATTTTTTTTAGAATGTATTCGTCTAACGCCATCGCGATAGTTTCGTGTGTCGACGTATTTTGCTTGATCGGCATTATTGATCAGAAAGATTGGTAATTAAATTCCGCCAATGTTAGAGCTGTTGCTAATGGTAACAAGGAGATGGTTAATTTTAGCGGTTACTTTGATCGGTACGAACCTAGTTTGGACCGCGGGACGCCAGCCAAACCTCCGACGACAATGATTCACCGCGTCTTCCTAGTTCTATCTATATCTTGTAGAAGCATGTGACTCGGTCGCATCGGTTATGATGAACATCGACTTTTCATTCTCTCGTTCAACTTGTTCGATTAAAAAATAAATGACGCATCCAACTTCGACCCTACGTTACCAAGAGTTTCCTTCTCTTTCTCTTTGAGCTTTTCTAATTTTACGAATGACTAATTAGAGAAACGTTTGAGATACAATTGTAGGCGAAGTGAAAATAACACACGAGTTTAATTAGACGGGAGAATTTGCCTCTTCTTTCCTGTAGGACGGCTTCTTCAAAGGTCAATTCCCAAATCAAATTCGCGGTCGAAAAGAATAGTTTTCAAAGCCGTGTCTTGACCTTTTGTAAACCGTTAATTCCGTTATTATATCTGATTAAAAACAGTAACACGCGTGGGAAATGAAATCGAATATATTATATATTAATCATGAATTTTTTCATATTTCAGGAGAAATGTGCTTGCACATAGCAGCCTCCTCAGGCCACGTGGAGTTGGTGCGCCTTCTGTTACGTCTTGGAGCAGACCTCGAAGCCAGAGAAGCTTTGGCGGGAAAGACGGCTCTTCATCTGGCCGTGGAACGCGGTTGTCGATCGGTAGTCGCGTTTCTTCTTCAAGAATGCAGGCCTTGTTTGGACACGCGGACGTACGCTGGGATCACTGCTTATCAGATAGCGTTGTGTTTCGATGGCCAACTAGCCAGGGAACTAGTGAGGCTAGGAGCAACGCCGCAGCCGTTACCCGAGTCGGACTCCGAGAGCAGCGACGAGGACGAGAGCACGACGACGAATTATATGCCAGCGATCGCGAGACTCAGGCAGAATGTGGTCGGCGTTAAAGTATAAAACTCCATCGATCAACATGCTGGACTAACGTTATTTTTTAGTCGCTGCGTTTTAGTTGACCGTAGCATAATTAAAAAATATTAAGCCTCGGATGGCAGAGCCGGATCTTTGCTGACCCAACGTATGACTTGGAATTTAAATTTAATTTGAAGTTTCTTCAACGTAGGCTTCCTACAATTAAAAGTAAGCGTATAGGAAAAAGAATCTCCTGTCATTTGCTTTTAATCTTGGGATGACCTAGGGAGACCCTAGCACCTCTAGATGTTTTATAGGTCTGAGTTATAATTGATCCGACAAACGTTGTTCGAGGATATCAACTGACTGTTCGGGATATCGCCGGAAAAAATAACTAGATAACTTTGCGTCGCGATACGGGTTTCAATAAAGAACACACGATTCTAATTGTATCCACAACAGTACAAGTATTACACACGTGTCGAACATGTTATTATTCATTTCGAAAGTAACTGGCACTTTGGCAAAATCGATGTCGAAGTGATCCGACGAAAATATAAACAGGAGAACGAAGGACGAAACGGAAACATTGTAACAATCAGTTAAATTTGTGCCTCTGTGAGGAGCAGCTACTTACTCGATAACGAGGGATACAAAGGAGACGATGTTGAATTTACGCTTAGAAGAGACCGCAGGATCTCGTTTATATGTACATAGATAACGAAAGCATCGAATTTTTGTTCGATTTCTATCTCTGAATGTAGTGATACTGTGGTACGCTTGAAAGCGTCTTTAACTCCAGAGAGAATATATTAAAAGCAAAAGAAAGAAAGAAACAATAGTAAAAAAGAATAGTACGTGATGAAACGTAATTTCGTTCTTCGGTTTAAGATGTACATACATATACATATATATATATATTTATATTAGATGCATTAAGAGACCAAAATAACACTTAAATAGAATATTTATGTAGAAATAGTTTACTCGAATACTACTCACAGAGTACTTCGGTGTTGTATCTAACGCGAACGTTTATAAAGTTTCCTCGTCGCCCCTTGAACCCCCACGATTCTCTCTGTCTTACCGTGTTGTACATAGTCATATTTTATTAGCAACGCAAACGTGTCGTTTTTTTACGACATCAGCTATAATAGAAAATGATACAATTAACACGTTGTTACATAACGTCTATAATTATTTTTTTAGTAATAAAAGGCCATGGAAAAATTGATCACAAAATCCTACCAATTTTTCCTCGATCGAAAAAACGATCCATTAAATCGATTGTATACATAGCATAACGCTGAACAAAAAAAATGTACGTATCCATCGTAATTAGTCGGGTACAAAATTCAAGGGACGCGTAAAGGAGAATAAAACATAGCGGCTAATTTTGCAAGAGCCGGTGTAAAAATGTGGAGCAAGGACCGGCTGTTGGTTATTTCGAGTTGGTAACGTGTAATGGTCTAGGCATTCCAAGAAGCCCGCAGACTTATTCCTTTTTGGGGGGAGAGTTTGGTTTGCGAGGCGCACAGGTTCCGGGATATATTTGGATCTTAGGGAAAAGAGGGGATCCTTCTGATCGTCTAACAGTTTCAGTCGTAAGTAAATGTTTGTTTTTGTTAACGTGTTTATTTCGTGTCAAGAATTTAATAATAATTTATGTTAATATTATTTTTACTTATTGCATTCGTCTAGCGAATGTCCGCAATGGTCATATTAATATGATATAGAGGATTCTGAATTGCATAAATGTATGTACATATAAATGGTTAGGTTTTTATTTAGAAGTATATAAATTACAAGTTAAAAAAAGCAATTTTAATATAACGGTTAGTGAACTGTTTACGAACATGAAAATATGCAACACGACTAACAGTTGGGATTCCCCAGTTACTCCAGTTCACGCTGATGGAAATACCCCGGTTCCATGGCAACGAAAGTGCTGCCAGATTAAGCAACCTTGGACACCAGGCATTTTGGTAGTCAGTCATTCATACTTAAAATTCGCCTACACCCGTGAATCATTTATTTGTACCTCTTTTAATTTTGATAGTATGTTCTCGTTCAGTTGCTATAATTTATCAAATTATATATTTTAATCTACGATCTTGTGTGTAGTTATCTTCGATAACAACGTATTCGTAACACGCTTGTCAATCGAACCGATCTGAATATATACGTTAAAACTTCTTACGTCAAAATTTTGGATAATATATGACGCTATGAGTTCAAAAACAAGTCATATTTTTTTTAAACAATATTACTCTTTGTATTAAAACATTGATTATAGTTACTTTTCTGTTTGCATTACAACACACATATTTATAGTGTAAATAATTAAATTGTAAATACATAATAATTTATACAAACTATGTGCATAAATGAAGATAATAATAAAAACTATTAAATGTAATATATTATTATTTATATATATAATAACCATGTAATTATAAAGCACAATGTACCGACTGTCGACAAGATACGTATTAACAGATACAATGCAATTGTGAAACCGCTAATTTTATAAATGAAACATAACATATATAGTATCGCCTAGTTTTAAAGCGAAATTAGAGCAGCGTTCGAATCGCCAGCAGAAAAAGAAGAGTTCGTTTTCGAAGGTACTAGAAAATTGTGGAACATAATCATGGAAAGGCATTGCATATAACTATATAGTTTCGCGACAATCAAGAAGAGGCGCTAGTTGTTCATTTCTGGAGCTTTCTGAAAATCTGCGCCGGCTCAAGAGTGAGCATTCACGAGTCATCACGTATCTTTGCGAGTGTAAAAGAACGAGTTGCGGAAAATAGAACGAAATTACTATTGTTCCGAGGTCAAGCGTTATGGACCAGGTAAACATTCTGATATAGTAGATCACCATTAAGCGGTTCTTGCACTTGAAAGACTGTAATTTTGAAAAACACTGTGTCCTTGCACGATGTCATTAATTGAACACGCTTTGCTCTAAAATTGTTGTGCTCGTCTGATTCGTGCATTCCCGCGACGTTTACCTCGTTCATTCTATCAAACTAATATTAAAGACTTGATTTTTTTCTTTTCTTTTAAGATTTTGTTTCAAAGTCCAAAATCGAAGGTTCTTGACATTTTTTTTCGTAACATGTAACTTTCTTTGTTTCGTCGTTAACATGCGTCGATTTTCTAGAAAGAACATTGTGATCTTGCAAGACTAGTTTTTATTTCATAGTGATTCCGGTTTAATATTATTGATGTTTACAGGTATCTGTGTTGAAAGAAAAAGGTAATTCTGCTTTGCAAGACGGAAGGTTTGAGGAGGCCATCAAACATTATACGGAAGCAATTGCTTTAGACACAAACAACCATGTTCTTTACAGTAATAGATCTGCAGCTTATGCTAAAGCTGGTAAATATGAACAAGCATTGGAAGATGCTGAAAAAACTGTAAGTTTAAAACCTGATTGGGCCAAAGGATATTCGCGTAAAGGCAGTGTGCTTGCTTATCTGGGTAAATTGGATGCCTCTATCAAAGCTTATGAAATTGGCCTACAATTAGATCCCAATAATGCACAGCTTAAAAACAGTTTGGCCGAAGTTAGAGCTCAAAAACAAGCAGCAGCTGCCAATCCTTTCAATGCATCCGATCTCTTTGTGAAACTTGCAAATGATCCTAGAACCAAAGGTTACCTACAAGACCCAGAGTACCTAAAAATTTTACAAGAACTTAGAACCAATCCGCAAGCTCTTGCTATGAAATTACAGGATACAAGAGTACTTACAACTCTTAGCGTATTGTTAGGTATGAATACAGATATGGGTGAACCAATGGAAACAGATCCACCAGAACCACCAAAACCTAAACCAGAACCACCTAAGCCACAAAAGAAAGAAGAGGATAATCTTCCACCCGAGAAGAAAGAAGCATTGAATGAAAAACAGTTGGGTAATGAAGCATACAAAAAGAAAAATTTTGAGGAAGCACTTCAGCATTATAACAAAGCAGTGGAATTAGATCCTACAGAAATCATTTATTTATTGAACATAGCTGCTGTATATTTTGAACAGAAAGAATACGATAAATGTATTGAACAGTGTAATAAAGCTATTGAAGTAGGAAGAGAAAATAGAGCAGATTTTAAATTAATAGCAAAAGCATTTACTAGAATTGGTCATGCATACAAAAAAATGGGCAATTGGAAACAAGCAAAGGTGTATTATGAAAAATCTATGTCAGAGCACAGAACACCAGAAATTAAAACTCTCCTTTCGGACATTGATAAAATTATTAAAGAAGAAGAACGAAAAGCATACATTGATCCGGTAAAAGCAGAAGAGGAGAAAGAACTTGGAAATCAGAAATACAAAGACGGAGATTATCCAGCGGCTATTAAGCATTATACGGAAGCCGTTAAAAGAAATCCTGATGATCCGAAATATTATAGCAACAGAGCTGCTTGTTATACCAAATTAGCCGCATTTGATCTCGGATTAAAAGATTGTGAAAAATGTGTTGAAATCGATCCGAAGTTCATTAAAGGCTGGATAAGGAAAGGAAAGATCTTGCAAGGCATGCAGCAACAGGGCAAAGCACTTACTGCTTACCAGAAAGCATTAGAATTGGATCCCTCAAACAGCGAGGCGTTAGAAGGATATCGTTCGTGTGCTGTTTCCGTTAGTTCGAATCCTGAGGAAGTAAGAAAGAGAGCAATGGCAGATCCAGAAGTTCAAAGTATATTACGAGATCCTGCTATGAGACTTATCTTAGAACAAATGCAAAGTGACCCTAGAGCCTTACAAGAGTAAGTATTTTTTTTCTTTTTTATATATATAAAATAAAATCTGGTACATTGTGATAAAATGTTGATTTTTCAATTTACAGCCACTTAAAGAACCCGGATATAGCTGCCAAGTTGCAAAAACTATTGGAATCAGGACTCATAGCTATTCATTGAAAACAAAAATATCTGTATTTGTGCATAGCTCTGTGCATGACTTTATTGTCACCAAGTTCCTTTGGTATTAAAGAAACAGTACTGTTCATTATATTTTTATGTATTAGAGATATGTTCTTTAACCGTGCAGGTCGATTAATGGCGTATTTGTTCGACATCTGTATTCGAAAAAGCCGTTTAAAGTATGTTTGGTTGTACACAAGATATTTTTATGCGATGCGGTGGCCTTTTTGGTCATAGACCATTTTTGCATTGTAAGTCCTGTTACGGTAGCTGTGTATGTTTTAATATACCTCGTGGAGTATAACTCTATAAGGGAAAAAACTACTACATAATTACAAGCTTTTGCATAATTTTTACATAACACTTCCAATTGTAAATCATCAATATCATCAACATCAATCATGCAATGATTCACCTTACATTTGTTATGTGGTCTAGAGTAAAGAAATTATCTTAAAGCAGATTGTTCTCGATAAATGTTTCCATGCATTAAACGAACGTGTACCTAGTTTTATTTTATAAGTGATACAATTTTGATTTAAAGTACTAGTACTGTAATAACGAAGAAAAATAACAATAGCTAGTAATTACTATGTAATTATGATAGTTGTATGATTTATTTGAGATCAAATTTGGTTTGGTACAAGGATATGGTAAAGGATGCGTGAACATAGAACATTCTTGAATAATTGCTCTGATATAGTGTAAGAACTTTTGTTTATTGAAGTTTTAGCAGTTATACATTTATGTTCACAATTTATAAGCATTAGCATAATACTGCATAACATATCCGTTACTTTTTTCTCCTTTTAATTCTTCTGTTTTAAAGATGGTAGTTATCAATAATTAACTTCATGCTGGAAACATCTTAAATAACGATACGACAAGAAGAAGGATAATGGCAAACCAAATAAATACATCGAAAGCATACAAAATTATTTGGTGTTTGCTGTTTTTATTCCCTCTGAATAAAACATTTTAATTGTGTATAGTTTCTCATACATTGGTTACGTGGTGTATTTGTTATACATATATCCTATATACATGTATACAGATTGATTGCAGCGCAACCTATCATATGTATAAAACTAAACGTGCATGTATGTATGAGTAACAGAATATAGTATGACGCATGAGCACATCGCACACAGTAGTCTAGTTCTGTCAGATATTGTAGATAGCGCTGCAGTCAACGTACTAACACTTAACACGACAGATTGTTAGCTCCGATGTGAGTTTATTTAAAAATTCGAGACGAGAAATTAAACGCGTAATCATCGTCGTCCATACAAGTGGAATTTTCGTGATAAAGGAGTGAGAAGAAGATCGAGCGAAGGACAGGGCACTCGAAAGTCAGGATACGAACCTGATCCATCTTAAGCGCGGTGGGCCGCCGCGCTGGTGGGCCTAGCAGACGACATGTTGGCTGCAGGGAGCACCTCGTCTCGGATGTTTTGGCCGCGAATTTCCTCGGGGATTCTTGAGTGAGGAAAGTGAGCGAACGCGGTGAAAGCGAGGTGGTGAGAGAGTAAAATTACTCGAGGGTGTGTGCGAGAGAGGGCACGCGGTTGGGTTCCCCGAGTGGTGGTTGTGCCGTGGTCGTCGACGAGAAGCCTGCGGAGAGGGGTAGAGACTAGTGAGCGGCGGGGAGGGGGAACCCGGACGAGCCCTCGAAAAATTGAGGAGTCAAGGAACGAAAATTAGAGAAAGAAGAAAAAGATACGGACGGATCCGTGCTGCGTACGGGCTTTTCTTCGTGGGTGAAACTTCAGTAACGAGGAGATCGTTGGAAGAAAATTGGAAAAAAAGCATAGAAGTGAGAGCATAGAAAAAGCGAAGAAACTTGGTCGGTCGCATACATTATCTTCCTTATCTACAGGAGCTGTCGATTCGCGACTTTCTTCAATTTACTCGAATAACGAGCTAAGCAGCGCACCGGAGCCGATCTATTTTAACTTCTCGTTGTTCTGTCCGAAGGGTAGGGGCCTGCGAGGCGAGGCGAGGTCGAGCTGTCGTGTACACGCGTCCGAGTCCCTTCCTCTTGAAACGATTTCGCGTGTGTCTCGTGTTCGCGGGCCATCACAGGAGGCGCATCGGACAGTGCACGTCAACCTATTATCCCAGTCCCGATCTCGCTCCCACTCTCGAATGCTCGTCGTGCCTCGTGCGTACTCCCTCTATCGCAACCTGCCGCGAGACACTCGCGGCCGGTTTCGCCAGTGTTAAACGGAAGATTCGGAAGTGGTTCGGTCGTCTTTTATATTATCGGTATTTTCAGTTCGCGTACCACCGTTTTAGTTGTGCTCAAGCTCGCTATACAACTCGCCCACTTTCTTCCTAGTGGATCAATTTGTTATCGGGCCAGGTGTCACGACCCGAGGAACGTCGCCTCGACACGACTGATCGCCCTCCTACGACTAACGACACATTCGGCGTCCACACAGAGCAGCATTATTCTGTATCATCGTCGTCGTCGTCGTATTTTCTTAAATACATACAGCACCGTTCGAGTGATCCATCGTGTTGGACCACCAGCAGCACTGTCGATCGTGTGTAGCTATGGTTTCGCGGGCAGTGCAAGATAGTGAAAAAGAAGCCGTGAAGTGAACGTGTTTTGTGTATAATATAATATTTAATCGAAAATCAAGATACGCGTAGTTGGTGTTCGAAACGAAGAGATAAAGTAAACTCGCGACGGGCAGAATAAGGAGACGGAGGAGGAGGAGTACAAAGGGAGGAAGAGAAAAAAAAAGATAAAAGAGAGAAGGTCGGGACGAGAGAGCGATCCGCGTAACCGATAGTGGGTGGAAAAGAGAGAGTTCGATAGAAGGACGAAGCTTTGGTTGTAAGCGCGACGGTGATAGATAAGTATCGAGTGACAGACACGGCCGGAACGAAGGAACGAACTCGTAGATAGAAAATACCGTGGAAAAGGGAGTGAATCTCCGCGTATCGCGGAAGAGAGGTTGGTACTTATCGAACGTCAGATTCACGCGAGATAAACAACACGCGTCGCCGGTAGTGCTCGTACCACGAGCTGTACGCTCGGGGAGTAGTGGTGATATTTCTCTGAACCAAGAACAACAGAGAACAACAGAAGTGGAAGGGAAGAGCGAAGAGGGTGAGCCGCGCGTGTCTCTCTCGTGGTGTGTCATGGGGTGTTTCGGCAGCCAGAGCAGTAAGGCCAGCCAGGATGACAGCAAGAACCAGAAGAGGCGCTCGGATGCCATCACCAGGCAATTGCAAAAGGATAAGCAAGTTTACCGAGCTACTCACAGGCTCTTATTACTCGGTAAGCGTTAGGTTAAACCTACATCGTTAATCTTCTACTGATATACACTTACCTTTATGTATCAGCCAATAATCCCCTTTCGTTTCGTCTTATGCTTCGTTAAATTTATCCACCTGTCCTCTCCTCGGTCTGTGTACACGTATACACGTGTATTCAGGGACGGTGAAAATATTCTCATCTAGAGTGTATACCAGTTGAATCGACTTCGATCTCCAATTTTGGGGAAAAACCGTCCGGCCAGAGGACAGGCTGAACATTATCGCGATGTTCAGCAGCGCGTAATTCAATTTTATCGATTATCGTATGAGCCGGCACCCACGAATATCCAGCGGGCCTCTCGTGTTGTACCCTTTTCGTTCGCTCATCGTCTCCTTCTCCCAACAGCCTTTTTCGCACAGCGGCCAACGTGGGTGAGCGCGTGCGCGCGTGCGCCCAACTCAAACACACTCTCAACACGTACGCACGCACGCACACCCTCCACTTATCACGATGCTTAACCCAACACCTAGCCATTACCTTCCTATTCTTCGTTTATGTAGGTCGTCGTTCTAATTCGACGCGAATGTGTGTTGCCTTGCGTATAGACCACTCTGTAGCTGTAGACTACGAAGCAACAGCTGTTACTTTTCTATTGTCTCTTCGCTCTGTGCAATTACGATTCTTCGAAAATAAATGAACATTAACGATATTTCGTTTAAGCGTTCGGTGAAAGAAAAACGATAAGCAAAAACCTATAACTGTTTGTTGGTTTACCACTTATGAACGAAACGAATGATATTAATCTTCTTTTCCTTAAAAATTATACATGTATGATTATTTTTCTATATTACAGGAGCAGGAGAATCCGGGAAAAGCACGATCGTCAAACAGATGAGGATATTGCACGTGAACGGTTTCAGTGAAGCGTAAGTTTCATTATTTTAACGTAGTATAGTTTTAAGGCTGGCTCCAATAATTCGATATTGTTCACGCGACACGACAAACACCAGCTGTACATACGTAACCTCGAGTCCTTTTCTTTTTTAATTTGGTCCATCGCGTGATTGCAATATCAACGCGCGGTCAAAACGAAATCGATCCCGTTTTTTCTTCCCTTGTTTTTCATATTTTTCTATTCTCGACAATCATTCCGTTTCGGTTCCGTTTGCATTCGACGCTACACATTGCCTTCGCTTTCGTTACCTTTTCCTTTCCTTTCCTTTCCTTTTCTCGTACCGACCGAGCTATTTTCCTCGTCCAGCTGTCCGTTGGAACCTGGCGAACCAAAAATATAACCGCGAAACGATACACGATAGGTAGGAGAGAGACAGAGGATGACAGACACACATGTGTCGTTATCGTAAAAAAGAACGACACGGTAGACGTATACGTGGAAAATCAGGAGCAACTAGATAGGATGAAAACGACGTGCAAACAGACGGCACGGCCACGGTTCGCGCCTCTGTCGTAAATTCTGTCTGCCTCCGGTGCTGATAACGGGGACCCACGAAGAACACCTTATTATTATTACGTTTCGCGTTCATTTCTTCTCCATTCCGTCTCCGCTTCTTTTCTTTCCTTGATATTAATCTATTAATTCTGGGTCGATCGTACACCCTGAATATCCAATGAAATGTCACACCTTTGGAAATGAAAGGTTACGATCGCCCTTTGGTCCCATCCCTGGCGAAGTTTTCGCGTAGCGAACGGCGGGAAATTCGTACGTTTGAATTTCACAAACTATTTTTTGTTAGTGGCGCGAATTCTGAGAAGCGTTACGTGTTCGATGCAGATCTCTTGCCTGTTTACTATGGAAACATACCGTAGAACATCGGTATTTTTAGTTCTTTCTTTTCTTTCAACTCTCTCCCTCCATCTTTTTACCGTTTTGCAGGCTAACCGCGTATCGTTCAATTTCACCTTCGATTGCCACCCCCCTCCCACCTCTTCGTTCTCCACAACAGGCGGGTAAAATATAAACCAGCCAATCCGAAAATAACTCGGTTGTCGCATCTTGCTCGCGATCTATTCGTAATTTGCTCGTAAACGCATCGCCCCGACCCGGTACGATCGTAGATCTTAAATTGACTCGCGTCTCGAACAATTGGGCAAATCATATTTTTAGATTATTCTTCGTGAAAGTAACGTTATCGCACGGCTCGGAGACGAAACCTTTAAAATACGCCTTAGCAAGCGATAGCATCGTTTCTGTTGGCCGGTCATGCGATTATTTTTAGCATTCTTGTATTTGAATATCGCGTGTGGCACAACTTTTCCTGAAAATACCTCTAAAGAGCTACGGTAGGGGGTCCGTGTGTTGATTCGTGGTCACGCACGCCGTATTCAACGACAATCACCACCAATGTCAAAGAAAAAGGGAAAACGTATTTTAAAAAAGGGAGCGTGCTTTTGATAGAAAGACAAATTACCGAAGTTACGTATACCGCGCGAAAGAGACGGTCGTGTCCTGTCGCACGCGTTGTCGTTTCGTCTGTAAGAGAAACCTGACCGGAATAACGGAGCAATGAAAAGAACAAAAAAAAAGAAATAATAAAAAGAAAATGTGAACCTGTATTAGATCGCGACTGTCGTCATTCTCCATCGTTAACTGTACGTAAACATGTCGCAGTTCGCTAGAGGCTGCTCCAAGTGACGACAGGAGCCTGGCACAGGTGTCACCGTGATACAATACGAGGACCACGCACGAAACACGATTCGGTCCCTTCGTTTGTCTTAACCCTCCAACACTGGGTCTATTTAAACCAGACGTATTCAAGGGAGCCGCGGTCTTCCATTAATTCCATGTCCCTCCCTTAAATAGGTTATGACGGACGAAAATAGACCCTGTATTCTGAGCTCGAGGATTAACCCTTCAGGCCCGACATCGGTAGACCATACATTTCGGTGCAACGTAGGCTTCCTTTGGCTAAGAGTACTCTTTTGCACATAGATCCGACTTTTTCTATTCGACTCTGTCGCGCGTTTACGTTTGATGAATGAAAGAAGCGCCTGAAGTGCCCCATCCGTGGACGGCACTGTATTGGTCTGTATTAGCCAGTTGGGACCATCTATCTGCGAAAGAGGACCACTAGAGGATCAAAGATGATGTAATTTTTTGGATATCGTTCAAAGACGGAAGCAAAAACGAGAATGAACGAGACAGGGAATCTCTCTCTGTCTCTGTCTGCTCATACCGAAGCTTTATTTTTAATTAATGATGATAAACTTGAATAGATTGTGTACGGTCATCAGTTCGTTTTTACTTCGAAACACCCGGGGAAGGGAGAATGATTCTCGAACGTATGGATTGTCTTTAAAAATGCTCATTGATCATTCATGATTCAAAACACGATCAAGATTGTTTTGAAAATCGATCATGATCGTATTCAACAAACAATTATTCGTGATCAGTTTTATGATCTATATTTCGACGCCTTCGTATTGTATTGTTTGATTATGTTTTCACGAATAAAACCAGACCAGTGATATCATCTATTATTTGCACAAACTTTAAACTGACAATGCTGTAGTTTTTTTAAAATATCGTTTTTTTAAGATCAGATGTTTGTTGCTTTTGAAAGAAAGCCAATAATTTTGATCATTTGTTAGCGTTTACTTTTTGGAAGGCAATGATAAAAAATGTTGGATATATTAAGATTATATTGTAGATTTTCGATGCAGGTTTTTCGTAGATTGAAAAATAGGTACTCAACAATCGGGATTTGAACCATGATTTTAGTCTTCTATCCTAATCCATTGCGCCACCATCATCACTCCTCACTGTGATCCCGATCCTACATGTCCCATTTTTCATCGAATTAACGTGGTATATAGGTTAATTGTACCTTTACATAGGTCAGACTGTAACCACCGCACATTTTGTCCATTTGAAACTGACAATCGTGTTACGTAGTATGGTTCAAAGGTTCCTGACCTAATCTATCTTTCGGTACCGCGTGCGTTTATATTTCAGTATATCTTCATTAACGTTTCCATTCCCTCACACTTGCTTGAAAGGTTGGAAACTTTTGGATACGAACGACGCACCACATGTGTCTTGTATAGAAATTAAAGTGACTATCCTTAGATGAAATGATAGAAAATAGTGCGTGAAAGTTTAGATTGACTAGTTTTCACATAATAAATAAAAAGAAAGTTCTGATTATTGTATCGAATGGATTATACACGATCGAATCTTCGATTTTTCATACTCTATCGAGCGTTCACTTATAAACTAGTGTTTCACTGATGTTATCGAACGATGAAATAAACTGTTTGTTTTTTACATTTTCTGTGCAGGGAAAAGCGGCAAAAAATCGAGGACATTAAGAAGAATATCAGAGACGCGATACTGGTAAGAATTTCTTTCAGATATATTTATTTATACGATTCGTTTATAAATTCGACGAATGTAAGGAATTACTCAGAAACTTTCATTTATTTATTGGGGAAGGCGGCGCAGTATTATTTCTCTAACAAGTGGAACTACCCAAGTGTTACACTCACTTATTAATGAAACTTTGCCGTTTTGTGGGCAGACGACTAATTGTTTAAAAGATATTAATAATTAAAGTTAGTTACTACTTACATTGAGAAGCATGACAGACTCACACATACAACTCGCAATCTATAGATCCACGGTTCAAATCCTTGATTCCCAACATTTTTTTTTTTTTTTTTTTTAATAATAATTTGTCTCTTTTTGAATAACTATTACATAAAAATTATCATAAAAAAAAAAATTTTTTTTGGGAACTAAGGATTCGAACCGAGGACCTTCAAATTGCAAGTCACGGATCTGCTCCGTGGTTAAACACATGACTCGTAATCTAAAGGTCCTCGGTTCAAATCCTGGGTTCCCGTTTTTTTTTTTTTTATAATGATAATTTTTATGTAATAGTTATTCAAAAAGAGACTAATTATCATTAAAAAAAAAAATATTGGGAACCAAGGATTTGAACCATGGATCTCTAGATTGCGAGTTGTATTTGTGAGTCTGTCATACTTCTCAATCTAAGTAGTAACTAACTGTAATTGTTAATATCTTTTAAACAATTAGCCGTCTGCCCCCAAAAGGGGGTATAGTCGTGTTCAGCTCGACGAGCCCTACAAGCTGGCAAAGTTTCATTAATAAGTGAGTGTAACACTTGGGTAATTCTCCTTGTAAAACTAAATGGTATAGTAGCCTTAGAAATATACCACGGAGAGCATTACTGTACAAGGGATGAACCTATTCCAATTTCTCCATTCATCGTTTCCGTGTTGATACGTACAAATTTGTACCGTGAGAGGCGTGCAAACGTTCGTTTTGACTAGTTCTCGTCATTAACGTTACGTGATACGCCCGTAAATTCGCGACAGGAACACAGCCAGATACACAGGGTATTGTCATCAATTTGTCGTTCGAGGCCGTGTTTGGATACGCGTGTCGTACGTAACCTTGCAATCGCTTCCGTATGTCGGGTGAACGTAATAGACAAGCTCTTCCCCGCGGTATTTAAGGATTACCAATTACGTTATCAACGTACGAAACGAATTCACGCCAACGATGATGCGTTAGAGTATTTGAATCGTTTCCTTCGAAAATCTTTATCCAGAGTCATAAATCATCGACTGGTTTCTGAAAAATCCTAACGAATCATCGTTCCAAAAGTTTCTGCGCTATTCATTCTAGTGCATTAAGTTGCATTCATGATAATTGCACGAGGATGGAAATCCAACTGTACACACGGAGAAAGTAAATATGCTTTAACGGATGTATTCATTTTTCAGACGATCACCAGCGCGATGGGCACGTTAACGCCACCCGTCGCTTTGGAGGATCCAGCGAATCAGAGTAAAGTCGATTATATCCTGGACGTCTCGTCCTCACCGGACTTCGATTATCCCCCGGTGAGTCAGTCGAGTTACTTTTGTTTCATCTATTTACTTCGTCTTCTAAAACCTAATACCGTGAAAAACATGTTCGTTACGTTCCCGTGTCCTGTTCTCGATGAAAGCATTCGCGAATAGGAAACTTTATGGACGCAACGTGAATGCGATTTATCGTATTTGCATGAAAGCCGGTTACACCGTGACCGTAATTTTAATGGAGCCTGCAGAAACGAACGCGATCGTCTTTCATCGTCTTCTCTAGGGCGACGAGTGGAATTCGTATTTTTCCGATATCAGGGGAGACTTGTTACTTTACGTTAAATTTTCCCAATCACCATCGACTCCACGCGACGATCAACGCGTTAACAAGTGTCCCCAGATTTCTAAGCGATATTGTACGCGTATTTGAAGGGACCGAGACTAATCATTTTGTTCGTGTGAGAGCCACTGTGTGGTATGATCAGTGTTTACAATGTTTACACAGCCATCGCACATGTTGGTAGGCTATATTGTGTCCTGGCTATGATGTGCTGCGCCATTCCTAGCCTCGTACACACATGTACGTACGTGCACGAGTTTACTTTAATCGTATTGTTGCACAGAGAGAAACTGGTACAGTGGAAAATACGGCCGTGTATCATTTCAGTTGATCTGCGAATGTTCCGCGACATGGATCATTCAAACATGTCACGGTGAAAGTATTCGAGTCGTAAGATTCTGTAAATCCCTGGTGATTTTGCAGAATCATCTGGTCGGGTTGGAAAAAAACACGAGAAACTGGAGATCCGACTCGTGATTGCCATTTTATCGGTTGATCATGGGTCTGGATTAAACCACTGCTCGTATTTAACTAAACTTTATGATTAAACGTTTAAATTTTCTTGAATTTGGCAATGGTACAAAACTTTGTAATCTTAAGAAACATTTTCTTCGTATTTTCGAGTTAATCGTCGATTTAAGAAAAATGAGAAGAAATTTTGGAATGACTCGATAATTAGAAGAAATATAAGAGGGTGCAGCACTAAGATATTACGACACACACGTGCGCGCTCGATTCACATTATTTAACCCGTTCGAGTGATTTTGTATTCAGGGCAACGATCCAGCCACACCTCTTTGGAAACGTGCACTGGAAATCAGTAGCATGATTTATCCGTTATAGATCTACTGATTTGTTGTCTATCGGCTTGCTTTCTCTAATTTACTCAATTCTCAAATATAAAAGTTGAATCGGAGTCATCAAAATTTGATAAATAATTCATTTATTATTTATGCCGATGCTTTCTATTAACGTATAACGCATAACGTGTGTCATCAATTAATTGGATCGATCTTAATTTACTTAAACTGATATGATAGTTAATTAAAATGAAGAAAAGAGAATGGAGGGTCAACGAAGTATTGAGATTTTCATTTGCCAGGCAGTCGAGTGGATTACAGAAATCTTCTGTCAGTTTGAGGAAAATAATGATTTTTCCTGTGCCAGAAAGATCAGCCGAGAGTTTCGGGATCCGTGAACGAAACGCTTGGAAGTAACGAAACGATGCGGCGCGTCTCGAAATAAAGTCGTCGCGACAAAATAATCCGCGTGTTTTGCGTCATTCACTGGCAGTTGGCGGGTACGTGCGTACGTAGATACGCGGCTGTGTACAGTACCTTCGCGTCTGGCTTTTGTGTACGTGAAATCTATTGTGGCCTCTTGTTTCCAACACGTGATCCTGTACCATGACCATCGAGAACGATGCACCTAAATTAATCGAATTAAATCGCTTGTCCTAACCGGTTGGCTCATCAAACTACCACGTGTCGTTTGTGGCCGTTTACGTTTAAGATGTTTAGGGACAGAATGTCTGTCGACAGGTTGAATCTTCACTGTGGTAGCAGCATTTAGTGAAAGATTTCACTTTGAATTCGAATTCCGCCCAGGCAACGTTCATTCTGCCAAAATACACGTTAGTCAGGGGAATTATTTAACGCCAGATCACAACAGGAAGTCGCCACGCCAGTAACGTGTCTACCTTCTTTTATTCCTCTTCAGTTTTGTTTCACCAGGTTCGACGGTCCATCACCGATTTGTCACTGTCTTTCGGCTCTTTACATATCCTGAGAGGCTCGTTGCGAACCGCGGACACGGAAGATTATTTCGAGCGGACCTGACGCTGAATTTGACCGTGTAGTACATACACGAATGCCACGAGGCGTTCATATTTTACGAGGTATAATAAAATAAACTGCGAAACAGTTGTTGTGAATTTTAGTAAGCATCGAAGCATTATTATTTACGACATTTGCAGCGAGTCTTTTACGATTTACTTTGGTCTATCGCCAATGTGCCTCTTATATGATAATAGAAAATGAAAAGTGTGGTAAGACCTGGTGAAACTCGAATTATTTCAAATATATATATATATTTATAATCGAAATTAAGCGATTGAAGCTTGGATGCCCGACTTTCAGACTGCTTTGTTTAAGTTTCAGGCGATTGACCGAACAGCTTATCACGTGACATCCTAAATTAATACAAAACGTGGCCATCTACAAAGCAGGCATTATAGAAGAGTAAGAGGTTATTTATATTCGCGTTTATTACAGTACAAGAAAGGCGAATATCTCGTTATTTGATAATAATAGTCTCTTCTGCCACGTGATAAGCTGTTCGGTCAGTCACCTGGGATTTAACCCTTTTGGTACCGAGACTCGGGTGTATTTTGGAGGAAGCATGATAAGTATCCAAAGATACATAGACGATCGAAAAAGTGGAAGGTTGAAAGTTAGGTCGCAGCGATGTCTAAGTTTCGAAAGTTGGTTCAATTTGCTTTGAGATCGGAAGCGCTTGGGAACTGTCCCATCGCAAAACAAAAATCTCTCTCACCTCGAGGAGGAAGTTTCGAAAGGGTTTCTCGATGGGGCGCGCATTAACTCTACCAACAACGATGTAGTTAATTTTCCCAGCAAGTTGCTTGCCAATGTCCATCCTCTACTTACTCTGCAAATCAGATTTCGCTAACTCTATTGTCGTTGGTTACCGATTTCTCTTTCTTGTTCAGAAAATCCTTCGGTCACATCCAGGTACTGAAAACAACGGTGTTTGAACAAGAAATAAGGTCATCGATGCGACTGATCCTTGAAATATAATTTTGAGCGATGTACCATTTTGTACACTACGATTTCTGATATATTTCAATAAACGTCACGAAACATAAACATTGGTAGGCCAATAACAAGACGTTTTACGCGAACCTCGGATACATGCAAAAATGTCGTCTCGTTGGTCGAAACTATGACGTGGAACGCTTCGTTGCCACGATTAGTACGGTTTCGAGCCAAATTCTTCGTTTCGTCACGGGCGTAGATTTTTTTAGATAATTAATGAGACATACGATGGCCGCCAAACCGTGAACTTATTTGTAAATCAGCCACGAATATCACGGAAGGCAATCATTTATTTTCGAACGTCATTTCTCGTCTTCGTTTCCTCGAACGGGAATTTATTCTGGTTCGAGAGGCTAGAAATATTATTCACGAATCGTGCCATTTTTACTAATCGTTTTTCTTTCTTTTTTTTCCAGGAATTCTATGAAATCGTGGAAACGTTATGGAAGGATCGGGGCGTGCAACAAAGCTTCGAGAGGAGTAACGAGTACCAGCTGATCGACTGCGCCAAATAGTAAGTGCCATTTTTGTTACCCTCCCGCAACGGGAGGTCAGCTGTGTGTCCATCGACACCGATAATAGACCGGCAACTTGGAAAATTATTATAACGTCAGTCCACGCAGCCGGCCGAGCGTCTTAATATAAAGTAGTGGAACAGCCGTTGACGCGTGTCGTTGATAAAAATAAGAGGGTAAAGTTATTACCCACCTTAGTCGCGTTTGATGCTGTTCTGCACTGCACTGTGTGTTCGAGCTGCGAGAGCATGGCTATTCTAATCTGCTCTTCCTTTCGTTCCCCTCCTATCGTATCATCTGTGATATCGTGATCGTGATAAGAAACACCGCTGATACCATTTTATGCAGATGATGATAATGGTACCAGGAATAGCTGGATTTACCTTGATTCTTTGTCCGTTTATGGTGGCTCGGCTCATACACGTGTCTGATTTGGTAAATAAAAGATGCGGCTAAATTTCATAACCGTTCTCATGACCGCGATACATATGGTGTATCCGTGTATATTCATAGGCCTATGACACCGATTTAATGCCAATGAAGACAATGCCTTAACGAGGTAATCGCTTTAATAGCGGCCACTCGTTTATCCGGGGGTTCTCAATCAATTGGCCGAACCTCCAACTTTTTCACGCTGTCTACCTCTAGCACGGAAATTTTTGTATTTATTTCAATTTACAATCTTCTTTATACATGGTAATTAATCACAAAGCGTTCTATTAAAAAGAAACATCATCGAGAAAATAAGCTTTGATGGTTCGTCTTTTTGTCGGAAGTGAATTTTACGGATTGGTAAAGTTCCTTGCACGAACGGTTTCGCCATAATTTCTATGAAACTGAAAACGCAGAAGCTCGAAAATCGTGCAACGAGTTTGTTTGTTGGATGTTATTTTCGCATGGGGCCCCCTTTTAACGGTGAAACTCCGGAACATCGTTCGACCCGATAAATTTATATAAATGAGCGAAAAACTGGCCGTCCCGGTCCAGCAGGTCACTTTAAACGTATCCCTTTGAAAATTACATAGGCGAGGCACAGGTTGTTGCACTAGATCGTGGCCAAACGGGCGTGAATCTCGAGTGTAAACGCGAAACTTGGTCGTTGAAAGCTAACAAACCGGAACCTTGTCGCTTCGTTCATCGTTTATCAATTCGTCGAACGCATTAATTAAACAGAAATTGATTTTAACTACAATCTTATTGAATTTCTAATACGACAATTTTCAATCCAAAGCAAATTGCTCGCTTAATTTTCTAAATTAAAAACGGGGTGATAGTTTTTAATTTTAAACGAAATTTGTTAGAAACTAACAATACAATTACAATGGAGCTCTTCTTCGATCAGTGCCAAACTATTTCTCATTTCACGACAGCATCAAGATCACGGCGATAGTTATCGCGGTTAAAAATACCCAACAGTCGGTTACTGCACTTCGCCAACGTTTGCGTGAATTTTCAAGTATTTTTTTTCTTTTTCCACTTCTTCTGGTTCTCTTGTGAAGCTAAAAAGCCTTTCGATAAAAATAGTGCACAGTATTTTTAGGGAACCCCGTTGAAGATATAACGAAGGCAAACCGCGTAGATCTGTCCATTAACTATCCCCATATAGATAAATCCTTTCGAGAAGACGTTGACGATAAAACGAAAGGAACGTGGACCAATTAATTTTGATTCAAATTCGATTATTTAGAAATAAAAAAGAAAAAAAAAATTGAGAGTGGGGAAAATAAGCATTGTACATGGGGGAGAATCGAGTAACGTGCCAATTACACGATGGAATACCTTCGGCACACCTTAAAAAAGGAAACACGTGTCGCTATATATAAACGACCGGTCTATGTGCTGGGATCACTGATGCTGTCACACATAGTTCATGAATGCTTAGGTCGATAACAATCTTCTTCCGTAGGCATCGTCGCGCGTTGGAATAAAAACGAGCATTCTTTTTATCCTCATTAATAACTTTCGATGCAAGCCTAAAAATATATCATCCGAGAAATCAATATTTACAAGTCTTTGACATTTGGATGTAACGGGAACGCGTCGATGACTTGATTTTCGGTTGATCAGTTGTCTGCGAGAATAGGTGAGGTAATTGAGAATCGTGTTAGGATAGAAATCATCGACGTTCTTACCGGTTTTTTTTTTTTTTTTTTTTTTTTTTTTATTTTTTGACCGCGTTAAAATAGAAGTTGTCAATTTACCTGTCGAATCGATGGTATTGTCGCTCATTGGAAGAGGTGCATCATCGGGTATCGCGTATCGTTCGAAATAACGTTGTTACAGTTGACCTCAAGGTCGGCAGTGTTACATGCCGCGATAACGAGAAAATCGTTCTGCTGTAGCCAGTGGGTCACGACCTCCTTCCTCTTTCAATTCTCCGGAGGTCGATAACCTCATTTCTGTGCGAGCGCGCCAATTTCATGACCTACCTTTCTCGCGAGCCTACACCGTCCGTACACGCGTATCCCCCGCGTCTTCCCTATCGAACCATTTTACCGAAAACCAATTTCCTTCGATTTGTGGTCTGTCAAATTTACTCGAGGAGCCAATTTCAGGTTACTCACACCTGCTCTATTCTTGCGGCTACCCAACGAACCTTAACCCTTTGAGGTCTCTACGCATAAATAGTTTGGTGAAACAGCGGGTATACGTATAATATTAAAACCTGATTTGAGATTTCCATATTTAATAAGGTATTTGGAGATAAAAATTATAGGGTCGGTGGATAATTGTAGGGGTGAATAATGATAGCAGTGTAGTAGGAGAGCTTCGACTTTCTACCCTTCCTACGTTTGCACTAAAATAAAATTATTAATGGAATAAATCACTCGAAAGCTGTAACGTATAGGGTGCTAAATACCCGACCCAGCAATCCTAGCGTTTGTCAGTAAATATATTACCACCGTCAACCGACTGTGTGGAAGGTTGCATGGTGGTGTCAAAGCAAAGACCCCACCCCTTGTAGGCTCGTACACGTATACACCTGCATCGTATATCGTTACACCACCGTTCAAAAGTATTTGCCCCTTTATACATTTTCGAGGTATCAAACCCTGTGATAAATCTTGTGAAAATACAACCTCTCCGTATAATTCGAATGAAAACCAAGGAGATTTCTTTGAGAATGCTTTTGAGCGATAGCGTATGAACGTGCAACTAAGTAGTTTGTGCTTGCACGTACGATTGATGGGGAGCAGCGGTGGCAGTGACCCATGACCCGGATTGGAAACTGGGTGCCAGAGAGGCATACCCGGCGAGGCCGAGAGGGCGAGAGTTGGGGTTAGGATAGGACACCACCGAGGATCGATTTTCCCTCTTCGTGCGCTCTATCCACCCTAGACACCACAACCAGAGGGGGGTCTTTCGAGAGAAAGGGGGGTGGAATGAGGGATGATGGCAGGGAGTGAAGCAAAGGATGAGAGAGAGAGAGAGAAGGTACGGGAATAGGGGAGAGAATTCTCTCCTTTCTATGCCCTCAACGTTCTACCCTTTTTCTCAGCAGCCACTTCCGCTCTCCATCGTCTACCTTATCGCACCACTTTCGATAGCATACTTCCGTTTCCAGATATCCTGCAACCTTCTTTCTACAATAAGGATACGTCAATCCTACAACCTATAGGGCCATTCAAACGGGCTGGTCTAATCTATAAAAATTCAACGCTCGCGTATACCCGTTGAATAATGATCATTAACGCGATGATATTTTATCTAATTATCCCTTTCCTTCTTTGTTTCAGTTTTCTAGATAAGGTAGCCATTGTTAAGCAAGCGGATTACACCCCCACAGAACAGGTAATTGTTAAATTATAAAATTTTCATCAATGGATGTCTCTCTTTTTTCTATTCGTTTATTTATTCCAATTTGTTACAGGACATTCTCAGGTGTCGAGTGCTCACGTCCGGTATCTTCGAGACACGGTTTCAAGTCGACAAAGTAAACTTTCAGTAAGTCCCGTCATCATCCGATAGCTTCTCGCTTTTGCTCCAGTGTCGCGTAACTATATATAGACGAACGTATTACAGTAACATCGGCCGACGGTAAATATAACGCGAAGCACCGACTCGCATCTCTCATCCAGGCCTCTCTCTGCTGTATATTACACCTACATATAGACCTGTGCACCGTGTGTACGTGCTGCGAAATCCGTTAACCGAGTTAACGCCTCCGCAACTTTTTTATAATATGTTTCCACCCTTTATTTCGCGTTACGCTACGTCGGGGTCGGTCGGGATCCTCAGTCGTTTCCGTATTTTTAGTCTTAACACTTATTTAATGATTTTCTTCGAAATACATCATATCCAATGTAACTTAAGTCACTAATCATTTAGATTTCTAGATAACCGTCACGTAACAATGCATGAAATAATAATCGTAAAAAATAATCGATCGTTTTTGCAGCATGTTCGACGTCGGTGGTCAACGAGACGAAAGGAGAAAGTGGATACAGTGTTTTAACGATGTGACGGCGATTATATTTGTAACAGCGTGTAGTAGTTACAACATGGTGCTCAGGGAGGACCCGACGAAATTGAGACTCCGAGAGAGTCTGGATCTGTTCAAAAGCATCTGGAACAATCGGTACGGATCATCGTCTTGTGCTATGTCCATGCGGATACTAGGAGGATCGATTAAATGTAAACGAGACTGTTCACCGGAATCTTCGTTTTCAACAAATTATTGGTCCATTATCCATACTTGGGTGGCGCGTGAATGATCCACAATAGTCCGTCACCCGTTCTACGAGAAACGACCTTATTCAATTATAAATGATCTTATTAGGTTTAACGACAGGAAATAAGATTACTAGCTGGTGAGAGTTTCGGTGAATTTATTGTGGCAATCAAAGTATTAACCCCTGCCGAGTTAAACGTCGCCGCAAACCGATACCGGGTCACTATAAACTCTAAACTGAATTATTTGTTTATTTACAAAACCCTTCCTCCTTCCATCATTTGTATTTCTTGATCGGTCTATAGTATAAATGTATCAGTGTTCTGGAAAGTCTCAATTTACCGTTGATCCATCCTCATAGTATTCGCTTACGAATCGACAGAGAAATCGGTATACATTACCGTTGTTTCCTTTTAGGTGGCTCCGCACAATTTCCGTAATCTTATTTTTAAACAAACAGGATCTATTGGCGGAAAAGATAAAAGCCGGCAAGCACAAATTAGAGGACTATTTTCCAGATTTCGAGCGGTACAAGACACCGGTCGAACCAGGGGTAGTAGCGGATCCCTCGGAACCGCCTGACGTTATAAGGGCCAAGTACTTCATTAGAGACGAATTCCTTGTAAGTGAATCGTCGTTCTCTCATCTCGTATTCCGTATATCGTATTATTCTTATAACTCCGCTCTCTTAAAACTACCAGAGAGGTTGTACATATGAAATCTCTTTTATTTATTTTTTGCAGCGTATAAGCACAGCAAGCGGCGACGGCAAGCACTATTGTTATCCGCACTTCACATGCGCCGTCGACACAGAGAACATCAAGAGAGTGTTTAACGATTGTCGGGACATCATTCAACGGATGCACTTGCGTCAGTACGAGCTGTTGTGACTTCGTTCCTGCCGACGTGTCGTCCTGTTCTCGTCTATTCGTATGAAGATCACTATGGTATCGTTGCGGCTCGAGCTAACGCGAGTCTACAAGCTTCTTGTCGTACGATGGCCGATCGAAATTTTTTATCGCGATCTACGACGATTTTGAGTTGCGTTGGAACTCTTCTTCGCGTGTCTGAGATCGTTCGGCATTCAGAGAATGAAATGATACGTTACGCGTCGAAGGATCCTCCGTACGAGATACACCGTTTTGTGGATCGAACGACTCCGAAGTCGATCGTTCTTCTTCTTCGACGAAGATTCCACGGAGAAACGTTGATACGCAGCGGTTGAGGGTTACCTAAAACAAAATCTCGTCCCGCGACAGAGGATACACTTCTTCTCCTTTTCTTTTATTTTTTTATTTATTTTTTCTTTTTTTTGCACAGAATCGCTTTATTATATCGTCATTGGTGTACAAGCAAAACAACAATGCCCCTCCTAGCGTTTAACGATTCTACACACCAAAACGTGCGTCTCGACGAAAGATATTTCAAATCTCTCGGGCATTTCTCGATCACTCGACTCCTTGATTTTTTTTTTATTTTTTTTTATTTTTTTTTTTTAATTAGGTTTCGGCGTACAGTGTGCTGAACGTGGGAATACAACGTTCGTTGCTAATAGAAACACGTGCAATTTTAAACTAATTACCTCGTTAATTTTTATTCTAATTACGCATCAATTCGTTGATAAGCAGAGCGTATGAACGTTCGTTACGCGACGTCGACGTGTTCACCAAGTGGATATCCACGACGATCGTGCGGAAACGGCTCTTTAGTTTCGTCTGGCACACTCGTCGCGTTTATTGTGTATCGTTCAGATTTAGTATTAAGAAACGTTTCCTAAGACTTAGGTAATTGTCTCTGATAAAAAGTCCTTATCGTTGATAACGTTTTCTTTTACTCGTTTCTCGAATCTCTATCTTTTTCTCCTCGCCCCCACTCACCCCCTTGTCAAACGAGATCTTCTTGCAGAAAAAAAAAAAAAAGAAAATTAATTTTACCCAACCTTCCGAATCTCCAGTTTAAATCGCATTGGCCCGATCCGTAGGAGTCTTTCAGCCGCATCTTTTTACAAGAAGAGTATTTTGTGAGATTTTACAGTATTTCGACGAGCGTTTTAATTGTATAACTATGTATCAAATATGTACAGGGTGACCGTCCACGGATTCATGTTTTTTATGTACGTTTCCTATCGAATATCGAGATTCCTCCACCCGATATCGTTTCTACTGATTTCCATTGAGACTACTTTTAATTCTCGTGTACTTAGGGCACGTTGTTCTCGTTGTAGCTACTGTCTCTACATGTTGAATCCTAAACAACAATCTGCAAAGAAGGATGTTGTGCCACGTTTGAAGAAAAAAAGAAAGGGATAAAGGTGTTGATTTTACACGTACACTCTATTTGACTAGCGGTTAGGCCCCGACATTTACAATCAAACTATCGTTGATGTAACGTTACAACATACCAGAAATTATAATATGTTGCTTATTCATTCGACTCTCATAACGCAAAGTCCTGGGTCACTCGAGTAGAGCACGCTTCATGGTCCCGAACGTTTATAATACGGATAACGTGTACAGGATGTTGAGAAAGTGATAGTCGTTGATTTCAGAAGCGATTCTCCACCTCCGATGTCTTTTATTCAATGGTTTCATTGGTTCAGTTTTGTTCCTCTGATCATTCACCGTGATGCGAAGAATTACTCGCGAATATCACGACTGAGACTTTGTCATCGATCTTGTAAAAATCTGAATCATTCGGTAATCGGTTGTCATCGGTACTCCTTTAGGATTAATATCCTGAACCAACCATGCGATGTTGCGAATTTCTTATCTCATGTATCTTTACTATTTGGACACCCTGTATATGATAAGTCTCCTATTCATTTTTCTCGAATTTTAACTGTATTTTATTTATTTTTTTTTTTCATTTTTTCTTTTCGTTTCATACTACTAGATCCAGCGGACGAGATGTTTCTATACACATGTGCGAATTGTTTCGAACATATGGTACATGAATATAAATTCTCATTACAAATTCATAAACAATTTAATACGGGATTAAAAAGAAAAAGAAAAGAAAGGAAAATACATCTGTAAGGAGAGTCAGTGGTGCAGGTAACTATCTCGTATCCGCTGGATCGAGTGCCAGTTACCGATCTGTGTAACGTCTACTTTTAATTAATAGATAACGAGAGTTTAACGTGAAATTAAACCGAGTAAAATAAGGAAATACGAATTAAGCCACGATCCGAGAAGGTTTTATGTGACATGACGTAAATATATTGGGGCATCCGGTCTTACTATCCTTATTATCGTCTTGTTCTAAACTCGATCACGTTCGCTCCTTTTTATAACAAAGATTATTTATTTGTAACGCAACATGGAGAACAGAAGTATACATCTAAACCATTGTCTGTATATTTGATTCTTTTTATATGCTTCTTCAAAGATCTGTGTATCAAGGGTGCTATGATAGAATTCTATTTATTTAAATGGGCAAAGATTTGTGTTAACCAGATATTTGGTAAAATTTTCTTTAGATAAACAGAGTTCTCCCATCAGCGCCTCTTTCTCAATCGTCTCGACAAATTTGATGGCATCGGTCATTTTATATTTCACTTGTTTCAATGATGTTTCCAGTCTGATCGTAATTAAACAGATGTGACTGTTGAAACGATGAGGATAGAAATTCCGGACATTGCATAACGATTACTCCGTAAATGCTAACGAGCCCACACCTCTCCTCCTCCTGTTCCTCCTTCACGATCGTAATGTACTCTCGTGTAACCGATATCAATGTATGGGCCCGTTGTATGCATACCACACACACATACACATATTAATTATATGTATACCTGTCGTACTAATATACATAAATTGACAAGCCATAGTTTGTAAAACGGTATTTATAAACTTTACCAAGTGTTATTTTTACTGTGAAACCGATTACAGATATTGCGAGAGTGCAATGGAATGCGAGAGAAAAGCGAGCCTGTTCTCGGCGATGGTAATATCGTTACCTATGTCGATCAAGAAAACTTCCGTGAAACTTTGAATGTTCACTACCCCCCAGCACAAACAGACGCGAATCATCGTAATCGTGTGTACTGCAAGCCGTATGAACGAGTATCGTGTAACTAGTATTGTTACGAGTATTCTTATACTACCGCTACTACTATCACCATGAATTTTCTTTCTTCGTTTCGTTGCGTTTCTTTTCTTCTGACAGAGATAAGCGATTATTCTGATTTCGAATGGCGTTTGATAACGTAGGATAACGAAGGATGAAGCTACGAGTGCATTGGCAAACGGTGTTGATGCGAACAATGTTGCGGTTGGTACAGAACTTTTCACTCGAAACGACTCGAGTCGTGAACAATGAATCATAACCTATTGTATCATTATTTTCGATGTATCACGATGCATCATTCGACGCTTGCCAATGTACAATCATGTGCAATGATGAGAAAAATAGCTGCCCGTGAAATCATTGTCCCTGTTAGTCTAACAGACGGTGGCAATAACACACACGAAAGAAAGAAAGAAAGAAAGAGAAAGATAAGAATGAAACATTTGCTATTATTACCTGTGTTGAATGTAAAGGGAAAATTCGTGAGTGTAAATTATAATCGATTGTGTTTTGTGTGTGTGTGTGCGCGCGCGTACGTGATCGAACGAAAGAAACGGATAACCGAATTAAAATAACCATTTTACGTGGCCACGATTATACCGATTATACATATACATACATTATATACATATATATAATTATACATATTGTATACATACGCCGATCGCACAAGTTTTTTTCTTTTTATTGTACGTACAATGTGTACCAGGCATGTGAATATGTACATGTAAAAACTAAAGCGGTGCAAGTAATTATTATTTGTAAATACTACAATGGCAGATTCGTGTGAACATAAAAATGCAAATGACGACGTATCGATAGATTGACGAAGTTAAATATTGTATTTACGTGTACATGGCAAAAATTCATGTCTTCTCTTGGAAGGAACAGGTATAGATGAATGGAATCTCTACACCTTTCCCTACCAAGAGAAGACATCGATCACTCGCCGGGTGTACATTTATTGATACGAATCGCGCGTTACGCGGTAAGATCGATCAGTTTACGTTTTCGATCTCGTCGATCGCGAACGACGATACGTTTTCATTTAAAGATCCCTCGACAACCGTCTCGATCATTTAGCTACTGTGCGCGTGCAACGTACGAAACTTGGTTTTTATTTTCGTTCGAATTCGAACGGCTCCGCTGATGATTTACAAGAGAACGATCCTCCTCGTTTCTTTGCGATTACGATTGCACGACGCGAATTTGAGGAAATTGAGCGCGTCGTCCACCAAGTCGAAATTATTGCGTTTAGTCAAAGAATTCTTTGTGGACCACGTTGCTGTGCATGGGAGATAGAACGAGAGAGTATTGCCTTAAAAAGCGAAAGTCAGAAAGTAGACTGGACGCGATCTGAATCGTCGTAATGAAAAGTAAAACACTGCTGGTGATTATTACCGATACTAATTAACTGGCAGTGTTCTTGATTTCTTAATCAGATCGCTAAACGACGATTCGAGGTACAGGGAATGAACGATATAGAAAAAAATGGAAATGAATAATAAATGTATAGAATTATTAATCAATGTATTCAAGATTTTAGCTAAAGTATCAAGTAAATACATAACAGTGTTTACTATTCGTAGTAAATCGATTCATTTACCGGATAATCCATACATTGGCTAATAAGAATACATATTTATTATAAAAAAATAAATCTCGATTCGTTACGCGTTTCCGAACGAAAAGCCACGATACGTCTGCTGTTAGATAAATAACGTTCGCGTTTATGTTAAGGATACAGAGTCATTTATTGTGATCGTCTTATCGTTACACTGTTATTCGATAATGAAAAGAAATGAATTGTCTTTACACGGTCAGATTTTATTGAAACGGATAATGTAGTTATATTATTATTATTAATTATTGTCGTCGTCATTATCGTCATCTTGTCATCGTCATCATCATCGTCATCATCATTCTCATGATCGTTATTGTCGTTATTATAAACCTGTTAACCGAGTCATTTTTCAATCGGAAAGGAGTCATTTCTCCTTCTCAACTGTGTAACAAGAAGTGAATAAAGTAGAACCGATTTATCTTCTACGCAACATACGTATTTTTCTTCGTAATTAAAGCGTAACGATGCAACAATTTGTTTGCGTATATTCGCTCGAACGACGGGTTAATACGTTCCCATGGGTCATTTCGATTAACCCACGAACGGCGGTGCTGGGTCGATGATCGTGATCCAGATATATACACCCGGTGCATCGATCATTGATTAAACACTCAAGTTTGCGTTTGTGATATAATTTTTGAATCTAGTTTGAAAAATTCGCACGATAAAGGAACGTATTAACTCGTCCTTCTCGGTTAACAGGTTAAATGTTGTCATTATTATTGTGATCAGCGATTACTTCTGTAATCATTGTTAACGAAAAGCTATCTCCAGGGAGAAAAAATTCTGTGCAATTTAGATCGATGTAATTTATTTAAAGGATCATATGCGCAGAGAGCGAAACGATCGTTCTGAAAGTTAAAATTATTCAATCGATTAATCAAACTCAACAAGATCAATCGATATAACGATTAACGTTCTAATAAATGTCGATGCGTTTTTCATACGCATACGCAGACATTCAGGTGCGTATTTTTATTTCTTCGCGAAATTAATTCCATGACCAGAAAGAAAAAAAAAAGCGTCGTTTATTAATTATTTGCTCTGGTTCCGTCATTCGAGGGTGTAAACGAAAGTGGTCTTTTACAAAAAAAAAAAAAAAAAATCATGCACGTTCATTTGTTTCAAATAACCGAAGCTTATCATTTCTATGTCAGCTTTTCACTACGCAACATCCTTAGCGGTAAAGTAGAATTAATTACTTACGTCACATCATTATTATCGTCTGTCTCTCTCGAAAGATACAGACACGTTGCGTTCGTGATTAACGAGCGTCTAATTAAACGATCGCGTAAACGTGTACGATCCTACCGTAGGTAAAATGTCAAAGAAACATAGTATCAGGTTGTTGCATATCAAACGTGCAAAGTATAAATATAATTTCATGACAGAAAAGTATCGTCAAATATCACTTATGCCACATCAATTCGAAGCTTAAAGTTTCACCTTTCGTTGATATTCTTAATACAAAAATGGCTGGTTGTCAATTATATCAAACCATGGACGTTCTAATCAAACATTTCATCTGCAACAACCTAATATCATTTGTGGTGCATTGAATTATCTTTAATAGCCTTTTCGAGTTTACGAATAGGTACCAAAAAAAGGACATAAATGTTCCATTGTCTTCTATCTGATAACATCTACAACCGTTGTGTATCATGGTTCCCGATTGTGGATCGTGCCTTTCTATATAACTTCTCTACAAACCGTGTTTCGTTCGTTCCTCGTGATTGATAAAAGAAAAAAAAAAAAAAAGAAATCAAGATTACTTTAACTCATAGAAAATAGAGAGAGTGATCTTACGTTGACGAAACGCTTCGATTCATTTCACGATGTGTAACTAATCTCTTCTTTAGTTCTATCAAACGACTGCCTCAATGTAAGACCACTTGTTGTTGTTTTTATTTTCTGTCGAATTAGATGAAATAATAAAGAAAGAACAAGAGAAAGAAGCTACTTGTGCCTCGAGCGCGCCAAAACTGTCCTATTCGTTAAGTATAAAAATAGAGGGAAAGAAGAGGAGCCAAACAATGGTCTCTTGCCACACGTATTCTATTCGAAGTAATTTCTATGAAAAATATATGTGTACGGTGATCGATCGTCGATCCGTTATCCGGAATCGAACGTTTCTTTTTTTCTAGTCTTCGGATCTTGTTCGCTAGGATCCGGGAAAAAGCTTCTCTGAGGAGCAAACGGAAACAATGATGAGCGTTCGTTTAACTATGGTTTCCAGGTGGAAACTGGCGAACATTTAATTGGAATTTTTCAAAGAAAGAAAAAAGCACTAGACGAAGTTGTATCGTTGATCCTAGCGATGAAAGGAAGAACGACGAGAGGATCACTTAATTGTTCGTGAATAAATATGTATCCACGTAATAGAGAACGAGAATATGAAACTTTAAAAAAAAAGAAAAAAAAACACAAAAAAAAAAAAGCGAGAGAGAAAAGAAGAGTTACCAGCTCGTCGATAAGTAATGTCCCTCCAGTCCATCATCAGCATCCCTCTCTCGATACACCCGTGTTTTTCTCCCTTAATTCTTAAATGAATTCGTTGTTGCGTGTCTCTCTTGTTAGAAGTAACGTTTAGCCGAAGACTTATACGAATGGAAAAGATAAAAGATCGTTGAACAATTGTAACATTCGATATTGCGTTGATCATACGAGCGAGTGCGTGGAAAAAAAAAAAAGAAATGAAACTATACGTGATGTAAATGAATAAATAAGAAAAGGAGAAAAATTCTTTAGGAAAAATTGAAAATTGAATGTTGTCCGCCCCATGATTTCTCGAATCACACCGCGTGTTCTTACGCGGGAGATATTTTCTTTTCTCTTCGTTTCAAGCGTTCATGATAAAACTGCACAATTAAAAAACAAACGCAGACACACATACATACATATACACATTATTGCGTACAATGCAATCAAACGAAAAAAAATATATTAATGGTTACTATATGAAATACGCGAACGGGTATTAAATCACCTGAGTCGTTTAGTTGTCCAAGCTACTTAAGTAAAAATCGTGGGGTGGACGTGTAGCATATACGATAAACTGATATACATATAAGTACATAAATAAATAAATAAATATATATATTATACAGGTTGTCTCAGAAAAAATGTACATCGTGCAAACTACAAATTCTTGATGAAAAAAGGGATCGAAAAGTCCTTTGCTATTTTGTAATCAGCGATTTTATTTAAGAGATATAAGCGATTTAAAATTGGATACATCACTTCCGGTATGCTCTGTTTAAATTTAGGCGGCTGATCACGTGGTCCAAGTCACGTGTTGTGATGGGTACTTTAAATTTAATTTAGTCCAGTCACTGCTAAAATTATATTAAAACTGAAGCATTAAATTAACAAGGTAATTAATTATCATTGTTTTGCGTGAATGTATTTTCCCCAACGATCAGCTACAACCTAATTTTTCAACAACCTATCATTCAATTTTTAAATACGTATATCTTACAAATAAAGTCACAAATTATAAAGTGGTAAAGGAATTTTTTTATCATTTGCCATAAAATATTTGCAGTTTCCACGGTGTTCATCCTTTTTGAGGCACTCTGTATATATTATATAAATATAATTTAACCGAGTTAAAGCGATCGAGTGAAACTTTTCGAAGTGTGTGTTATCGAGCGTGCCATTTTAAGAGAGAGAGAATGGTGTGAACGACTGTAAATGTGTTTTTAGATTACAAGAAACAGGAAAAAAAATATTTCATTCTCATTCTGTGATGATTGTCTGAATATAAAGAGAGAGAGAAAGAGAGAGAGAAAAAAGGAAATGTTTTCATGAATCTATGCTGATTAATCAATTAAATTAGCGTGTAAATGGTTTGACTCTATATTGTATTAACTGCGCCAATGAAATGAAAACCATCTTAAAAGTGTGAAGAGAAATGCATTCATAAACGCGTGAATCAATCGTGCACACTGTTTGAAAGGGAGAGAGAACACATGTATGCTGTACCCGAATACAAAAAAAGCAAACAGTATGATTTGTATACTGTGTAACTATAGTCGTTTATCATTGATTTCGAGAAATGTGTATAAAATTATTATGTGTAATTAAACAAAAGTCATTTAGTAAATTTTAAGAGTATAAATGATATATAATTATACTGTTCGAAAAAAAAAAAAAAAAAAAACTGAGATCGTACGTGTGCCCCTCGTGCACACGTATCACAAAACACAAAGGATATTGCGAAGGTTAACAAAAACTAAACACTGCAAAGTCACTGTATTATACATTTGTGTAACTAAAATAGCGATGGTACAATTATGAAGATTATAAAAAATACAATAAACACTTACCGGATGTCTTATATACACATATACGAAATGGTATTTACGCGAGTCAATTTCTTTTGTTCTTTTTTTTTTTTAATGATTAATTTGTACAAAATACTCCTTGTTACGTGCGAATTGAAACTTTATATTATATGTAACAAATTTATATATTACATTTGAAAATTACAGTACACTGTATTTCTGGGTATTAAAATTATTAGAACACTAGAAATAACATTCAAACACAAAATTGAATACTCAATTTGCAAAGCATGATAGTAGATCTTGATTTCTCATATTAAGTTAACGCAATTTTAATTTGCTGCTGCAGCCATATGCCTTTCCAAATGCAAAAGTTGTGCTCTTGATTCCAAGGAAGATAACTCAGCCACGTAAGGTGCCATTTGTTCAACGTGGTTTTGATAAGTCGAACCTAAATAGTTTATAAATATTAAAATACAGTTCATTGTATAATTAAAATACAGAAATACGTACCCATGTTTGCTCTTCTTTCTCCGTATATAACTTTCCCGTCGAAGTCGTTCATAGGAACTTTCATATCCGGTTCAACTTGTTGAATTGTGATATTTAGGTGATCTTCAATTTCGGCTAAATACTAAAGCAATATAAATTAGATCTTTAATAAAGAGAAACATCTGAATATGTTATATTTTACTAAAACTTACATTTGGTTCATTGTACCAGGTACAACAACCACCCTTGTCGGTAAGATTAGTGTTGTTGCAATTTCTTCCGCGGCTAGGACACCACTCACCGTGGTACCACACTTTTTCTGGTACTTTGCTAACTAATGAAATAGCCAAACCCATTCGTTCAGCTCTACCAACTCTACCGATACGATGCACGTAGTTTGATTTCTCATCAGGTAGAGTCATATTAATCACTATAGGAGGAAAATTATAAACTCAATTAAACAAAGTCACATGTACAAATGTCACATACAAACTTCAAATACGTACTGAATGGTAGCCCAGTAATATCTAAACCTCTAGCAGCAACATCGGTACAGATCAAGAACTTTACTTCTTGTTTCTTGAACTTTTCTAAATTAGCTTTCCGTTCGGCAGGCTTTCGATCACCGTGTAAACATACGCACGAAAATTGGTTTCCTCCAACTTGCTTCAAATACCGTTCCAAATTATCGCAATCTATCTTAGTTCTACAGAAGATGATAGCTCTATCCATGTTGTGCACCTTAATGGCACGAATACAGTATTCACCTTTTAGTATTTTCACACTTTCTGATAGTGTCTCTGTAAAATTTTTAATTACACAATCAGTAGAATATCATAGTAATAATTAGAGTGATTTGAAACATACCAGGATCGTTACTTCCTGGTCTTATATTATCTCGTTGATGTACACCGTCAGTTTCTATGTGTCTTCTTAAGTTATGCCAAGATTTATCTTTCTGCGGATCTACCATTACAACAACGTGATGCACAGTTTCGGGTACAGCATCTTCACCTTTTAAGTCTACCCATGTTGGAAAATGCATCAGGCGATCCTATAGAAAAACTTGCTATATAGTTTTCTACGAAATATAAATGGTTATTACAGATACTTACTGCCATTTTTTTCACTTCAAAAGAATGCAACGTAGCCGAACACACGATCATTTGCAGTCTTTTTCCATCTGATGTAATTTTTGGTATTTGTTTATGCAAACGTTCGATTAATTCCGTGTAACCTTGCTTCAATAGACCATCAGCTTCGTCCAAAATAAAGAATCTAAAAACATATTATATTATAATAATGATTATCTCAATGAAATCAGAATGCAGTAACTTTTACAATACCTGCAATGTGTTAGGGACAAATAGCCTCCTTGTATCAGATCTTCTAAACGTCCTGGTGTTCCAACCACTATGTCCACACCTGAATTTAGCTTAGAAATCTGTTCTTTTACACTTACTCCTCCAATAACTAACAAATCTTTGATGGTAGGATCTGTTAGATATTTTTTAAACTAAATAAAAATATCATTTAGTTATTAATATTAAAAATTTTTAATTATTAACAGCTTACCTTTTGAATCTGATTATATGTTTGTTCAGCAAGTTCCCGCGATGGTTCCATAATTATAGCTTGAGGAGCATTAGGTTTTGGTTTGCTATCCTCTATACTTTGACCTTGGCTAGTATTATTAGGATTTTCCTTAACACATTCTTTAGGAGCTGAAGCAAGAGGTATGTGATCTTTTAAATGACCACATGGTGGATATTTAAATGGTTGTGCTCCAAAATTAAATGACATTTCAGCATTTTTTAAAACAACAGCTGGATAGTAGGTCTGTGATTTTTGTTGTGCATTCAAGTTGAATGCTACATTAAGATCTTTACCATTTTTTGTAAACCTAATATGCCCATTTGATAAATCTAAGTAACATCCAATTACATCATGCATTCCAAAAGGTTCTCCGTAATCGTCAAACCGTTTCGCATTTGACATTTTACCAGTACCACCAAAACCAAAACCAAACTTGTCTGTTCCCAGATCCAATGTGGCCTGTGAGATATCATGATTAATATAGTTTTTTGAATGATTATTTATGAAAAGTTAATAAAAATGTAAGATAATTACTTCAGCTGTAGACCAGCCTACACGGCATAAACCTTCATCAGTTACTATAGCTTCATAGAAAAATTTTTCTTTCCCATGTACTCCTTTGTTTGCTCTGCAACCATGCCATTCTTTTTGTTCACGACTCTGACATCTCAGGCCATCTGGAGTAACAGCTAAAGCTCTTCCTCTATCAAATAAACTCAATGCCCAATGTGTAGCTAGGAATAATTATGACAGTCATTCAGTTAAATAAAACAATGTTACCAGTCATTAGCAAGAACACAACATACAAGGCTGATGATGTCCTGTAGAACTTGTTTTAGCTGTTTTGCCAGATTCTATATCCTTTAGAGTTTCGCATACAATTTGTATAACTGGCAAACAGAAAGCACCAGTTTTTCCACTACCAGTCTCTGCAGCCATCAATACATCTCCGCCACCCAAAATTAATGGAATAGCTTCAGCTTGGACATCAGTTGGTAATCTATAATACGGTATTCGCATCACACTTTGTTATATATGACAATTCTTATTTTATTTGTATAATACAACTTTATTATACTTACGTCCACTCCATTTCATCCACTGCGTTTGCAATTTCTGGTAGAACACCCATTTCTAAAAGAAAACATAATTAAGATGTACAAAATTTTGACAAATCTATCAACAGTATTTTTAACCATACTTCCATTTATATCATTATAATACTCAGGAAAGGGCTAGTCAAAAATATTTACCCTCGAATGCCGCCATCCTTACAATCCTAATTAATGTTCTATCTGTAATAAAGGTACAAAGAGAAAATGTAGACTTTTTACCGGTTTTCGTTCTTAGCACCACTTAGCACCAAGGACTAGGTACATCCCTGCATCCTAACATTAGGTCGGTATGCAGAGAGTGGTGGAACGGGGTCCCAGTAACCCCAGAACAAAAAAGGTCGGTATGTAGAGAGTGCCGATGGTGCAACGGGGTCCCAGAAACCCCAGAACGAAAACAAGTCGACATGCAGAGCGCCAGTGGTGGACGGGGTCTCAGAAACCCCAGAACGAGATCCAGTCGGTATATAGAAAGCGCCCGCGGCGCGGCGGGGTCCCAGGAACCCCAGAACTAGAACCAGTCGGTATATAGAAAGCGCCAACGGTACAACGGGGTCCCAGGAACCCCAGAACGAGAACCAGACGGTATGTACAAAGCGCCCGCGGCGCGACGGGGTCCCAGAAAACCCAGAACGAAAACCAGTCGGTATGTAGAAAGCGCCAGCCGTCCGACGGGGTCCCAGAAACCCCGGGACAATAAAGGTTGGCATGTAAAAAGCGGTGGGGTGTCTGAGGCACCCTAAATCATGACGCTTTCAAAAATAAAGGCATGTCCAGTGTTTTGCGTCGGTAGTCACTGCGTGCTCTAAAAATTTGACATTTATTATAGACAGTGAGTAATGGATAGCGTATATTGTCGCAATTGAAGTTATTTATTCCCGTTTATTTTCATACAAATGATTATTTATATCGACAATGACATCAATTAAAGATCCATTGAAAGAAAACGTACAAACAGAATCTTCTCTTTTTACGGAAGATCATAGTTCACGATGCGAATCACCAAAACGAGGAACTACGCTCTCGACAAGTACAAGCAGCTTCGAGGCATTAGATCCTCATGATCCAAATCTTAGTCGCTTAGCCAATACCATGTTTCAAAAAACTGGTGAATATTTACAAGAGGAACTTACAGCTACTCATGCTGATTATCGTTTATTGGAGCGATTAAACAAAGAAACCATTGCAAAGTATACTGAATTGAAAACCATATCATCAGGTGTCTCTCAATCTTTAGATTCTTTAAACGAAAAATACAAGAAGTTACAACCCATTTTGGACAACATTAATGAAATTGATGATAGTGTGACTAAGTTAGAACAGGCTGCATATAAATTAGCAGCATATTCTAAACGATTGGAAGCAAAGTTTAAAGATATTGAAAGAGATGCAAAAAACAAATGAAACTGTGATATGGAACATAAGTTAGATAAAAATGTAAAAGGAATTAAATGTAGCAAAAGTGTTTATGTTGCTGCAAAATTTATTTATCTGTTGTCAATTTAAGAATTGTTTGTATATAAAATTATATATTTTTTTTAACTAAAGGAGAAATAATAGCTATTAGTTTCCATTCTTACAGTTAGCTATATTAGAATAGTTTACATGTACATGTTTCTTATAAAGGTTCTGTAAAAGTGTGATGCATTTTTTTTACATTAAATCACAATACATTTCAATTCTGTAATTAGTCTACTTCTTAAGTATACTGTATTCTACTTATGAACTTATTTGGAAACTACATTACCACTTAATTTCCTAGAAAATAATGTACAGTAATTTATAGTATGAACATAAACCAAAAATAAATATTCTTATATGTAATAAAAATTTAACTATAACAATGTATCAATATACTGTTATTAAAAATGAAAATCTCTGGTATTGTATAATTTACTGAATTAACCTCTTCATTAATTACAAGTGATAAGATTTTTTGCAGTTGTAAAACAGATTAGAACAGACATGAATAAGTGTTTAACATTATACTGATATTTTAATTTTTGATATAAATTTTTTTTTAACAATTTGTTATACTACTAAATTATATAATAAATGTAAATACATACAATCTAAAATAGCAGGTTTCAGATTTCTTAATAATCAAATGATTTATATGTGTACATTTGGTAATCTGTTGTTGAAAATCACAACTGTCCTGTGTTAAATGTTCATATATGATAGACATAAATAAAATAGAATATAAATGTCCATTAAAAAAATATTATAACACCTTGCTAAATTTTGAAATAAAAACTATAACAAAAAAAGTTTAGCACATTCACAATTAAATTTAAGAATGGTTGGTAATCACTGATGTTGTTTAACATATTTAGCAATCTAAGAAATTTCCAGCCATAAATAATTCTAATGCAATTTCAGGTGCAATAGGAAATTCTGGTATTTCTGTACTGCTATTTGTGTAGCGTACTTTGTAAGTAAAATACATGCAAACCTTTTGTAACACATGAGAGCTGCAAGCAGAGTAAATAATTTCATGTATTTTGTATACATTTGGATTTTTTGGGATGATGAACATACGAAAAAACTCACGGTATTTCACGAAAATTAACTTGATTAGCTTCATTTTCAGCAAACTGACCAGGACCACTTAACATAGCCTTTATTGTTCCACTAGTTAAGGCATGTTCCCGTTTAATAATAAATTCATGTCCATCACTGCTAACCAGTTTTACATACATTGCATTTGGTCCTTCACAACCTCCATATACAGGGCCACTTTCTTGCTAAAATTTCAATTCATTACTTACACAATGCCAAAATATTCATTTCTAAATATTGTATCTATTATTTCAAGTAATACACAACTAAATTAGTGTTAGTAACAAAATAAGAAAAGACAGGGTATGTAATAGAAGAGATCATTAAACAGCAAAATTTTAATTTGCAGAAATAGGTACCGCATGCAGGTCAATAGATGAACTGCCTTCTTCTTCTGCTCTATCGACATTTTCTTCCTCATTGGGCTTGATCCAAAGAAAAATTAGCATTAATGAATCAATTGTTTACCATAATTTTTTCCTGTTTTCCAATTAAAAGAACTAATGCCCAATTTTATAATTACAGCATATACATTTGTTTTAAATACATATCACAGATTCCATTTATCATGCACAAATGAAACATGCATAATATTTTAATAGAATCATACCTTATCAGCCTGGGAATTCACATCGTTTGACATGTTTGTCTTATTGAATATTTATTTTTCTACAAAGAAAAATGAATTAGTAGATGAAAAGGTTATTCCAAATATCAAGTCAATATGTCATAATGAATTTATTATTAATACATTAACAGTATTGGTATATGTTCATAATTGATCGCAATATAAAAATTTGGATTAAATATTAGTATAAAAAGGAAATAATGTACAAATAGAAAAGTATGACATTGTTATATTTATATAGGAGTGTATTTTGCGTTCGAAGTTATAACAGTTTGCACGAAAAATATTTAATATTGCATTTATTACTGTAACATATATGAAGATAAAAGAATTATACATACCTTGATGAAAAATAAAATTGAATAAATCTAAACTTTTTAACACTATTTAGTAACCAGAACGACTACTAATATGGCTACGAGTTTAGTATAGTTCTCGATAAGTCGAAGCTGATGCCGCTTCACTTTGATTTATATATGTAATGATTAAATAGAATAAAAATCAAACTATAAATTCTTGTAATATATTTGAATATAAAATACATGTTTAATAATAATCGTGTTATTTTACGTAATTTTATTGCTTTTGAATTATTAAATAAGTATTTATAGACCTTAGCGTCGAAAACTTTACCGACAGATCCTAGAAAAATCCCTAGAAACGAGTTTTCAAATTACGTCGTCATTTCTATACTGCAGTTCACCAAAGTCCGTAACTGCGAAAAGACTAGTTTTCGTTCTTCGCGCTTCTCCACTGCGCATCTTCGCTCTGATTGGCGATACTCCCAAGCGAAGTGGAAAGCGATTAGCAGAGAGCTCGCTGCGTTCCCCCACCATCTTCCAACCTGCGCGTCGCAGTTATGGACTCTGGTGAACTGCGGTATAAACAGAATGTAAAAAAATTTGAGGGATGTGTTCAGGAGGCCCTAAAGAATGGTAGTCTGGTCCTTATATTATCCAAATCGTCAAAAAGTTATAAAATATTGAAATTATGTCTGTCAACCGTCAACAAAATGGCGGATCGGACGCACCTGCATTAATTTAATAGTAATATAAACATTTCTGTGATTCGTGTGTCCAAATGAGTAACAGACTATCATTCTTTGGGTCAGATAGAACAAAACGAGCACCCAAGAGATGATGTACACTGAGTTGCATTGAACTTGTCGCAGTGAAGTTGGCTACAAATTCACTAACACATTCACGCCGCGTTGGTGAGTCTATCTCGCCCATCGTCTCACCGACGCGGTGTGAATGTGTTAGTGAATTTGTAGCCAACTTCACTGCGACAAGTTCAATGCAACTCAGGGTACAAGCCTCCAGGTAAAAATACGAACTAAATTTTCGACGTTTAATCAGCGCCCTCTGGGGGGCAGAAAAAGGAACTAAACCTTGCAAAATTTTTGGTCCTCTAGCGGCAAAAATGCGAACTAAATTTTCGACGTTGAATTAGCGCCCTCTGGGGGCAGGAAAAAGAACTAAACCTTGCAAAAATTTTGGCCCTCTAGCGGCAAAAATGCGAACTAAATTTTCGACGTCGAATCAGCGCCCTCTGGGGGTAGGAAAAGGAACTAAACCCTGCAAAAATTTTGGCCCTCTAGCGGCAAAACTGTGAACTAAATTTTCGACGTCGAAGCAGTGCCCTCTGGCGGTAGAAAAAGGAACTAAATTTTGCAAAAATTTAAATTTTAAATTATTTTTCACGAGGCTTCACTTACCTTTACTTACCTTTACTTACCTTTCCTCGAACCAGTGGCCATAAGTATATTGTTTATAATATATTTATTATAAGGGATGAAGGGATACAAGAGATGCAGGGAGAATTCAGAAGTGTAAGGGATACAGAAATATAAGGGATGCCGAGGTTTAAGGAATGCCGGTATATATGAGATGCAGGAATATAGGGAATGTAGTGATATAAGGGATATGCCCCCAAATAATGCGAGTATGCGTAAGGTGACAATTGAGGTGGCACTTAAATCAGTTTCTGTTCGGCCTAATTTTCGATTAAACGTTGACTGTTTTACCGACGCGGAATTCGAAGTTCGGCCTCCACGCTAGCATCGCCTTAACCTGTTGTTCTTACCTTTTATACAATGGAAATTGCAGATACCAGGTGAATATTAAGAATATAGTGTATTAATTAACAATTCTAGATGTATCATATGATTTAATCTTAATTTTCGTAGGTTTTCACGAACTACGGATGAAGTACTTGATACCTTAGAATTAGCTAATATTAAAGATTCTGATTTGACAAATGAAACTGAAATTTTGTATTCTGCACTTGGAGATAATATGGATAAGTATATAAAGTTGTTAGAGATTGATGATCATTTATTGGAAGCAATTAACAAAGGAGAAAGGTAAATGTTTATTTACATTTATTAATATTTTTCTAATCAGTTTTATTATTCAATTACTGTTAATAATAAAAATTTCAGTTTAACATTTCAGGGTAAGGAAGAAGATTCTGTAGCACTATGTACAAAAAATAGAACTTATGATGTTAAAGAAACTGAAACATCTAATTCATATTTGTTAGTACCAAATACAAATATGTTTGAAAATACAGATGGTAGAATAATAAAACATAATAATGTTTTGGGAATTTTTCATATTTATTATGAGGTATAAATAACTTATAAGAAAATAGTTTTGAACTTGTAATATAAAATAAATCTGTGGAAATATTTAAGGTAACTGAATGTAAACCTAAAGTGGAAAAATTACTTGATTTGCTTGAGCCTACTTCTTTCAAAGGAATGGAATATGAATCTTCTATACCTCAAGAACTTTTATATGACTGGCATAGATTACAAAGTGAGATACAAGCCAGTGAAGAGGAACTAAAGCAGGCCTTAAAAGATTATTTAATAGTTAATATTGATGGTATCATAAATTTTTCAAGAATTACTAAGAAAAACAGTATATAATTGACATTGATTAGTATTCTTAACTGTAATTATGCAGCCAACATAGTTAACAAGACTAACTATGTTATTTTTTATGCTCGTTTAAAGGCTATTTTCGTTTGATACCATTTGAATCTGAAGTAAGAAGCTTAACATTAATGTTAGATCTCTTTGATGAAAACTGTTGGGAGATAGATGAAGTTGATAAAGAAATTACATATGATTATTTAAAAGAATTTTTTCATAAATCAGTTTTTGATACTTTGTTTACTAAATACACAGAAGTAAGTCATAAAACCAAAAAAGATGGAACACCGTTATACAGGTATATGAAATTAACGCAACTGTAATTAGCAAGCTTAGAGTCAGAGATAAAATATGATACATATTACAGATATAATGAAGAACTTTGTTGCAAGAGTTTAGCTAAAATTCTTCTTGCTGCTTCTTCGGTAACCGAGTATAAACAATTCATGGAATCATGGAATATTGGAACACCAGAAAGTAAGCTGAAATTTGTATGAAAAAATTTATGTATTAAATTTATGTTTACTTTGCAATTTATTTGCATATAGAAATGAAACCAAGGGAAGAATATTTACGTGGAATAGCTCTTATTACCTGGAACAGTTACGCAATGAAAAAAGAAGTAGTAGCTTTTCCAGAAATAGATTTACCGAAAGATACTGAGGAAAGGTTTAATGCCCTATTCAAAGCAAAAGATAAGTGGATAGTAGAAGAAATAACTCCGTATATATTGTAAGTAAAAACAAAATTTCATTTATAACACGCTTCTCTTTGTTATAAAAGTTTTCTTGTTTTAGATGTTTAACAACAAACCAAATAAATGTTAATGCTCTTTTAACTAAATATGCCAGATGTTCGGTCATTAACGGTATTAAATATTACAGTTCAAAACTCGGTAAATGAATAAAATTGTTGATGTTGAAATCATTCTCGCTGTTTATTTCGCTTGAGGCTGTAATACATAGTTACATTTACACCGTTCTATAAATAGTTTTTAAATATCATTACACATTGTTTATGTTTATTATTCATCATCTAATTGATAACATAACAGGGTTGATCGCGATGGACTGTCTTTATCTCAGTATTTTCTATTTCTTTAAAGACTGCAATTATATTTTGAAAAACGGTTACCTGTAGTAACAGTAATAAATACTTGGTATGTTTATCCTTTCATTATGAATTACAAAATCTTATATAACGTGATTGTAGCCGAGTAATGTAATAATATGATTAATAACAATTAAAAGTTTTTCTTCAAAATTTGTTAGCGTTTTGTCAAGTATTATGATATTTATTAGGATGTATTTTTGAAAATTACATGTAATATAAGAGAATTGGAAAATAAAAATTATATTTTCTATAATAAATGATATAATGTGTTGTGATGATATAAATATGATAGTACATTATAAAATTGAAAATAAAAAAAATTTGTCGAACATTTTAATGAAATTTTAAGGATAACATTTAAAAGATAACATTTGTTTAAACTAACATTTACATAATTATCAACATCATTATTAAATGATATAAATTTTAAATATTTATTTACATATGCTTGATGTAATTTAAAAGTATTTTATGGTTTCGATGCAATAGCAGTGTCAAACGTTGTAAACATGAGTTACAAAGTCCTGGGATGACAATTCATTAGGACATTACTATACATTCTTAATGTGTTTATAGAAAAATGTATTTGCAGTATACAAGTACATCTTGGCACGTTACCATAAAATTGCGGGTTGTCTATAACACAGTGGACAATGTAAAAATGCTGTTAACGAATGTAAACAATCATTCTGACAATTAAGATCTTAATTTCATATGAAATGAAATCTTCCCAGGGACATATAAAGTAACAAATTGTACAAAAAAGGAATACTTTATATCTATGGAATATTTAATAAATTTGTAAATGCACTAATATTGTGAGCGCATCGCATTGACAAAGTTATCAGTGGCATTTTTATGCAAAGATGAAATTTTTTATAAATATTTTATAGGAACTGACTTGCCATTGAAGAATGATTCGTTTCTTTATAAAACAGTCTGTATAAATTTCATAAATTGGTATGAATTGCTAAATAATTACCTAATAGAAATAACATTCAGTCCCGTTTTTTACATTGCAATCACTCCTCATAGCAGGAAATAGACTATTAAATTACGAATTTGTAAAAACAACATTATCGTAAGATTATGTCTTACATGAAATTAAATTTTTGGATAATATTTTGAACCGTTTTTTAAATATACATTTATAAATATAATATATATATATATGTATATAGAATTATTCAACTACCTATAGGGTGATGCAATAAGACAATCTCTGGATTAATAGGTCGTATACGTCATGACATTGCGATGATGAATTTTATATAATTTATTTTAAATAATATTAAAACATGTGCGAGAAAATTTAAGCGTGTTATCTGTTGGATACTAAGTTCGTATGAATGGAAGAATTGCATGCAATTCTTTATGCTTGAGGGTGCCTTTTGCGTCACCCCATGTACAGCTTTGTTATACAATAACAAATTAACAATAATTCTAAAGCTTTGGAGTGATTTCTTCGTAGTTATAACTTACATCTCTTAACAATAATCTACCTCTACATCTAATGAATACTGTCTTATCTATAAGTACGTTTAGACAAAGTCTGTTAAATGTTAAAAAGAGCTATAAAGCGCAAATACTAAATCTCTTGCTGCTGAGTTATGCGCGAGATATAGATGGGTAACTTGCAGGACGTTATCTATGTACATACAAATATTTCTCCGAAGTTTTCCTAAAATTAATAAGCATAAAATGCAACGAACGAATAAAAAGCTTTAGGTATACAATTTTGTGGTAATAAATGAGTCATACCTTAATGCAAGGCACCTCGTTGTTAGCTATCAGTTGTCGCACTTTCATTTGTTGTTTTATTATTGGACGCAAACACTGACTGTTGATTAACACCTGTCGTCACTGTTTGACTTTGATGAACTGTTTGAACTAAATTACAAGTAACTGGTACCATTGGCGGTAGATTAACTGAATTATTCATAGGACTGATATTACATGACAACGATGGTCTTTTTCTTTCTAAACTATTTGTTGTCATTTGTCTTCTGGTCGTTGAATTACGTTCGAGACTGTTAGTAACAATGTGATGCCTTCTTTCTAAACTAGAGCTAGAATTAACATCACTTTGACTACCCTGAAACAAATATTTATTACGTTTAATTTTATTATAAATGTTTTAAAACGATCAATGAACTCTACCAAATCTATCACAGAACACAATTTACCTGAAGCGAGCGATCGACGGATTGGCCCATTCTATGTAAAAGTTCACCACTTTGACTCTGTCTGAACGTCGTACCCTGACGTTCACTCGACTGACTTCGCCTCAGAAATTGTTCTCCAGATTGACTGGAACGAATACGGTTTTCCGGCGTAGATTCTTTTGGTGCATTAATATTGTTTTGCTTCTGACAAATCTGGTTATCTACGTACGGGTAACGAATACGAATCGAATCGATTACATCCAGCAGATTCTTTGCGTCCATTGCTAAAATGTGTGCTGCTGACAACATTCCTCTGAAAACGTACACGTATTATTTACAACTATCTCTTGTAACGCGTGACAATTAACTATTATATAATTATTGAAAACATACTTTCGATATTCTACGTCTAAAGTAGTAGCGCTGTATTTCTGAGCTTGTTTCATAGCGGTTACAAGCTCTGCCATATCTTTGCTAAGAACTTTATGCGCCATTTCTACCTCGCGATGAGCAGATATAGGTAGTATATCCATCAAAGCATCCACAGATGAAAGCAAGGCTTTTAATTCAATACCTACTTTACGTACTAACTCCAAGTATTGTTCCGCTTTGCTCTGCTGCACACCTGCGCATTTGTAATTTCATTAAAATATCGTTTAACATACTATGAGGTAAATTAAGTGTAGGGACTAGTACCTTGGGAAAGAGACATTACCGCACGAACTACACTGGTAGTGGAATCATACACTTTGTCATTGGTTCTATCCAGATCTGCAGTAGGTGTTGGTTCCATTTTCTGTAAATTAAGGGTACTTTGCATTCCATACCTTAGTACATCTGTTTAATTATTAGATAAGTATGTTACCTTTACGACGATTACTTTCTCGCTACCCTTATCAGAACCTAAAGAACCAGTATTAGCGCTATGCTGCTCGTGATTTGGTGATTGCGTGACTGAACGTGGAACTGGAGGACTAGCGCTTTCGTCTCCGCTCGTTGCAATTGATAAACGTTTCTAATTCAACAAAAAATAGTATAACGAAATAATGATTACATAAATGTAACAAACTATAAATAAACGAAATCGTACTTCTTCTCTAGCCAACCAGCGACTATCCTCTTCAGACTGACGCTGTTGCTCTAAGAGTCGTTGTTCCAACAATTTTTGTTCATCGTCCACACCGGTGTTGAAGTTTTCTGCTACGTTGTCGAACAACTGCGATTGTACGGTTCTCTGAAATCAAACAACTTATTAGAAATGATTCGTTTTTCCTTTGTACATCTAATGTAGCAGATATTTAACACAGTTGATTGTCACACATTTGTTACTTTTAATTACTAATGTAATTTTAATAGTTTATCAAATTTTCTTAATTTTTTTTTTTCAATTACTTGATTAAATTGACCACAATTAATCCCGATGACAATCAACGTGTTAACCCTTTGCACTCTGACTTTTTACGGTAGCGTACATTATAGAAATGAATTAATAATAAGTGGTAATAAAATTAATAATTAGAATTGATACAACTAATTCTTAAAAATGCTACATATTACTCTGTGCCTAAAAGGAGGCATACTTGAAGTACAAAGGGTTACTAAATATATATATATATATATACATATTAAAATTAAAGAGATGCATAATTTTCGATGCAAAACCAATTTTAAAATAATAGTGCAATCATATTCATCGCATGCAGCTCAAAATTGTTATATAGTATCATTATTATATCCATTCTTCATGCAATAAAGATTAGCCTACTAAACTGCAAAACAAAATATCCAATTATAATAATGAAACAAAAAATAAAAAAAGGAAATATCTAGCCGTATAACGGGAGAAAGGGGCCATCGTGTCAACTTAAAACGAGCATATCAGCGCGTCTGCATATACCAAAAGCAGTATGCATGGTATTGTATATACATTTGAATCGCAATAAAAGTATATGGTGCTGTAAGAATGGTCGAGTCATAAATAAGAAAAAAAAAAAAAAAAAAAAAAAAATATGCTGTTGCAGATAGAAGATGCGTTTGTCATTCCTAGGAGGCTTTGCCAAACCTGATCTTGCTGTGCCTCCTCTGTCATCGAGCTGCTCGATGACATTGTGCTGTCACTGACAGCGGACGATATCAGAGATCCGGACAGCGTACCATCTGTAGAGCTTGTCAATTGTTCGTCTTGCTTATGAGTTACGAACGTAGTGATTTTTGCTACACCAGTCGCTATCTGAGGCGTACTAGATCTTACGATTCCTGGTTGCATGGATGGTTGTGCTAAATACTGTGTTGCATTTGACGCGCTAGTAGTTGGATTGGTAACGTTACACTGTGCCTGACCATGCTGTTGGGTCGCGTTAATGGAACACGATTGCTGTCCCATGACGATGTTACTTTGATGAATATACTGCTGGTTAGCCTGTTGAACCGTAGCACCTGACGTGGCAGTGAAATGCACTTGAACAGGATGATGACTTTGCGCCATGCTAAAAGACAATTGCTGATTCACGCTGGTTGCTTGAGAACTCGGTACATGACTCGCTATTCCAGGTTGCATTTGTTGCGCGTACACGGGACCCTGAACTTTTAGAGGTTGCACCATACCAAGGGAGGTTGCATGGGCCGTGTAAAGTTGGTTAGCGCCGGTCGATTGACTTTGTTGACTGGTGTGTTGCGCGGGTATGTAAGAAACTGCTTGATGAATGGGATTCTGCCGTTGGATGTTTTGCACATGCTGCGGCAAGTACATTGGCTGCGAGCCTAGATGGCTGATGTTCGAGTATATTTGCTGATGTTGATAGTTTTGAGCGTGCAACGGTTGGGCTTGTAGATTTTGTCCGGAAGTAGAAGTGTAGACCAAATTAGCCCTTGGATTTGGCATACAGGATCCAGCAGAGGTACTGATAGATTTCAAGTCGGACGCATTTTGATGCTGAACGTTTTGTGCTCGAAACTTTAAAACAGGACCGTAAAGACATTCTGCGGCTGACGTAGGAATAGCGGTGTTAGCTGAGCTAACAACAGGCGCACGGGGATACACGCCAGCAGAACTTTGCGAACAACTAACATTCTGACTTATTGGTTGACCAACGCTAAACGATTGATTGGTGTTGTTAGAAGAAAATTGACCACAACTGGTGGACTGATTCTGATTATTCGAGCCTACGATATTAGTTAAGCTACTAGGCCCAAAGTTTCCAGGATTCTCACCGAAATTACCACCTACGCTGGGACTTTGACTGAGATTACCAACGATAGCGGAGCTTTGCGTGAAATTAGCGACAGGCCCATATATTTCGGCACAAGTAGCCGCGGTAGTTGTAACAGCAATAGCGCTGGACGTAGAAAACTTTTGAACGGGAGAGTAGAGATCCCCGGTGACGTTACCGACCACTTTCGAACTAACCGCGTACAAATTTTGCATCTCTTTAACCTTTTGCTGCTGTTTTCTATTGGCAGCGGGTGACTGAGCTTGCGCCGTCTCTGAAATACTGAGGCTGGACATGAGAGGAGTGTCCGAGGATTCGAGGGAATCTAAGTTTGTGTCGGATAAGGTGGAGTCTCCTGAGTGAGTGTCATGAGAGACAGAAGGTTCTGAGGCAGCTGGATCGAAAAAGGGTAGATCTGAAACTAAGGCAGTAGTTAAGACTTGATCTTCGTCTTGGAACTGCACTGCTAAGGTATTGAAAGCCGAGGCGGGAGTTGTGTACACGGAGGGACATACCCCCCTGTTTTGATTATCCTTGAGAAGTTGTGCAAGAACTTCAGGACTTTGAGCAACGATATACGTCGAAACTGGCGCTACGGCGGTTAACTGAGATTGATCCGTCGCGTTTTGAGGTTGCCTCGAGGGTTTCGGCGGCGGTACATCGTCTGCACCTAAACAACAAGAAAATCATTTGTAATATATGTACCTTTGATTACATCGAAATAATGCACATACCCCAAGACATAGCTTGTACTCTCCTGTTTTCTCGTCTCATCGTTTCTTGCTGTTGATGTTTTTCTTCTAGTAATATTTCACTGCAACAATGCAATGCAATATAACGATGTAAAAAGGTAATATAAAAATAAATTGTATGTACTTACTGCAAAGTTTCTCTGATTTCTTTGAACGTTGGTCGTTTGCTGGGTTCGTAACTCCAGCATTGAGACATCAAAGAATATAATCGTGGTGGGCAGCGATTTGGTAATGCAAGTCTTTCACCGTTTTCCAACTTACGGATCACTTCGTTGTTTTTCACACCTTGAAACGGCTTTACGCCCAACATCAAAATCTCCCACATGCATACACCTTTAAACGAGTACAAAGAAAGGATGTTAGATTCGTTCGATAATAATTGAAAATTTGTCAAAACTTACCAAACATCCAGACATCAGAAGATGTTGTAAATCGTCGAAAATTTATGCTTTCAGGCGCCATCCATTTTATAGGTAACTTACATTTACTTGCGGTGTAGTAGCTTTGATCTTCTACCCACCTACTAAGGCCAAAATCGGCTAACTTAACGCAATTGTGCGCAGAAACTAGCACGTTTCTTGCAGCAATGTCTCTGTAAAAAATTAGTAAGAGTATAATTTCTTGATAAAACAGTCTTTCTTTACTCGTTAACTACCTGTGGACGAATTTCTTGCTTTCGAGGTAAGACAGGGCAGTGCTTAGTTGAAAAGTATAAAGTAGAAGAGTGGCGAGGTCCAGACGATGTTTATTCGACTGCAGATAAGCTCGCATCTCTCCCAACCTAGCTAATTCCATTACTAACCAGATCGGTGCTTCTGAACACACCCCAATTAATCTTATAATATGAGGATGCTCAAATTGTTGCATTATATCTAAAAATGTTCAATAGTATTATTACGCATATTCATGGCAGATAGCATTTTCTTGTTCAAATTATAGGAAAGTTTCTTTACAAGCTTCTTCGAGGAATTTCTCGGACGTAGCGAGGTCCGCGTCAACTTTACAAGTTTTCACTGCTACCGCTATGGTCTGGCCGTCCCTTCCTTTGTAAGAACCTTTATGTACATTACCAAATTGACCCTCCCCGATAATTTCACCCAGTTCTACTTGGTTCCTTACTATTTCATAATCTTTGGCTATAGATTAAGAAACAAATTTAAATAACAGTACAATGGTTCACATAATGTTTCACTTAATTCAACTACTTACTAGCTGGAGTTGAGTAGTCTCCTTCCTCGTCCACAATTTCTGCATAGTCCTCTGACAAAATAGTTCCAGTTTTGCTAACATTTTTCTCTGGGCTATTCGTGCTTCCATCTTGCCTGTATTTTGGTGGATGAGCGTCTGTTTCGAAGTAAGGGACACGATTAGCAATTACAAGTTCTGATTAACGATGATTCTCATGCATTATGATGTTAGACTAAACATTAAACTACGACAAAGGGATCGTTCGATGCTACAAACCTTTGCATGGACAGGGATAGTTTTTCCACGATGCAGCTTGGAAGTGTAAACGATTAGAACTTAGTATCGTTCGTTAACGCAAACGGGGGGTTCGTGCTAGATGTTCAGGTGTAAAATATGAATACGGTTATGAAGATACAAGGGAACTAAACGTTCAGTGTAATCGATAAACGAAACAATATAATTCTGATTTCTCAAATACCATGACAAATGTCAGTAAAAAGTTAAAGTACAATGTTTATCGCATGAACATCAAAATTGTTAGCTTTAAAATGATAATACTAATAGGATGAGTATCGAGATAACAAGAAAAAGCAGAGAAAAGATTGAAATTTCATTGGTGAGTATAAACATGCCAGTTTTCACGGCTGTTCGATTAAATCAGTTCAGACAGTATTGTACCTTTTCTGTTCCATAATGAGGTGTTACTTCCGGTAACTAGTCTACAGTATCCGTCGATCAAATCTGCTAAACTTTCTGCTTGGTCCAGACTCGAACAGGTTATACTTAACGTTTCAGCAGTCCCAGCTACCCTTAATTTAATACACGCTTTCGCGTGTTCCTTACAGTCCGATACAAGGGTCTGAATAGACTGTATCTGAGAGAACTCTGCCATTCTTGTTGGCTACGTAACACATTAAACGTTTGATGTAATACCAAGGTTTGATAAGCAGAATTAGTAAAATTTATATAAAGGAAACCTACCACTGTTCCGCCTCTGTGAGCCATATAAGATATGCCTAAGTCTGGTCCAATGACTAGTTCTACGGGTATAGACCAGCTTGACTAAAAACAAGAACAGGAAAATATACATTTTATCAATGTTTAATACTTGTAAGAAATAGCAACGTTCCTTGTGAATCAACTTACCCCCAAAGCACATATGAACCTTTCCTGATCGAATCTGTAGTGTGCCCTTAAGAGATCAAAGAACTTGAACATGCATTCTAATTCAGATAATGCTGCTACCTTTTTGAAGTGTTGTTGTATCAGTTTGCGTAGAGCCTTTGGTTTCATTCCGTTCAATACGGACCGGGGTAAAAATTTGTGCAGACCAACCTAGGCAATCAAATTCAAAGTACTCGTTCTTTCACATAAGAAACATGTAACATTTCCACTTTGTATTTACCTCTCTTTCTAGGTACTCGAGATTACTCTTCTTGTCAAGCGCAACCTGATGCATGTCTTTGAAGAAATATCGAATTTCTAGACAGCATAATTGAACAGCCACATCTTGATCTAGAGCCGAGTGGTTCGCGCACAGATAATCATTTCGAACCTGAAATAAAATTAATTATATCGTGAATATTTAACATTTACTACGAAGAGCCAGTCGGATAAAGAAAATTCTTCCACAGCATCTCTGATTAATAATACCTGATCGTAATAATAGTAGAACGTTACTTTATCCTTTTCGTACAAATCGTTTAGGTTCTGGGGTAGGTATCGCACCCTTAGTTCATACCTCCACTCGCAATGGGGATGTTTCTTTTCGTACTTCTCCTGAACCTGTTAAATAATACCAAATGATTCGCAACGAACTATACCATATCCTTTGGAAAATCAGAAGCACGAAGATACCTGGTACATGGTGGTGTCTTGGTGTAACCAGTAACTCTCCCCCGATCCAGGATGATGAAGCCTCATGGCGTAGAGATTTCTATAGTGCCTTGTACCAGCAGCTAGTCGACTAGTTACCAAAGAAATGATACCCCTTACATCGATGGCATCACCGAATTTAACAACATTGAAACCACCTGAAGAAACACAAATGATTCGATTAAAAATGCCTGCACGAGAAAAATAGAAAAAAGAAAAAGTATACCGTTAGGTAGATGGACTTTCAAAGTCGCTTTATCCATGGGGGTGGGCGATCCATGGGGCGGCGTATTTCTTCCGCCCCCGCTTCCTTGTACACCACCACCGCCACCTCCACCTCCATCTCCCACGCCAGTGCTCATCCCCTCATGGCTACCATGGAAAAAATGAAAAGATCTCGGCTTAGTCGACGACCACGTTAACTATGCATTATCTTGTAAAACCTCAACTGACGCTGGCTGACTAACGTGAAAGCGTTTGCCGGAAGATTAATTTATTCATTGGTTGATGAAGGAAGGGATTACTTTAGAAATCTTCTTATGAAAAATTTCCAGCTTCGAGAAAGAGGAAAGTTTAATGTCTCTCTTTTCTCTTTTTTAGTAGGTATTTACTTTTCATAGGACGTTCCAAGAATAAAGAAAAACTCTTGGCCCGTTTCGACGAACGATTCGTTTAAAGGATCAAGATCCTCCTCCTCCTCTAAGTTGCACAGTTTCCCGAATAAGTTACACATTTTTCACAGAAATATTTCTTAATAGAATAGAACAAAGGCGATTGCGATTCTTCCGCGTGCGAATCAACGTGTCATCGCGCAATCATCGATTGTTTCATTAGAAACGATCGTTCCCAGGCGTTCTTCGTGCACTACGTCGATCGTTGCCCGGGTATTTTTAGATATTACAAAAGCATAACGCGGTGATACGTTCACTGATCGCGACTACGGGCTTCTTCGATTGCACCCCGAACTGGATGTCTGACTAGCGTCTGATCAACTCAAAACATGACTGATTCTTTTATCGAACGGATTATAGAGAGTGGGGTTGTAATCATTGTGTAATATGAACGTCAGGTGATTCTGTGCGAACAGAATCCCTAATTTCCTCTAATTTAGTTTGCAGTACTTTTAATCTCTGCATGAATATTTCGTTTAACGATAAGTTGTAATAGATAAATCTAGATAAAAAAACTGGAATTTTTATTAAATCCAAGAATACCTTACGAATTCTTCAAATAGGCAGCCTCGAAACTGACCTGTAACAATCGTATACCTTTTTGAGTCACCTGATAATCTCACTTATCAGACGCCTTACTGACAACGAATTTCAGAGACACTGGGAAAGCTCGGACGTCGATGACGTCAAGCACGATGACCTAATAAAATGTCTCGTTCGTTTGTCTTCGATTCGATCGTTAATAAATACCGAACGTGGACTTTAAATTACGCAGGGCCATTGCGTGGACGAGCATACAGACGAGAACATTGAGCCTGTGTCCAGAGGAGGAAATAATTTGTGATGGGCATTCAAATGGGAATTAAATTTCGGGTATTTCGTTGCGAGCGATTCGATCGATGAGAGGAGAGGAGAACCAACGAGACGGAATCTCGGAGCAAGCGATATCTCAAGAATGTATTGGCTCCGAGTAGTACAGAAGCTAATTTCCAAATAATATTTCAAGAATATGCTAATCGCCAAAGCTGAGATTCCTCGTTATTAAAAAAAAAGGTGACGAACACGAGAATGTCGTTGTTGAACAGTTTTCATCGAGAGCATGTTTGCATCGCGGCTATTAATGCAAATGTGTATTATGAGCGTCGTCCAGCTAAGGAATGCCGTCGGTCAGGGACGAAACACTAACACCGAGTGCCAGGAGCTACTTCCATTGAAATACTGGAACATCTAGCTCCGAGACAAGCTAATCTCTGTCATGGTGTCTTATGAAATTTTAATTCAAGAGCTAGAAACAGTGACACTTGAAAGATCAGCATCATCTCCCAAAGCGGAAGATCGAAAAGGATATTCGTTGGACGTGGATGATGAAACAGAACGAAGGTTTGTTGGTTGGCAATCTGGCAGGGATTTGTTTTTTGTGTAACGCTATACCGATTCGCGGCACGATTCAAGCTCGTATTTACGGACATCCGAACCGACGATCCGTAAACGATTATCGATGCAGCGTGGACGACTGCTGGTATAAAAGTTTTATATGTGCACAGGGTGTTTGAAAAAGGTCGCACACCCCGAGATCCTAAGGGTGATTGGTATAAAAAATAATGAACGAAGGAGAGAGAGGGGATTTCTACGGCCCTGACCCAACGGCGTGAATAAAACTATACGCTACGCACCTGCAACTGTCGCCCACGCACTTTACCTTTCACTATTACTTTCTCTATTGCGCTCTTGCATCGTCGCGAGGCTCGCGGATTTGAAACTCGTAATATACATTTTTCCCCTATCAGTTACCTCTTTCGAGACACCTTGTGGAACTTCCACGTGCCCAAGGTGTCCGGGCTGTAGGACTCGTTGCACCCTAGCTGACCGAGGGAACACAACAACCCTCCTCCGTTCTCCTTTCTCCATCGTTTCTCACGCGGATAACCTTTGTCCCGTCTGAGTAAAAGTATCCCTTTCGGATCCTTCGCGAAAGAGTTCAAATTTTGACCACGACAACTCGGCCACGAGATTCCATTCGCTTTGCGTTCAACCAGCTCCAACATTATCGTGGAACGCGTGTAATAAAGTTCACAGAGATACACTTTAATCGATGCGTGTAACTATGTTTCTCGGATCAGAGCTGAGAGAAAATCCTCTGATCGATCGATGGATCGATTTACGGATACACTGGTGAACTCTGCACGATTCAGACATCCTGTAATAATCACCTACTTGTCTATCGATCATTTTTGCATCGGACACCGTAACTCGAGCCTGTCGTTCGATACGATCCCTGGATCGTGATCTGGAACCGTGTCGAAATGGATCTCGTTTTATGAAATTCAATTACTGTGTCACGGTATGTCTTTCGATGAGAATCTTTGAAGAGATTTAGCTTTCTGCTAGTGGAACTCCGATAGGGGTAGTATTGAGAGTCTGAAGTTTTGTCCCATATGTTCGCACAGTTGGTATTAATGACAAAGTTGGGTCAAAGTTGCGTGGAATGTACAGGGGGTTCCAAAGTTGAATACTGAAACTTTGTGGACGTCATCCAAGGGTAGGAAAAATATATGCGAATGTATTAAACACCAAATGTGTATTGCACGTTATACAAAATGAACTATAGAATGATTAATATTCAAGTTGCATTGAAAGTTTTTCATCTCGGGCAAGTTTGAAACAGCGTTTTCAATTTGAGAATGGAGCGACGAAAATGAGACTCGTCGCGTTCTAGTTTTTCCAGCGGTCGAATCACCAGAGACGAGAATATTCATCCTCGTTCCTTCACCGTAAATATCGACAGTATATACATATGTATACGCGCGCGTGTTCCCAGGTTCGTTGTCGAACAGAAACTGATCAACGTTTCGAACGGACAACCTGACATTCTCTCTTTTCCTATCCTTTATTATCCTAGTCGATCTTATCCTCATTTCAAGTCAGTTGTACCGAGTGTTTGGCAGCTTGTAATCGCGTGGGACGAGGTTGAAAAATCGCGTCATTGGCGCAATTCCTGCGAACAGGATGGTGGTGGGTGATTGGGTGTTCCAGGTCGACCGACAGACTGCCTGGAGACGTCGATCGCGTTGATTATTTATTAGAAACACCGTAGTTAACCTTTTTGCTAAGAACTAGACGTACAATCGTTTGTACAGATGACTTTTCTTCGGTAACCCGGTTGAATGCCAACGTGGGTCATTACGGGCCCACAATCCAATATTGCAAATATCTTGGAAGCTATAACAATTTATATAGCGTAGTGATTTTCCTTCAAATCTACACTGTTCGTGAACCATATGGGACCTAGCTATAAACCAGCTTATGAACCCTTCAATTAATTGCCCTATCCCGTGTGAATCGCCCAGTTTAACGAACACGGTAACTTCGTCAAGATTGCCAGGATAAGGAAGCTAATTGCGGCTAGATTCCTCTTTATTGATCCTGTATCGATAGCCAATTCGATTGGATGATATAATTTGATTTTCGAGAGAATGAAAGTGCTATTTCCCAGTTCAATTAATAACTCCAGTAAACGGTGTTAAATGAATAAATAATCGAGGAAATTGAAAAGTTATTGAAAAGTCTAACGAGACGAGGATGGCGAAGTTGACTTAATGGCGGCAATTAGCAACGGTAACCAAGAGTAGATGGTCGATGACGGCAATTTCGCCATGGTTACCCCCGTTACTATCGGCGCAACAGCCACGAAAAAGAAGCTGATTCTCTTCTCTTCCTCTTATCGCTCGCGGCATCACTCCTTCATTCACGAATTTCCAAGTGACTTTCAAAGGCCTTTATGCACGCAAATTGCCATTGGCTGCTCTTCAAACGAAGCCAACCCCCCTTTGTTTAAACGCCTGTTCCGCGGTTCTGGGGATTCTAACAGCTGGATAGCCAACCGTTCCGAAGGAACCTCGATCTCTCCCTCTGGGTGAAAACTTTTCAAAAGCTCTCCTTGCATTATTATGGTGATTCGATTCAATTCGATTTCACGCCAGGGGGAAAACGCGATTTCACCTTTGCTTCTACGATTTTCGAGCTTGAACAGAGTGCACTGAATACCTATGATATTTGATGGCACTGTATGATTTTAATTAATTATCGAAAATGATAGTAAAATTAATTTCTTTTCAGACGAAAGGTATAATAATGTGTATACTTACTCGGTGGTTTCGAGGTACTGGAAGACCCGGTAAACGGGACGTCGATACATGAAGAGATGGTCTTCAACACGCTCCACCATCATCCTAAAACCACTTCATTCGAAACGGTGGGTCACTGATCATCACCCACCGCTGATCACTTTTCTCATCGGCACGAATCGCGATAACAAACACTATAACAAACTTCGCGAAAGCGATACAAGTTCGATTATTTTCTTTCTGTTCGAATCTACTGAAAATTTACTCTCGAATCAACGGTCGCGTCGGCACCGGTAGGATTTACACAGGATTTTGATATGTCTTCCTCGTTCATCGACGATGCTCCTTCCTCTTCCGGTGCACTTGCTGCATCGCCACTTTCGAATCGATACCGTCGCCGGAAACACGCACCGCAGGTGCAACGGTAGATTTCTATCTGGTCTTCTTCGTGAAACGAATCACCGTTCGCAAATTTCAACAATTAAAATGTCTCTTTCTATCTTGATCATTCGTTACTTTCGTTCGAGTATTCTGCAAAATCGATTATAATTTAAAAATAATCAGCCTCTTTTCTAAGAGGGGTGATCGCCTTCGAATTATTCGAATGATAATAAACGTGGCGAGAAGATATGTCTTGGACTTGTTTGGACATTTTAGTGAACGATGGTTATCGGAGGCTCGGTAAGTCTTCTAGAACGATTCACGAGGAACTCTCCTCGATAAGGATCTCGCGTGTACCTCGCACGAAAGTTGAAGAGGACCTAGCCCTAACCTACCGCAAAGGTAACGGGCACCGCCTAAGCCTAGCACCGCAATGCCACTTCCGTTCGGGGTGGCCATCAACCCTTAAAAACACGGAAGTCTTGGCTCGAGGCGTCGGTTGCCAATTCCGGGCGCAGCTACGGGTTCTATCTCAACTGAAATCGCGTGCAATTGTTGCTGTTCACTCGAAACGAGTGTCGATGCCTGAGAAGTGAATTATAATCTCGATATTTTTGGAATAATTTCGAAAAATATTTCCACCTTTGGCTACATATTCGTAGCAACGAAACTGTTGCCGTTGACCCGAATAAATCTCGAAATTTCTAGCTCCGGTCTCGGGAAACCGCATTGAAAGCAACGAGACCGTGGTTATGGATTAGAACGAAGCTCCAATATATGTCGAATAAGATGGAAAAGGACGAACAGCCTCGAATAAACGTACTCGATAAAAAGAGACGGATGAATTTAATTCACGAAAAAGGATCGCACGACTCCCGTTAAGGTATGCAACCTATTTTAAGATGGACACCACCCACGTCTGTCTGCAGTCTCTGCAGAGCCGACCACCGCAGAGTTGTTCCCGTTGGTACGTTAATTAGCCTGAGAGTTGTGCAAACGTATCGCGATATGCTTTCTCGAATCAATGAAAATTATATGAAAACCCGACCGTTATTTGCAAATGCCATACGTAACCAATTATTTATATTAAAATAAAAAATCGGAATAAAAGAACAGGCGGAGAGATACAATGGGTAAATGAATACAGAGTCACAAAAATCAATCGCGTATGTAAATCCCTACCTATTCAAAGCTTTCGCTTTTCCATATTCGATTCATACATCGTGCCACAATGGAACATAAATTGTTCTTTAATGAGCGTCAAAGTAAGCAACTAAATTATTCATGAAATTTCAATAACCAACTATGAGTAATTATTACAGAGTGAATAAAATTCAGAAAATTAATTATTGATGAACTACAATTGAAATTTGTACTCGTCGAATAGCATCGACTTCCAAATTTGATGATCATTATTTTTCAAAGTACTTGAATCCTGAAATTCAAGCGGATCCGAAGGAAACGGAACGCGAACTAAGGAAATAAATGGCAACATATTTCACCAGGCACGGTTGGTGATCGTTCATAAATATTCGTAGACGGTGTCTCAGGAAGAAAGCGATCTTCTCGAGGGATGTTTTAAAGTTATGTACGCGTCGATTTCAGGAAGTCGATGTTCCCTCGAAACGAGGAAGAAGAGCGTCCCTAAAATTATACGATTCACGGACCAGTGAACTTTCGAGGAACTTGTAAGCCTCTGACGTCCCCGTGAGAGGCTGTGCGAACGATAGGAGAGAAACGACAACCGGGGTTAAACGACGGAAATGATGGAAGTTTCGACCTTTTTGCGTTCGGAGAATTTCGAAGGGAAGAAGAGCGCGTGCTCCATGCGAATTTCCAGGTGCGCTCGATTTTGCGAAACCCAGCGGTTCGTTGACCGAATCAAGGTCGGGCAACCTTGACACGCCGCTTCGAAATCTTCCTCCTCTACTCGTCATCCACCCGCTACTTTGTGTACTTCACCTTCTCAGGCTACTTCCTGTCGCGTACGTGCGATCCTGTTGGGATTAAACGCAAACCTTAATTATAAACATCAGCAAAATTTTCTCTGATCTTCAGGAACCTTCTGTCGACGGATACAGTGATCTTTCATTACCTTGAAGAATATTGAATAGATACCAGGTACAGGAAATTCACGAAGGAGGTGTATATCTGATTCTACCATTAAAAAGTTGGGCCATGTACAGCGAGAGCTTCCATCACGAAATTGGAGTAAATTGTAAAAGATATTTCTTTACGCGTTCTCCTTCTCAAAAAGATTCTTCTTTTGAAAGATGCTGTTTGCTACACTGAACACGAATCTCCATCAGGAAATTCAGATAACCACTGCTGGAGTTTCGTATTCGACTCCCTAAAAGGTTCTTATTCTAAGCAATACCACGATATCCTGTTGCTTTCAGGAAGCAGCGAAGGGGTTGGCTTTTCCTACTTAATTTCCGACTCTATCCCAATATCATGATTCCTTGCTACAGATAGATGTATCGAACATCATTAAATTAAAATAAACCATACAAAAGGTATCTTATTTTAAGTAATGAGCCTCCATCATGAAATTCAGGTAAACCCCGAAGCTTCTCCTCCAATTTTACCTTTCATGTCACTACCCGTCTCAGAGTTCGAAAAATCTTCATCTCTCGATCAACTACATAATTTCACATTTGCACACAATCACCCACGAAGTAGCAAAAAAAAAGAAGAAAAGTCGAGTTCACAAAATTGTAGAAATGTCAAAAAACACTGAGGACGGAGCCGGTAAACGCGAGCACGTTCGAATGTGACGCGGAACAAAGGTCGAGGTACAAAGGTCGATGCCGCGTCCCGTGAATTAGCCCCGGTGTCGCAGGATCCGAGAGTTCGGCGGGTTGACCTTGGATGTTGAAAGAACCCGAGCCTCGAGTGGACGTTTTTCACTTGGCGACGTATTAAAAGATGAAACGTTGCGCCCCGAGACGGCTGGAGCGGAATCAAGGGTGGAAAACGAGCGCCTAGCAACAGCGTGTCGCGAGAACGACGCGCTTTCCTCGTCTCCTCGGTTGCGTCAGGTATACGTTTTGCCGGTTCAAGGGGAGCAGGCGCTTTGCTGGGTGCGGCAGGCTGCGCCGCGACGCCCGGCGTCCTTCCCCCGGTTAGACTCACCCCAGTCCAGCCTCTCGCCCTTCGTCCCTGTCTGTTGGACGCCCCAGGTTCGTCGGCCGCCTACCCTCGATCCTGACACGGCTCGCAACCCCCTCGACACGCACATGGGCCACGGTTCAACGTTAACCGGTCCGCGCAACCAGCCGGACTGAACTTTCCATAAAACTATTTCATACCACATTCATAGAAATTTATTTAGCTCATGCATGATTTTTATTTTTTTATACCAGTCTAGGGATCAGATACTTCTGGGAAATGAAATAAAGAAGTTAAGCGCCGATAGTGATGGATTGGCGAGCGAGTACTTGCGAGAAAGTAGTCGCTGACACCCACCTAGCGGCTAATATAGAAGTTACCAATATATTAACTTAAAACTTTGAAATAGAGTAAAGGATGAGATTTAAAGTAATAAGTATTAACTGTGGCTGTTCTAAATCCATTTTCTCAATAAGAAAGTCAATACGAAACCAATTTTATTCGACCCTCTCCAGCCCAGGTGAACGACACTTTAAAACCCAATATAGTTCGAAAGGTTTCTCATTCAGAATTTCGTCTCGTAAGTTATTTCCGAAAGGATCGATCCGAGACGTCAACGAACGGGCTAAGAAAACAATCCATCGTCTAACGTGTTCGCTTGGGAAGCAGTTAATTCAATCGGTTATTATCACGAATAACAGAATAACACGAAACAGTGCGGTCTATCGAGTGATTCGAGCTCCAGTTCTACCCCTTTGACGCTTGAACAACCCTCGAGAGCCGGTCGACGGAATAGCCGCAACCCCGGTGTTCGAGCCTATGCGCATATACAACCATCCTCCCGCTACTTCCTCCAACTACGAATGGAATATTCAGTTGCGACCGATGCGCGTTGCAACCGCTCGGTCAGGGACCTATCCGCAGCCTCTTGAAAATTTGCATCTACCGTGTTGCTGTCCCGACTATCACAGGTGTACTGGCCGATTCAAGTAACCGGAAATCGTTCTACACCTTCATACATATTGATATAATTGGAAATCGATCGACGATACATATAGTCATACACTGAGATCGTGTAAGAATTAACGCCTTCTATGCCAAGCTGCGACATTTAGAGAGGGAGGTTTAATTATTAATTGATATTTTTGCAATCATATACATACACGGCTGTCTGGTTGCGCAATCTCATTCGCATTTACACGCAAATACGGTTGATTTAACGATCCGCCACGGTATATAAGATAATCGCGTGCACGCTCGAAATGGTTGGTTTTAATTAATCCTTTCTGTAGACAATTTAATTATACCTGGGATGGGATTTGTCTGTCGCTCAAGATTAATGCTCTACACGGAGAGAGGAGGATAAGCAATAAAGTTACGGATCCAATCGAGTCGACTTTTAGAGATGCAAACGGGTTTCTTGCAACAAATTATGAATATTAAATGCTGGATGGTTGCTCGGTTACTCGATCGGCCGGAAAACGGCTAATCGAGTTAGAAGCTTGCAATTTTGAGGAATCAAGTCTCGGTTGATCGGCGTAATATTCCAGGGTATCGATATCGGCTACCGCTCCATCGCGATGAGACAATTAAGAGGAAATGGAGAAGCCATGATTACAATAGCCGCACACCTAAGCTCCGTTACGAGGCAAACTCGATTTATCCACTCGGTTGTCGCGTTATCTTGCCGCGTACACACGCGCAAGTATAGGAAGTAGAATCTGGAGCAATCGGGCGGGAAAGCGGAGCAGAAATTGCGTGTCCGAGATAAGTTTCAGACGCGATAACTTGGGAGGCTCTTCGATTAACGTTTTCCCCCCTCGTCTTTTTGTCAGCGATCGGCTGGAACGAACGTTCGATTCCCTGGAAATCGATTGCCTTCGCGGCACAAAAGCTGCCGGCAGAAAAGAATTCGTTGCTTTCGATACCGTCGCGTCGTTGCATCCCAGAAAATTCCCGGCACGTACGTAATCTTGACGCGACTGCATCCTGTACGACAACTTCGATTCCGAATAATACCGCGAAGAAAAATGACGCCGACCGAGAACGACTATCCTTTTTTTTTTTCTTTCGTTTCTTCAAGAATTTCCTTCGTTATCAATCTTCTCCGCGAGGAAGACAATTTTCTTACCGCAGTTAATAGAATTGCAAGTGTCAAAGGTTCCATCCTACCGCGTATGGAATTTCAGACATTGTGGATATAATTTCTTGGATAAAATAGTTGAATGCAAGGGAAAATGAGAATGCGAAGGGCCCACTTGCACCATTTCAACCGTGAGGGAGGCTTTCGTGCTATTAAACTCTTATGCTGTTAGAATTTAATTTTCGGTGAAACGATTCGTGAAGGAGACTAAAGGAGACTCGTCCGAGAAGAGCGTTTATCGGTACCCTAGGTGGTTTTTCGACCCTCGTCCCATCGTTAGATACCCCTGTTGATACGTGCTCCAGCCAAAAGGGATCCTCCCGGTGTGTACGTATCCCTGATGCAAATTAGCGTGCGGCAAGAGGGCAGCCTTTTTTCTGCGCATCTTTCTCTCTCCCCCTTTAGGGTCGACCCGACCCTTCGCGTCCATTCGTTGCCTTCTCTTTGGATCGGGCTCGTGAGAATGCTGAATTATCGATCCGTGGCTAGTCGGAGGCTTCGTCGCTGACAGCTGCCGCGAGCAACGACGAGAGAAAAGAATTCGCGTTTCGAACGAACCAGCAACGATGGAGGCGAGACAGGGAGAAAACGATTGCCACGCACAGCCTGCCAGAGAAGAAATTTCTTCGAACCCTCTCGTCTGTCGCCATTTCCACTCGAATATACAAAGTCGTTTCAGGGGAAAAGGTCGATGGTTTGTCAGACGACAGGCAGAATATTGGCCAAGTTTCGTTAGGATTCTTAAAAATCTTTCTCCCTACATTTTTCTATAACAAAGTTTCCCTGCTAATTACACGAGTCGATGCACGAGACGGCCTTGAACTTCGAACCACCGTGCACCGACATCACAACATAAGGGAACATAGGGGTACGCGCTGCTTACACGCCATCCGGTCTGCGATCGACAATGAACAGCGATTCTTCGTTCTGCCTTCTCTTATCGTCGCTTATCTATTTCCTGTCTACTCGTTTGTTTTATTATTACACGCGCCCGGCGCTGATTAGAAGCCGTACGGACGAGCTAGTTTGAATACTCGATCGCAAGCGGATCTTTCTATCAAACGTGTTCTCCACTCTTTCGCATTCTACTTTCGAATTTCAAGTTACCCGGATGAGAAGCACTGGTATATCGCGAGCTCTGGGAAATTTCGCATAACTCTGGGCGTTTGTTGTAAATTACTAATTGGCCGTGAATTTCCTTGAATCGAAGAGAGTTGCAGCAAATCGTGAAATTGATGAGCGATTGCCAATCAAAAGTCCGATACATATCGTGAATCACCGTTACATCAGCAACACGTGGAACGTGTTGACACTGAGCGAATACATTTGAATCGACAGTGTAATTCGGTGTCGCGCGATCGGCATGTCAGGAAGCTATTGGAAGAACGAAAGAAAGCCGTGGCACGTGACGCGTGGAAAGCACGCGTGAAAGTACAGCCGTGCGTGATCCGTGGTGTCGCGTATCGTGCATTTTCAATGGAAAGCAGACACATTGAAAAACGTTGTTTGTTCATTGTTACAAGAGCGTATTATCGTCCAGTAGCGTGAGCGTAGTTCGATGAACTTGGAGATACTTTTGTCCGGAGAATTGTAACGGGCACGGGATCTATCGACGTTTTATTTACGATCCGCGGCTGCTTTTGTTCCGCGAGCAACGAGAAGAACGAGAACAACGGATCCGCTTCTGCTCTTACGCGATACACACTTTATCATATTCCTACACCGGATTCGCCACCCTTTCTCTACAGATTCGAATTAAACCCTTTTGTCACCGACGGATTCGTACAGAGTGGTTGAAAACCACTGGGAAAAAGAGTTAAACATTTTGCAAATAAGGATATTGAAACGGATAAGATCGAACTACCGTAAAGAGTTAGACACGTCCGATCGAAGCTCTCGATAATATCCAGTGACCATAAACGATGTTCGTGGATACCATATCGCGGTATTTCCGGTCAGACACCGAACACATCGTCGTGACGAAGATGCATAGCGGTGGTTTTGAAAAACGTATACGTGCCATCTCGCAGCTGCTCCCTCATAATTATGCGTTAAGCATATTCACCGAGTGACGATGGTGGTCTAACATGGCGTACTCCCTTACCTTTTTCGATGTCTATCGACACGCGATTCAATGGACGAGGGGATTGTTCTTTTTCTCCCCCCTTCTCTCTCTCTGTACGTGCACGCTTTTGGCTTGATTCGTCAAACAATCGATGGAGCAAAGAAAGGGTACAAAAGGAAGAAAGAATTGCACCTATTCGAAAGAACGGTATATATGAAAGTGAAGAAGGAAGATTAGTATTGTCTGAGGCTTTTGTGTGTAAGCGTTTTGTCAGTATTGCGGTTGACTTCATCAAGGGTCTCAGGACATATACAGCACCCTTGTTCGTGTTCTGGATCGCTGATCACCCAATCAGTTTTCACTTGGTTAGCTGATTAATTAAAAAGAAAAATTCTCAAAGAAGAAGCTTGTGAAGTTGCGGTCATGTATGGAGCTGCATTATGCTGACTTCACCAGAAAGAGAGAAACTTCTCTTTCGCTACAAATTTAGCCTCTCTGCATCCGCGAGCTATAACGATCGTGCGTTTTAGAAAATTTATAACTCTCTAATAGCGATTTAATTTAGATGAATTTAGAAATTTCCAGTAGTGACTGGAAGTAGAAAATTCCACTATTAGATTAAAGGAATTAATCTTTATTATCCTTGATAATCCCATATTATCATTGAAAGTACTAGTCATGGCTATTTCTACCGGTGCCGGTAAACGTGTTAATCTAGAATTCTTGATCTTGCCTTCCGTGCAAGCAGCGATGAAAATCGTGTTCACCGGCGATTCGCGTATTTGTATTCCATCGCGAGCGTGTATCGATATCCGTGATGCTTATAATTGGGCGAACACGAGCGTGTATGAACACACGCGCCTACCTATTAGATACGCAGATGCCACGAGCACAGAGACAAGAAGCTCGTGTATATAAATAGCTAGTTAGGGTCGATGGACAGGCTAAAGAGGCGAACGCAAATCGTGAGAGCGAGAATTCATTCACCTGCACACTCGTATACATGGTCATTTTCACTATGTCAGTGAACGCGTTTTAATCGAATAATGAAATTTTCAATAAATCCTTTTCCACTAATTAACGGAATTTATTGAATCGGAGATAAATGATTTTGAACTACAGGAAATATTTTCTCATTCGAACGGCAAGTTTTAAAGATTAATTTTATTCGAACAACCAGGTGTGAGAGAATCTCGTCACCCAACCGTGGCTGGAATTCCCGTTACGCGTTTCCACTCTCTGCTCATCAGTCTCACGGTGACGGAAACTTTGAGCGAAGTCGAAATTGTTGGAAATCTCGTGGTCGCGTGGGCGACGATGGAAGCGAAGCTGAGAGTTTCTCTGCTCTTCGATCGTTCCCGATTCTATATCCTTGTGAATTTCTGACAGAGAAAATTCAGCGACACAACTCGTGTGGTGAGATTTTCACTTGACCAGACGGAGCGATGCGCATTGTCGTCCTACCCCAGTGGAAACACAGTTTCGAAACACGAGCAACGAAAGTTTGCGCGACAGAAAGCACCGATAAGGACGGCGACGATGTGACGTTTATCGAACATTGGATGACAGACCGCGTGTCGGGGGAAAAACGTACCTCCGTTTTGTTGAAGTAACAACGGAAATCGAGCGTACTTTTATCGAGAAACATGAAATGTGGGAATATTGCTGATAATAATTGAATGAGCAATTATGACAAACGCGTGACGTCATATCTTTGGATTTTACTTATTGCAGAAAATTTGGAAAAACACCAACAATATTTGGGGACTCGAACCCGCGACCCTTAGATTTCTAGTCGGACGCATTATTGACTACACTACTTTGTTTTCTCTATTATTTCTGTTTCTAAGATTCCTCTTATTATTAGTACCTATGTTTGATATTTCGAAATATTCCTTAATTTCACACGTTACATTTGGAATTTTAATAAAAGTTTGACTCTTTTATGGGACGGTATTATAAAGCAAGGGGTTACTGAAAAACGAAACAGTTTCATCACGAAACTGAAATACCTGACCAGAAATAATGACTAAATTACTGTTTCGACGTAACAATGAGAAAGTCTGTGACATTTTTAAGGTATTACCGTGGTGTTACCGTTAGAAACGTAGAAAATATGATGCTCCTTGGTCGAAATGGAACACGTCGCGACAATTTCCGTGTATTAAATAAGCAATTACCAGTCCTAACGACGACGAAGACGTGACATCTTCGAGGTATTGCTTCACACCGAATTAACGCCACTTTGTGCGGCTTCCAGCGTTAGCGAAGTGGGCATGAAGAGGCGGTAAAAATACGACGATTATTTTCGGAGCAACTCGTGGAAGCCGGGTTGCACCCAATCACCGACTTCTATCCTCGAGCAAGCTCTCTTCAACACCAAACCATAACGTTATTCAATTTTCAACAATATCTTCCCGCCACAATCTCAATTACATTTCAATTAAAATTCTTGTTCATTGCACTCGAAAAACCATTCCATAATCACTTGGATGATTTACCTTCAACGACGTTCTGTTCCCTTAAATGTTGAATTGTGTGCTAAATAACACCGACACTGTTAGATTGGAACGATGATGCGAGTCCACCAGTGACCTCCACGGTATTCAACGAGTTAAGATTACGAGGTGTATGTCACTAGTGAGAATTTCGATGACTCGATTGTACACGCGACGAAGGGTGTGGGCGCACACGTTTCTTTCGTCTGTTCGATGCAGGCAGCCTTGCGGCAAACCAACGACTGTCTCTTCTTCTCTATGAGAAGCTACCGTGTGTCCCTCGCACACGCATTTCTCACTCACGCACTTCTCCATTCCCCATCTTTATCCATCTTCTGGGCCTGCTTAGCATTTCCATTACCCTCGCACTGCTGTGTTCTTCCTTTCTTTATCAAGTAACGTTTGCTTGCTCCTTCTTTCTTTCGTTCGTTCACGCATATCGTCTGTCTTATTCTCTACCTCGTTACCGTAGCTCTTCGTCTTTCTCTCACCAGACGATGAAGAAACTCGCGCGTGTTCACCTTTTTACATTACGGCCGCTCGATTATTTGCCCATCCGTGAAACGAAGAAAGCGTAAGAGAGGAAAGGTATGTAAGAGGTCCTTGAATGTCAGAGTGGTAGGTGGCCCGTCCGGAGCGACGCGATGCAGCGACCTTCCGACAGGTGTTGTCGCGTCAGGGTCTTGAGAATGTGTACCAACCACGTGGTGCATCGTACGAAAGTGTTGTAATCTTTGCTTTGCTCGGTAGATATCACCAGGAGTCGACAGTATTTAGAAAATGCACCCCTAACGGTTCATTGTACTCGATTGAGTAAGAAAGTCTTAAAAATAGTAAACGATAATCTTTCAATTTCCTCCCCAATTCGAATCGATCCGTAATTGTAATAAAAATATTCGAGCGATCTGTACTACAGCAGATAATATCATCAAAGCCAAACGTTATTACCTTAACGAACGGCAAACTAATATCGTAATGGATTATAAGTGAACGAATGAGAAATAGAAAAGTGACTGACTCGTTGATGCAGCCTCCCGTTTCGCTGTAAGTAAATTAGTATCGATCCCCGTAAGTATATGGGAGGAGTAAATATTTGATGTTTGCTTTACCACTGTGTGGCCCGAAATTCACGGATGAATTTCATTCGCCGACGAATTATTCTTTCGGGATTTACTTTCTTACTCTTTTATTTAAAATTTCCGACTGGAAAAGCTATTACGACGGTCGGGATAATTGGACCAGGTTTCCAGGAGTAACAAAAACGAAGGGAAGAAAAAGAAAATGATAGCATGCTGTCTTGGTTTTCTTATTTCGTTGCAGTATTCTCCCCTGCATAGGAATCGCATGGAAAGTCGATGTTTGCACCGTGTGTCGACACAGCTGCGCGAGCAGAACCCTCAGAACGCGATCAGCAATGGTAATGTCTGCTGGCTGCTGGCAAACAGCCTCGTTAACGCTCCATTTTGTCCGTTGGAAGCTGACGATTAATATTTATGCATTTCCTCCTTTACACCCGATCTCGCACTGTTCCGCGGGCAAAAAAACCCTTTGGGAAAGATAATAGAGAAAAAGGCGACGATCAAAGGGCTAACAACCGGTAACTCTGTTCCCTCTCTTCAACGATCTCCTTGTGTTTTTCTTCTTTTCCTTTTTTTTAAGCGACCCCCACGTAAATGTTCGACTAAAACTGCATAGAAATTCGTCGAATGAAAAAAAAAAAAAAACAGTGAGCCAGTCACGTAGATATCATAAACCCGGTGCACGTCGCAGTGCTTAACACAGCCACGGTGCTCCTAAACGAGAAGAGAAGACGAATCAATTGAAATTCATTAAAGTTCAGCCTGGAAACCGTGATCTCGCTTCTACCCAGAGACGTCCGAACAGATCCATTATTTTATCGTAATTCTGATCTGCTATTAGCCAACTAAGAATTCATTTTTATCGCTGTGAACTATGTCGGTGCGAGGTCTGATAGCAATCGTGGAACAACAGTAATATCTGCGATTCTTTTTCTTTTTTTCAAAAATAAGATGCATATATTTGGAGTGACGGCAAGCATTGACTCATCTCGTATAATCCACCCACGATGGACCGCGTGCGACGATGACAACGGTAATACAGAAAGAACAGAAAGACGAAACGAAGACGATGTAACCCCGCTGGTACAAGCACTTTACACCAATTTGCGAGTTGAAAAGGATGTTCCTGATAATATGGAAAACGTTGAACCCCGTGGATAAAGGTCGAGCGAGTTCGTTCGTTCCTCTCATTGTTTACAATGCATCAGAGCCCGACTTCTATAAACGGATCATGAGCGGATGAACGTTGTTTCCTATTAGTTGCTTCTTGCTCTCCTAAATAAACAGACAAACCGAGTCGGACGCGGGAAAGATAAAGAGAAAAGAAGTATCCCTTAGATAAAGCTAACTTCTCTCTTAAATTTTTATTTTCATATCTTCGCCAAAGAAATTAATGGAATAAGAGAAAATTAGAAAATAATCGTACAAAAGCGATTTAGCGTATCACTAGGTAGACCGTGAAGATGAGCATTTCGTTGATTAACGAGACCGTTAATTAATTGCTCTTCTATCTCACGGGTTCAACCGGAAAAGAGGAACGCGCTTCGAATCTCTGTACTTCTATCGAGAAGCGGCGTTAATTACCGTGGTAAAATTCCTGATATCATCTTGGTAATCCGGTTAAAACACCGGTAACTATACCGTGGCAAATTATTTCCAGCGGAAGCTCCAGAGAATTCCGTCGTTATTGCGCTTTCGAGCGGTTCGATCTTTGCCAGTCAACCTATTTCTCAAAAATTTATTTTATAACACCGATCTTTGTAGCCCCGTTTTCACCACCCAATGAAAACGGTAGAAAAAAAGATGAGGAAATTTAAGACGAGCAAACGTCGGTATCTTGGTCGCCAGCAAGAGGTAAAAGGACTAGCGGATAAGATAAGAACGTATCACGAAGGATAAACAGTGGCCCATGACAATGGTTACAGTGCACCCCGTGCTTCCGGTTTTCGAGTATGAAAATAAAGCGTCCTGGTACGGTGCTGGGGCCGACGTCAAGATAGATAACGGCACATTTGGTGAACGTGTTCTTATCGTCGACGAAAAACGAAGAAAAAAAAATAAAAGAATCGTGCACCACGAAGGCAACAACTTTGTCGTTCAGCGTCGACGTCTATTCATTAAAGAGAGAATCGCGTGACCGGAAGCGAACTAGAACCGCTCGTCGTTTTCCTCCTATTCCTCCTACGTGGGCGTAAGTCCTATGTTTCCAGTTTGCACGAGACTCCTTCGTAACTCTTGTCACTGATAAGAAAAAATGATTATTAACCGTACGGTAACAGCGATGTCGCGAAGATTTCCTATCCATTCTAGTCGTACTTGAATCGATAAGAAGGTATGCATTTAATTGGGAATATTAGATAAGTAATTATCTGATTTTCTTCTGTTTGACTCCCTAAAAATCGATGGCAAATGGTGGGAGTGTATTGAATCAAGGATGAGTCAATTGCGAGACAATTGCAAGATAAACTGTGTTATCAAAAAGTTCTTGATATTTTTCACGTCGCATCGTCGACGAGCTTGATAGAAATTATGACCGATAAAACACGTTTATTATTTGGTTCATATCTTAAACGACCGTGAAAAGAATTTAATCGCGGCAGAATGGGTCGCTCAAAAGGGAAATTGATCACTTCTGCTGCTTTGAATGCGTTCAGACGGTGTACTGCGGGTCGTTTAAGCGCCACAGAATAGGACTTACATCGTGACACGCAAGATCCGCCACCCTCTTTTTTAATTCTATATTACCCTTTCTGACAGAGAGAGAGAGAGAGAGAGAGAAAAAAAAGGAGGATTCGAGGATCCGGTTCGAGGTCGATTCCCTCGACTATACATGGCTCAAGGTTGGAGCGTGTGACACGGCCATTAAAACACAATAGATCATTTCGAGGCGAGCCGGTATATAATTAATTCGATAAAATGCACAGGGGAATTTGTAATTGACTTCCTTCCTTAACACGGCTTGGCTTTACCGAAACTTGAGAAACGAGACGCGCCACGCTGTTACTTCCCATTGCTCGTTTCACGAGCTTCAATTTTCGATACACGTTGCTGAAAACCTTACAAAGCGCCGCCTGCTTGTTCCATCCAGCCCGTGTAATCTCGCGTAATTGCAGCATTACGCTGGATATACACTGTTTCTGGCCGATGAAACGGCTGCAACTCTTCTTCCGTTCTCCTCTTACACGATCGACTATTGGAAATGGAACGGAAGATACGCGGTGCTTTCCTCTTTCCATCTGGTACCATCTGTTTCCCCGGGAAAGGTCAATGCTTTTTGGGAATGCTGCTACAAGATGTATTTTTTATAGATAGGGTCGTAAAAGAAAATGTTTATTGTAGAAGATAGAAAGAAGGATGTGCTTTTCCCTGATCCATAAATGAATGCATAATCCGGCATCCAACATCACCGTCAACGTTCTTCTACGAACTATGTACCGGCTTGTTAATTACTTGATCTTCTCGCGGTAAATATAATGCAACGTGATATGAAGCAATTCACGCGAGCATTTCACGAGGATAATCCGCGACAGGAAGATCCAAACGAGTCACAGAAACGGGCGGACAGTAATAGGAAAGCAATTGGGAGCGCGAGAGCAATCTGCAGGTCAACTCGCTAGGAAATTCATTTAATAGGGAGGAACGGGACAAGGTGCCGCTGCGATTGGTCGAGGCCGATTTCATTGACGTTTCTTTGTGTGCCTTGAGCGCACCCAGTCCACCTAAATTTTTTCTTCCTAACAACCAGTGACATCTTGTTTCTTTTTTTTTTTTTTTATTTCGTGTATGGTTTTCGAGTTCCTAACATCGGAATTGACTAAACTATTACTACCAGACCTTCATAAATTAATCAACATAAAATTATGTAATACTTCTTTATTTTAAAAGAGTGCATATTTCAAGAGGAGCCAAATGCACGCGAAAAAGAAAATGAAGGTGACAACGAAAAAACGATGCGGCGCGAATTCGCAAACACGTTTTCAAAAAGAACCGCCGCGACGACTCCGTTCTGCGAGATACCGATCGATAAATTTCATTACGCGCGAAGGACGTTCTTTCCCGAACCATTGGAATCCTGACGAAAGAACAAACGGTTTCAGGATTGTTTGCGAGTGACTGTGCAAGAACAGCGCCACTGGTCGCGCCATTAACGCGAGAGATAATGATAAGATAACAAAAGGTGGATGAAGTAAATACGAGAATTAGTGACTCGCCGCTAACCGCGGCTGTTCCTATGTTACGTCACTCGCAAACATTCTTTCTCTCTGCATACTCGTAATTCACCGGAGAAATGTGCTCTCGACAGCTCGATGCGAGTAAAAAGAATTTAATTGGCTACGATTAAATTGGACGCGATGAGAAAATTCGTTTCTCAACACGCAACATTTTCTTGTAGCCTGAATTTATTTCAATCATAGTTTTAAATTGGTTTTTCAATCAATTTTCACGTTAACACTTGGGTAACATAAGCAGATGATGACGTTATTAATTTTTTGGAAATCAAAGATATGACAGGCATGACGAGAAATTTGCAATCGTAGGCTAAAACGCAATGGTCTACGTCGCAGAAATATGACCGTATCGATGTTTTTCTAATTTCTGTCGCACGCAACTTACGATGAGGAATCTTCAAAGTTTTAAATGAAGACAATTTCAATCAAAATTATAACGTAGGCCTTTTTTTATTAAGGGTAAGTGTAAAGGGAGGAACCTCCCACCATTTGCCCTCGGTCTTGGGAAATCCTAAGGAGAGCCTAGGCCCTAAGGAGAGCCTAACCTAGAATCTTCTGTCCTCGCACAATAAAGATTATGGATAGATAAGGCAAATGATGGTACACTTCCTTTTAACTAAAGGAAGCTCAAACCGCACGTGAGCATATAGTATAGGAAAAGTACGTGCTCGAAAGACATTTTTAACGTTGACCAAGATTTCTAATATTCTTAAATAATTATAGAATTGTAGGATATGAGTTTCCCTAACAATTAGAACGAAGGTGACTTATCTTAAAGTTTGGGAATCATATGTTTTGACTGAAATGACTTCATTTGTCATATTACCAATGTTCTACCTTTCGATTTTGACATTCGTGATACAACCACCTTAGAGCTCGAGATTAATTGCGTACGAATTTAATACAAAAGTATAAACGCTTCGTACAGAATGATCTTGTATGCGACCTGCGTAGAAAGCGTCCAACACAGGAAGAAGGAAGCCCTTCCTCTCGCGTAACGATTATCTAAGGCATCCCGTGTGTCATCCGCTAGCAACGTTTTATGTAATACGATTCGTGTAATCGCGATCCTTTTCGCCGGCGAAAACCAACACATAGGGAGGCTCAAAGATGGCCTCTTCAATCGTTCGCTTATCTAATTTTATCCATGTAATATTCAAAGTAAAAGCAACTTGCTTTCGAAGCGTTTATACTATCGTTCTATCAATGATGGAATAAGGGATAATTATTTGTACTTACGATTAGAACGAATCTCGTAATATTCCGATGATCCGCTTCGAAAGCACTCCCGTATCAGCGACAAATTCACCACCTGATCCCAAACTTTCGAGATTGGGACACGCGTTTCACTGACCGGATCAACTGTACACTCGATTTTCTTTGGGTAGAAACTAATGCGAACGATCAACGTACGGTTCGGAGATACCGATGAAACTGTGTCAAAGGAGGAATCGTACACAATACACGAATCAGCCGGATGATCCGCAAATTCGATCGGTCGCGATCAGTTGTCGTAAACACTGGCCGCCATGCTCTCTCAGCACCTGTCAATATCAGCGTACTTGGCCGCCATCTTGCGGTGACGTTCCCGATTCTGAACCTTAACGCCATCGGACGGTCCTTTTCTAGACTATTTTTTTATCAAAACCTATAATATCTATTGTTGCAAAATAAGTTACGAATTTATACAAAATTTAGAATAAAATTTTTTCGAAGAATTTCATCGATTTTGTACCTTAAAATATACGTATATAGTTTATTATTAACATTGGAAGCATGTATGTTAGTGTCGATACAAAGAAAGGATTGTCGCATATGTTCTTTTATAATAAATAAAGGATACGATGATAATCAGAATATGAACACACATCACACGTCAGATAAGAGATACACAATAGCTAAATATTTCTTTAGAATTAGAAGTAGGGTACGTTCTGGAACTATTTTGTTACCGTAGTAGCTATAGCGATAAACAGAATGATGCAAGAACGATACGATAATTAATACTACAATAAATAAGAATGATTTTACCGGCTAGTATGTAATATCGAATGAGCTTTACACGAATACACGATCGATCTACCAAGAAGAACTCCCCAAGTATCCTCCTTTGATTTACATGTTCATGGATCATGTTATTACGAGGAGGACCCTTGGGGAGTTCCCCTAATAAATGTCACGAATTCGTATCGCAACAAGTTTATAAAATCGCGTTGAATGATTTCGGTTGAAGTGGAAAAACGCGAAATAAATATAAAGATTCGATAATTCGTGGACAGTCGCTTTTGCGAAAATTGTCCCCTGTCTATAGACTACACACTTGGTCGAATTGAAGATCCATAATCGAACGAACGATCCATGCATGAATTCGTGAATGATTCGACAACCTCTATCGATTATGGAAATAATAAAAAATTCCCTATACGCGCAAACTAACGAGATACTCGTTTCCTTTTCTCTTAGAAAGACACGTAGCATTAAATTTCCATAGAGATTCACAAAAATGTTGAACCTTAGATCGAACTCTAGACAATCAATCATTTTCATCGATCAATTTTTGTTCGATCGTCGCCAAGGAGTATCTTACAAGAATATCAGCCGACTCGACTGAATTCGAGTCGTTTTGAAATATTCATCGAACTTTTCGAAAGAGTATTCTTTTTTTTCTCGAGAAAGATAAAACTCGTTCATCCTGCTTAATATAAATAATTCTTAGGCTCCTCCGTTGGTTGGCCGCATACTCCATGATACTTCTTTGTAACTAGACTTCGACTGCGGCAGTTCTCGATTTCCAGGAAACATTCGTTGCTGTAGGTCATGCCGTCGGTACCACAAACCGGATCATAATAGGGCGGGCAGATCTTTTGGCAGCCACGGAACAAAAAGCCTTGGACGCATCTCTTCATGGGCACAACGTACACGTGTTTTCTGAACGACAGGAATTAAAGGATTAGAACGTTTCGGGACAACTTTATCAATTTTTAAATCAATTCCACGTGTTCCATGTGCCGCCGGTTTCATGTATGGGTAGTCCCCATTTGTAAGATTATCTGCATTCAGAGTAGATGTAATTTCAACAGCACAATTGCCACTTACCCGCAATTGTCCCTCTTCATCTCGCACTCGTTACGATAAAGCTTGTTGTCGGAACCGCAAACAAACTGGCGTTCCCCGCTGCAGATCTGGTTGCAAAGTGCTGTGGTACGACAATGTTGTGCTGGAACTTGAACCACCCTCTGACCGCATGTTTCACGCCGCAGATGGCAAAGGGACCTAAAAGCATACGAGTACACGTGTGACGCATTTGTAGACATAAATTTCTCTAGAGTAATATAGACCGTCAGATGTCACGAGAGTTTCTAGGATTCCCCGAGGGGGTTTGACTCGAGTAATCATCAATGAAAATTTGTTGGACGATAAAGCTTTGATAGTCTATAGAAGGGTTGGGACTTTATAATGATACAAATGGTTGTTTTGAAATACAGAGTAGCTTATCCCTTCTAACGAGCGATCGCTCGTGATTCACGCGCCCTTAAAACTCTCGGCGCCGAACATCCTGGAATCCAAATAACATTCTTAATCACCGGTAAACGTTGCCGTCACTTCCACAAACTGGTTCTTCGGGTACCTCGGTACAATCTTCGGGGCACTGTTCGGTCTCTTTCAAGGTCGTGCATTCTCCTACGTGAGCCAATTGAATGCCCTTTCTGAAACGGAACAATGACGATAAGGGTGATTGTAACATCAAGCGATAATAAATTCAAACTGTAGAAAGCTGCTAAAGACGCATGAGACGCTAAGCAGTTACGGTAACTGCGCGATATTTCATTCCGAATTCTGTGTAAATGAATCTTCCCGGAAACTTGGAACGCTAACTTACAGGCACACTGCCACGTTCAGATGACACTGATTCGAATAAGTGTTCGCGTCGCTTCCACATACTGGATCTACATCGTTCCCGCATCTTTGCTGTTGTTTCATACACTTAGTCAAACGTGGTCGACACTTCTCGAAATCCACCACGGTCACCTTTCTTCTCGCTTGCCTGGAAATTCGTAATACCTCGATGATCAATAAAATTCACAGCAACCATCTATACATATAAAAGACAGTCCACCTTGCCAATTTCAATGATAGAAAAACTGACCCGCAATTCAACATCTGCATCTCGCACTCGTTCCTATATATACTTCCGTCCGATCCGCAGGTTGGCGCTTCCGGTTCATTTTTACAGTCCAAAGGACACGCGTTCGTTTGACCACCGGATGTCCGCTCCCGCGACACGCAGAACGACATTGGCACCTCGAACACGTGCTTGCTAAACGATCATATAAATTGAGTATCCGTGAGAAACGAAGAAAATTCAACCATGAGACTCGTTAGTTATTCGAAACGAGGATTTTCTCAAGGATTTACATGCTATGCTTACCCGCAATTCTTAGCTCGCATTTTGCAGGTGTTCGAGTAGAGGATGCCGTCGCTACCGCAGGCTGGCTTGGCCCCACGCCAACAAGATTCACGACAGTGTCTCGTCGTCTGACAATGCTTTTTGTTCGTACGCACGACGCCTTGTCTACGATGGGGAAACAAGTATTTTAGTTACCAAAGAAGATCAGAAATTTTATATGCGGTACAAAGTTAAAATACCCGCAGGTGAGCAGCTTCATTTGGCAAGTAGACTTGTAAACGTTTCCATCGCTTCCACAGATGGGTCCATCGAGCGGTGCAAAGTCACAAGACACCGGGCAATTCTCCCTGTGGGCGGAGATGTTATTGCAGGGACCCAAGTGAGACAACTCGATGCCGACCCTGCAGATCTCGACCCTTAACATGCACTTGTTCAGATACGTGCGGCCATCGGTACCGCATACAGGATCCTGATCTCCTGGACAACGATGCTCGCACTTGCTACCTGATGACCTTAGGCAGGCGGTCTTCTCCGTGGACACGGTTACCCCTGTACAATTTGTAGTCACGCGGTGAGGCAAGATGACACAGTGTAATAAATATCAGACGTCCGAACCAAGGTCACGAGTCTGGAGAGCTGGGAGAGCCAGGGAGAGGATCACTTTTTCTTTTTATCTAAGGAAAGCTTAAGTTGCGCATGACTATCCATTAACATTAATAGCAGAGATTTAAAGACGTTCAACGCGCGAAACGAGGGAACGAAACGTCTCGACTAATCGACGGATGTTGTAAAACAACTGTATGTTAAAAGAAATACACCGTTAAAACAATCGTTAAAAGAAATACACCGTGGAATCATAATTATTGTAGTTCAAAGTTCCTCACCCTTTCCACACATCTTCTTCCGCATTTCACACTGGGACGCGTAGATCACCCCATCGCTACCGCAGACCGGCTCTCCGCTCGGCGGACATATTCTTGGACAGGCAGCGGTCACGAAGTCTGTAACAGAAATCAATCGAGATCAGCTGGAACGATCGTGTTATCCTTTAATCCACGGCACGCATCGGCGATCGCGTTAGCGTTTGATCGATCTCGTGGAACGAGATACAACGTGTACACCTTTTACTCCTGATACGTAACGAGGTACCTAGTGGATCGTAAAATGAAATGACATTTACTGTTACTCCGTTTTATCGCGAGCCTCCTTTATTGAACCGACATGTAACGACGTAATTACAACGAAGGGACTCACGTGCTTATGTACGTACATACATACACGTGAGGCTGAATAAGAAGATGACTAGCGAAAGACGAATGCTTGAAGCAATGGATAATTGACATATTATCATTGACGTTTATATAGGAAAAGCGAATCCGTTTCTAAACTCGAATCGTAACCTTTTACATTAGAGGGTAAAAATGTATATCTTCTATAAAGAGAATTATAAGTCATAGCCACTGTCAAAATGTTGAGATATCAGAAGGACGCTTTAATGTTTCCTTGACGTAAGAGTATCGCGAGGGACGGCACGCGTATTCACTCGCTTATCTTTAACTGTACACTTCGATTTTATAATTTGTTACATATTACGCGAGTCGGTGTAGAGCTCGCGTAGTAAATCCTCTGTGCTGTTGACCCGACGATCACTGGACCGAAACCAGCCAACGGACCTGTACCAGAGATATCTGCAAGAAGGGTCAACAGGAAGCAATTAAAGTTTCGACCAAATCTCTCGACGAAACGAGTTACCTGTTACATCGTTACACGTAAAAAGATGAATTCCTTCGTCTCTGCGTCACTTGACAATTATTATCTTCTTTCTCGAGTATCCAAGATACAAAGAAAGAAGAAACTCGTACGGGTTTCACTTGTTATTAATTCCATAAATTCTTATCAAATTGTGATGGACGGTTTAATCTCTCTCCTCGTGATAATTTATCTACGATCAAAGTCACGTGTGGTGCGTGTACCGTACATCCACTGCTCGTAAAACGTTTTTCTTTCGTGAAACTCCCGGGGATACAATTTGCCAGGAACGCGTGCGATCAGAATCGGCGTTCGATCCCGTGCTCGCAGTTGGTAATTCAGTTAAAATCAGAGAACCATCGCTGAAATTCACATATCGAACGAGATAAAACGATACGCATTGTAATACGGTGGACTCTTGCCGT